TCCACGCAGAAAGGACTGGAAGCTTCTTGATCTGCAACAGCCTCATATCACAACAGTCTCAAGCTTCCATGTAGCGAAGCTCGCACTCGGATGTTCGCACCCGCTATTGGCCCGCTCCTCTGGTTTATATTCTTCATCTAGGGTATATTGCGTGGTTTGAAGCGTCGGGGCCAAGAATAGTTTGTAGGCCATGGCTTTGTATTTGGCACTAACGGGGTGCTGTATCCTCGGGCCCTCTGGTGCGATGTCAATGGTTCACTGTCAATCATTAGCTTGCAGATCGGGGAGACAATCCATGACTCACATTTTCTGGTAGCCAAGTCTTGGGACAAAGAGACGGCAAAGAGCTGTGGTCCTTGCGCTCGTGCATTTGTTCGAATGTACTCGGGTTCTATTGAAATCGCATCATCTTCAGGATCAGTGAGACAGGCCAGGCTAAGATTCACATACCTGCGACCGCTTTGCGGTTGAGCTTTTGCGGGGCCACAAGGGCCATGATTTCGTTCTGAGAGAGGTCATTGGGCCAGTCTCCTGCACCGGACTTTTGCATGGCAAAGCCCTCTTGTCAGGAACTTTCAGCTGGGTTGGCTGGTGAAGGGGGAGCGACGATGTGATCGGCAGCTGCCCACGGTGACTTGAATTGGAAGGTGTTCTGAGGTCCAGGGGTGGTGGGAACTAGGGCATCTTTTGTGTTGAACGGGTTGAAAGGACTGCGAGAAGGAAGAGGCAAAATCTGGGGAAGAGGCAGTCGGCGCTCTTCGCCCACATCGGAGGCTCCTATGCTGGTGGTTGATTTGAAAGAACTTAAACTATGTTAGGACCATTTGATATTCAAAGCATCATAGCAAGGTGACTCACGGAAGAGAACAGCGGCGAGAGTTCTCGTTATTCAAGCTGGCTATCTCTTCATACATCGCTGTTGACATACCTGCGACGCGGATATTCGCCTACCTCTTGGGAGCACACACAGTAGCTGTACAGTAGATCAGCTAGTCGACTACTATGGCGGAGGCATCTGCGCATAGACACCTTGACCAGCTAATCCAAAGCTCGTATCTTTAACCGGCTGATGTGAATGGCAGTGCATCTGGTGGGAATCATACCTGTATCTCTCACAGGCACTGTCTGGCTTGTATCCTCGATGTATCCTATCAATGTCAGTACAGTGGAAATTCGGTTCTGAGTCAGAGGGGAGAACTTATCAGGTGACTCAGACACAAGCCTGCTCGACTTTGCAGAGTCAGGTGAATGAATTGTAGAACGAATTGCCGGGGGTTAGAGGACGGATTTATAGGCTTCTCGGCTCATCCTGTCGGGTAAGTGCTTAGTAGAAAGCGTTGAGGGACACCTCTTGTAACTGAGGCCTATCGAAACCCATGTCTTCTATGTACCGCAACTATTTGCAGCGATAATTTTCTGCCTTTAGATGCTCAGCGAGGGAGACGAGCAATGGTGGTGTTGAGGAAGGATGCTGAGTCGGTCAAGAAACGTTGGCTCACTGTTGAATCCTTCACGGCCGTCCTAAATTGAGGCTTGATCAGTTCCCCCGACCGACTCGTTGATCACTATCCCTTCTATCAAATTGACTGCCAACCACCCGCTGAAATTAAGTATAAAATCCATTCAAAAGTTGACTGCGTTGATTGACCAATGTGGTGTTCCATAACCACCTCCGTTTGCATATTCTATAAGAGACACGAAGGCCTGATCGAAACGGTACTGCCCAGATCTTGACATTCTCCTGCGGACAAAATGGATGCCCCGAACAGCTCGCCAGACCAGGAAAATGAAACAGAACCATAGCCCAGTGAATTGCCAATCCTTAGCGAGATAGACAAATCACAGGAAAATTCTCACCATGTCCCCCCGTTGGTAAGTGAAACGATTCGGCTTCAAATATTTTGGCTGACTATCACAGTTCTCCCCTTCACAGCAGGAAGCAGAAACAAGACATACCTTGGCGACTTTGCCCTTTCAACCCATTGAAGGTGCTAGCAGACCTCGGATGCGACGATCCCAAGTTCGCCTTTCCAGCAGCTCGACTTGTTGGACTCTATCGACGCCTATGGGAGTCGTGCGTATCCAAGCACATTGATGGAGAGAAGCTAGAGCAAAATAATCAAAAGTTGAAGGAGGCTAGCATGAAATTAAGCAACGAGAGAGACGGCCGCCAGCTTCTCCACGACAAGCAGCTGCCTCGACTGCTCTATATTGAGGAGGTATTGGAAGCATCACGGGAACGGCTTATTAGCCTGCTCGATGACTGGAACCACCCTTTCAGGCCCAATCTGACAGGGTTGCCGGATGTTGAAAGAGAAGTGTGAGGAATTGCCTATTCCGGATTGCCCTGTCCTATCTTGGTGACAGAGAAATACTACAAGCGGCGACGCAGTGCAGGGAAAATTACCGCATGTAAAGCAGCTATATCTTTCCGATAGTTCTTAGTAACAACGCATAAAATAGCCATTGATTCATTATCAACGTCTTCACTGCAATGTGTCTGCGAGTAAACCCGCATGTTCTGGATCAATCTCACCTGTAATTACCCGATATATTATGCACAAAAAACCGTGGGTCCAGGGATAGTGTCGGGGGCAGCACAGTCAGCGGAGAATATGTCGAGAGACTCAAATATGGTAGAGATTCCATACGAGGCCAAAGGGACAGTCGGAAGCTAGTGCCTGTTGCACCAACAGCATGCCAGGTGATTGTTTCTAGCAACTGCCTGCGTACCCGACAGAGATTCCCCAGGGCCGTTTCAACCCGCGGCAGGAAGATCAGATCCTCTCCTATAGTATCACCAGATGTCCGATCAAATAGTGCAAATCGAAATTCTATCAAGTGCACTTCTTTAGGGAAAAGGAGCGCTGACATGTAGAGGAAAATGTCGCCAGCCTGAGTAGAGATGGACAGAGGATCTGGACCCGTCCACTTGAAGGCCGACAGCTTGTCGTAAGTGGGATGAAAAAGGCATTCGATCAAGGAAGACCCTGAAGTCTCACATCCTGCAGGTTCACCCCCGTCCGAGAGGATCTGCCGAGGATTATCGGAGTCGGTGGCGAGACAGGGAGGCGGTGTCGGTATGCCAGAGGATTCATTTCAGATAGCGTGAAGGTCGAGATTCAAATCGTAGTCTACTATTGTAAGCACAAAACACCATTGAGGTAACGGGTACAGACTATCTTTGCCCGAGTCATTCATATCCGTCGAAAGCTCGCTGTCGAAGCTGCTGTAGGAAAGAAATACAGAAGTGTATAAAATAGAGGTTTAACGAGGGTTGAGAGAGATGGAAAGCTGGAGGCTGAGCAGATATTTTATTTCACTCTGATTATACAAGGTCAGGACAAACTAGGGGGAATTCATAGCCAGATGCTAAGTTATCGAATGCGTTGGATGTATCAACAGCCGTGCATCGTTGGCACCCGTCACTAAACCCAACTAAAGTTCACCAACAGTATAGACCTTATCTAGAATTAGCGCTAACCCTTAGGAGATAGCGCAGATAGATAGCGGAAAATCCAAATGTCATTCTTCCTGCCCATAAACGCTCTACCACATGGAGACTTTATCAAGGCTCAGGCTCATCGACAGAGTAGGCTTGAAGATCGCTCGCTTCCAAGGCTGAAACAACACCATTACAAAGAGCCTGAACCGCTCGTCTGCGATCCCACAATACTGATACTTGTTCATCGCAGAGCTGTAGAAGGATGTCGCTGTCGCTTACTAGCCACTCATTTGACGCTTGAAGCTGTCGCTGCTCCTCCTCGAGTCGTATTTTCTGGGCCGATTTGACGACGTAGCATTCCCATAAGCAAAAGTACAAGTCGAGCAATTTGAGGACTGGTGTAGCGAGGGAGTTATTGAGGTTTAATACTTTCATGAACTCCGCTGTAAGGGTACCCCGTGTTCTCACTGGAATCTATTCAGTATTAGTGGGTTTTTTTCATTTCCTGCCGAGGGGGTATTACCGACCTTGGGTTCGATGGTTGTGCCGTTTGAGGCTTGCTCTGGATGGTTTTCCAACTTGGGTTCATCCTCTGGAGCTTGGGATACTCGGCACTGTCTCTTGGCTGGCCGATCAATTGGGGAAGGCGAAGTGGGATGGTCCATTTTGGTCATCAAGATGGATTGGATCAGAAATTGTGCTCGAGGGTCATTTATAGCTGACAAGTCACGCCGAGGCCGCTGTCATTTCTACCAATGCTTCCTCGCCTAGGATCGACCGCACTTTTGAAAAGACAGTGAACAGTTAGCTCAACTGCTGATGCTCGATCTCCCCAGCTGCTCACCCCGAATTACTCACCGATATACGAAAATGAACAAAAGTTTAAACGTTGAAAAATATCGTCACCGAACCTATTTCCTAACGGAAGGTAGTTTGCAAGCGTACTTCTGACGCATTGAATGCTAGACATCAAGTAGAGCTCGTTGAAACTTAACCATGACATTAACTTGACTGCAAAACATTTGAAACCAAGAAAAGCAGATATATTGCGTTTGAGCATAATATTGATACCAATTGACGTTGGTAACAGCCAATCTCGCATTTTAATACGGACCTACCAGAAGTAGATTTTACTAGCTCTTCTAGGCTACCAATCCTTCTTCTTAGTGACTGCACCAAAAACGTTTGATGAGTGTTATCATATCATTTTGTTTTGAACAGGCCTCCGGATATTATTGTTATTTCCTAGATCCCACCGATCTCCTCAAAACTGCCGTCCTCCTTCCACGTACCACGAGCACGTTGACTGTGAGATATGAGGAAATCTTCCTTTTCGAGATTTCAAAGGCTTAAGCGAAAGCTTCATGAATTCAAAGATGCCTTTCTCAGTATCAGTCGATCAAAGTCTCTCCCAGAGATACATGTACCTGCCGCCGCTTCTGAATTGGAACGCACACGACGATCCGCCGCCCCGTCCCCAGAGGTGTCCCCAATGAAGATAATAGATCATAAAAATGAGACGAAAGGCACCTCGATCAGTTTCGATCCACCACCGTCAACATTCACAAAGCAGACTGGAACTAAACTCATTTTCACTTCCACAACCTGAAAGGCGAGCAACGGGCTGGTCGGGTCGGTCGTGCAAGAACACAGAGCCTTCGGATGGCCATTCCGTGCGAAACTCGTGAGGGAAGTTGAGGGACCACACTGCCTGGACGACTAACCAACTTGCGTTATTCGTGAATTCCATGGTTTGTGCTGGAGGCATGTAACAGACAGCACAATTGAAGCCGCTTGTGGTCTGGAGAAAGTCCGGATCCTCGATTTTCACGGCTCGGGCCAACCTAAATGCACCTAGGAGTTTGTCGCTAGTTTTGCTTCTTTGCCAGGCGGTCTCTTTCGGTTTCTGAGACGGCCTCTTTGGGGCACATGGCTGTGGCGACATTGTAGGACATGCTGGTTGGCCATTGATGTACCAATAAAGCCGAATCATGAGATTCCGAGTAAATCGTGACATCTTTGGCTTGGTCTCGGCGCACATCCAACATATTCAAAAATCGGCTGGCCCACACTTTTGGCCGACAGCGATGGCGCCTGCACTCAAAGCAAAATAACTGCTTTGCAGCCAATGTAAATCCCTGTGCTGATAGATACGGGAAAGGGGGGGTCAGGGACAGCTGAAAGCACAATACTCCATTTATCCGGGAGCCAAGCGGCACGGTGTTTTGACAGTGATACCCGTCATCTCCTACCCATATGCACCGCTCACGGTGCAAGGGATCGCCCAATAGTTGGCCCAATACCCATTGGAGATGAGCAGGATTCCACGACATGATGAAAAAGTAAATGTAAAAGTGTCTCGGGCCAATCGCGAGGTTTGCATGTAATCTGCTGGAGAAGATCTAGATTGTTGAGCTGGTATCTGTGATCATGTAGGGAGAGCACAATATATATACGCTTCAGAAAGCAAATAGTGGGCTTTTCATCTTGCTCTTTCTCCATTACATGCCCGCGCAGAAGAGGTTTGACTTAGCTAGTTCCCAACACTTCTCATCTTGTTCCTAGAAAGCGGTGATTATTTCCTGGGAGCTCTAGTCACATTCGTCAGGGACACGCGCGAGACATACACAATAAGTGGGGATACGATGTGCGGGACTCACATGGTGCATCTGGGTTCACTGGGATTTATAAGTCACTCTGCCCTTACAACTGGGCCTCAAGAAAAATGATTCCTAGCAGTGTATCAATAGAGCCCGAGAAAACGACATTAAGCGCGAACGTATCCCACATGTCGTGTCCAGAGCCTTCAGTCATGAAGCAATCATGACCCAACACGCCCTTCGAAATGCCCCTAGGCGACTTGCAATTTGCCAGCTATGCCATTCCGCAAATTCATGGTCCAAATGCACAGCCCACCAAATGCAAAGAGTGATTCAGAATGAGACATCCTTCTTGCAGCCCACTGATCAGCGGTATAGCGGTATAGCGGTACATACTGCATCACAGTGCATTCTTCGACGTTTCGATTGTTTCAAGGGAGGAGTTCCACGTCAGCAGCCATGACGTGATGTAAGTACAGATCTCATGATGATGGCATATAAAGCTGGCGAGGGAACGCTGCGGAGATTGCGCAACATCAATACCCATTCGAATCATTTTCTGCCTTTTGTCATCAGCTCAATGTTCTTTATACTGCCTTGGAACCCATTTGCTGTCAGCGGGATCCCTCACGGTGACCCTGGCTTCTGTTGCGGGATGACGAAAAAAATGCACTGTGCAAAAACTCGATCAAAGTTGAAGATACCAAGATGGGCCATCAGAAGCTGAACACTCTCGCCAGACAGCCGTTCGACTCGCTAATGTTGCAACCGAAGCTCTGTGATATTGTCAAAGAATTCCTCTGCGCGAGATGGCATCGACAACGACAGGCCGACCGAGTTGGCCGGCAGTGGTATGAAGCAGCCGTCCGCAACCAGGCGCGAGTGAGACATGATTCTAGGATTGCCTCTCTATCAGTCATGGTACACCTGGGCCAGCGTCAGATATCGTCAGCCTCCAGGCGACGCCCTGCATCAGACAACACTGACCGGTCACCACCTCACGAGCTCAGACAAGACCCGCCGATGCCCCTCTCAACCAGCTCCGAGCCGGTGCAATCAATCAATCCCTTTGTCACCGCCGAAATACTGCGGACCAACAGTGTTCCATGGCACGTTTCACCGGCTCGACCAGCTATCCTGACATCGGTCGCTAACATCTGGGCGGATGTCCAAGACTCGACGCTTCGGAAGCTCAGCTTGAGTGAAGAGGTCGACAACATCCACTGTATGTTTTGTCTGACCGAGGATGAAGATCTTGCAAATGAGCGTGTGATTTTGCGTTGTCAGTGCAGGGCGCTTTCCCACCTGGCCTGCGCGGAAGTGTGGCGGAAAAGCGAAGTACAGGTTTTGGCACGTCATGCTGTGTGTGGTAAGTACGGCTGATTCCGATTATTCAATGCCCGGGATGCTGATGAATACAGTCGAAACGAAGGACCTTTAGACGCCTTGATTCGCCCACTACGAGTCCAATCGTCGGATACCGAGACACGGCATGTCCACACGGCAAGTAAACCGTCTCCCGATAGAGAACTTGCCACTATCAGGAATTCATCACCAAATGACCCGAGTCAGAGTCAGCCGCATCAGCGGTCAGTGGGATACCAAGGGATATCAGTCGAGCAGAGTGTGGAGAATGGCCCCCGTCGGTCTGCCAGAGTAGCAGGAGCTTATCTACCGAGAGACCCGTCTACCTCTGCACCACTTCGCCGGTCAGCACGACTAAATTCCACTCGGCGTAGGTGATCACATTTTACAGCGGAGGTGTAACGGAAATTAAAAATTAGCAAAGTGACTGTCAATCACACGTGATTCCACATGACCAGGCACTCGGTATTGGGGTCAGCAACAGAGAGCATAGCTGTGATATGGATATTTGGAGCAAGCTTAGCAGCTAAAAGAATGAATTCCTGATCATTAAACCCCACAGAGCACCATGCGACCGTTTCATCTTTGCAAGTGCTAGATGTCAATGCACCCCCTAAAGCTATTGGCAGTTTGAAACCGAGTCCCTGTAGTGAAAAGTGCTGGTAGCATGGTGCATAACGGCGGTGACCAAAGTAAATGCCGACAGTGATTTCAGCCTTGAGCCCGAAGAAGGATCTTGTTGGCAGAAAAAACAAACTTGTGGGTCGGCAGGAGAGTCGAGACAAATTCTCCTGCTTGTTAATTTGACTCTGGAAATCAATAAATTATACATTGGTAACCTCAAAAGCAATTTCAGGAGCCGTGTATCGGCAAAGAACCACTCTTTAGCTCCTGAGTACAGCGTCTTCCGGATGAATAATTAAGATCTACAATAACTACAGTCCACTAGATATAAGACGTAGCGCGAGGAAGCAAAAGAGACAGGCTTCCTCGCGTTCAGGGGAACCCATATGCATCCCGTGGGCCCCGCAGATAATATCTTCATTCATGCTGCATGCTTCATGTATATCCCTGACAAACTGGACCAAAGCTCCCGGGAACAAGAGAGCTCCCAGGGCCAAGATGTACATTCCCAGCTCTGATGAAGCAGTCAACAGGAAGGTGGCTTTCAATCCCCTAGGAGGATGCAATCATGTTCAACCATGATATGACGCGGTGCCACGCGCACCACCTTTTATTCCTACTAGTATGTTTGGTAATCAGGTGTTTCACTAGCAGAAGTTGCATAGCCAGAAGCAAGACATGTCTAGATTCGAAAGCAATTTCATGTTTATTTTTGCTCAAACTCGCTTCTATCTAGTAGAATATAAGTCATTAACTAGCCAATCATTAGTACAGTAAAAATGTGTCCAATCCAATACGACCGAATCTATTTGATGTATTCGGCCTTCAGTTGGATCTTGCTGCAGCTGTTGGGGATAGTAGCGTCATAGTAGCGGTTCAAGTAGAACAGCTGGGGCGCATTGTGGTACCAGTCGCAGACTATTGAATGTTAGGACGAGATCGCCTTCTGGAGAAGAGCAACGATGCTAGGGTCTTACCGAGCCATCCACCGAAGCCGCTGGCTTCCGACCACTGGAAGTTGTTGCCCTTGAGTGAGAATCCATTACTTCCTTGGCCTGCGTTAACCAAGATCGGATCCCAGGCTGGATGAAAATTTCGTTAGCCCGTATTCAGATTAGTATGCGACTTTCCAGAGGGGGTTATTCACACGCATATTTGGTGTCGCCGGTGGCGACGACTCCCCGAGGGGATTTAGTGTCGAAGTCGAAGAGGGCTTTTGTGCCATTCAAGCAAACAGAACTAGCATTATTTACATACTTGGTCAGGACAGCATCGTTGAGGCCTGCGCCCGTGTGGTATGCGAAAACATAAAGGTTGTTGTGCTCTTGGTTGGTGGCGCCGCTGGACTTGAGGCGGAAGTGCTTTGGAGAAGAACTGGTGAGGGTAGCGGCGACGGTAGAGGCAGTCAGCATGAAAAGGGTTGTAAGGGACTTCATTATGGAGGCTGGCGAGAGTTAATTGTGAATTTCAGTTGGGAGTTTGAGTGAAGTATGGAATGAAGTAGGGAATTGAGTTGTGAATTAGAAAGTTCCTTGATTTGTTTTGGATTGAAAAGCTGATCAACAGCAGGGTGCAAGCAATATTTATGTGCACGGATTGATTTCGATGGTTTTGTTTATTACAGGTACAGTGAAGATACAGCACATCATCAACATATATACCATATTTTCAGCTCACTCTTTGAGAACTTGCTTTTTACTAAGGGAAACTGAGTGCGAGTCCCATTTCGAATACATTCATCCAGTCGGAAATTCAACTTTGGCTTACGGTGAAGATGACCCGGAGGACTTCCACAAGAACATGAACTGCAATTGATGAAGTCGATGGGGCTGCTAAACATGGTTCTATACATTTACTAACCACTGCCCCTGTTATTGGTACAGACAGTGTTGAATTGGCCTTCTGGGAAAGATTTTGATTTAATTGATAGAATTTGATTGCATTTCCATCACCAACATTCATTCACCGCGATTATTCACCGCGTTTACCCTCATTTAGTGCAGTGCAGTCCATTAACATACTGTTCATGACAAGTTGACGGTCTAAATATGGCAGGCCCCAAAGAGTTCACAAGATAAAAGACCGATCAGTTCAACTCAATTTCTGCCAATCCTTTTGTCCCATACATCTAGTCATAGGGGTGTCAGGCAGATACGTAAAGTGTAAGCGATGAGGTGAGTGGAGATACTATATGCAGGACCTACATGGTGCATGCGGACTCCCTGAACTTGAAGTAGCCTCTCTCTTTTGTTAACGCTACGTCTTGTATCTAGAGTCGATTACATGTACATAGTTGCTTTTGATAGTAATCGCTTACCTTGAGACGCTAAGGAACATGCCTTGATCCCCAAGTGTAGTTAGAAGGCTCCAGAGGCTACGTCGGATTTCCTGAGGGCTAGATGGATCCGGGAATTGACTCACAGTCAAGTCACTCGCCGATATGGATGAGGGATTTATAGACTGTCGGGACATATCCCTCTATCAGAACAAGCTGGCGTCTGATAGATCACATTTCTGTTTATGTAACCTTGCGCTAAGCTGCGGATCTGGCGTATGGGATTCAGGGGTATTCTGAACCTCGCTGGAGATCGACATCTATCATACACGAATCAATCAACCTTTGCTTTGGAAGCATAAACTGTTCACTTAACTGTGTACACGGTACCTAGCTGGTGATACCAACACAGACTCTACCATTCTGTGGAATATACGACATTATTTTAGGGCAGCCTCGCTAAAAATAATCACAACCCATCTCTCTCTCTTTAAACAAGTACACGATGTTCATTTTCACCATCACAGTCCTACGAAACATCCCTGCCATTTGGAGCATTTATATTAAGCTTCCGCGAACCCTTTCCATTGAGATTATAGATAATGTCAGCTGATTGGGGCTCTTACATGAACGAATACCATATTTGAGGTCAAAGATGTCACTTGACCGACATTATAAGATGCGTAGAAGCTGACAACTATCAAGTATTCTAAAAAGAATTCGCCAGCGCAGATCAAGAATTGGATCAAGTCCCATTATGAGAAACAATTGCATCTTAATCAATAAGAACCAGGTTGATCGTCTCGTTTGCGGTAAATAGAGATATATGCATGTTCGTACACAAAAGTTTCAATTTTCACACATTCCTCTTAGTATACAACGTTCGGATTCTTCAAAAGATATGGATATACTGTATTGGGATTCCTTAATCCGCTCGTAGTTTCACGGTGAAACATGAAAAACACGGACCGTGGTAGGGCCTGCAACTATCAGAAGGTTTTCCGTTACAATTCGAAATCCGGGGACTTACCAATCCTGTTCAACTTGTATGCTTCTTCGTATGACTTGACATGCATCATCTCCATGGCGACGACTTTATCCGCTTTCGAATGCTGAATCTCGCGGGTATTTTGGAAAGCAGCGTCCAAGCGCTCTGGCGTAAGTGATGTGAATATGTTGGCCAGACGCAAGGCCAAATTGGCTATACTCTTGTCAAACACCATATCAGCCTAAAGATCGATCTACTTACTTCTGTCCAGGTTCCTCTCCATGTTGGTAAGCTGATAGTGCCCTAGTAGGTTAGTAAGAATATTAGCTTCTTTCAACGAGGCCAGAATTTTTGGCAATAACATCGGGTTGAAAGCTAGAAATGCCCGTCGGTAATATCCCAACACTTCTAAATGGCTTTCAATTCTCAGGGTCCGGATCTTCATGCTGGAAACACGGATTTCTTCGCACTGAAAAGCCATATGAAGACTTAGTATCATAGACTGTAAATGGTGCATTGAAACTTCGGCGCCAAATAGTGGCGATTCTTTGAGCCGGGATGCCATCGTTGACAGAAAGACTTGGTCGCGGGTCCAGATTTCCTTTGTTTCATATCCCTCAAGTTCATCAGCCCGAATGCCCTCGAAAACTTGACAAATCAACGCGATGCTTGCCCTGACTCCAAACGGCCGGAATGGAGGGTACTCGCTTTGGAAGCATTCAGCTAGAAAGCTCGAGTGAGGGGATGTATTTTGCCCAAGAATGAACAGAATATATCTTGTTTGGAGCGATATGTCTTCCAATGTTACTGTGTGCAGGCCGTCAGACTTGGTCAAAACGTTGCGCACACTGATCAGCCACCCTTGTAGCTGACTGCGCTGCAAGACACAGCTCTCTTCCCAGTCACAGTCGCGGCGACATATGACCTTCCACAGAGCCCCTACGTCCGTAGGAAGCATTGAGGAGATGAAAAGGTAGCTTAATACCAACAAGAGTTGGTGGGTCGTATGTGGGCCGCAAATATGTCTCCTAGATATATTTAGGTCAAAGTTTGGCCGCGGAGGCAAAGAGGTCTTGTTGATAGTTAGCGTCGTAGTCTAGATTTCCTCGTAGGTTGGGATCGATTACCGGAGGGATCATTTGGGAATAGAGCTCTGTTGGTTGAGGTACTGATGTGCTCCGCGGCCATTCAAATGTATTTTCAACATATTTCGGTTGGGAAATCGAAGCTTTCTCCGCATTCGCAGCCGCAATACTCTTTAGTGAGGTCTCGTGAGGTGCTAGATTACCCTGCTCAGAATGCATTTGAGTCATGTGCTTGATATGTTCTTCGTTTGTAGGCTCAATGGCGTGTTGCATTTCCTCAGTTGTACTTGTTTCGTGATGCAAATACTGTTCGGATTGCGTCTCAAAAGTCTTCCATGGAATGTGGTTATCGTCATATTCACCCTCCTGCTCTTGCTTTTGCCGCTTTGGTTGTGGCTCTGGAAGAGCACGTTTTTGGTCTGGCATTCTCGTTTCATAGACGCACAACGAGGATTTACCACGCTTGAGGCAGGTTTGACAATGAGGAACTTCACGGTTGCATCTAGTTTTCGAATTGTAGCATGGTCGACAGGAACGAAGAGGAGTTGCGGAGGAATCGAAGGTTATAATGGGGAAGCGGTACGCCATTGCTTTGGACCTGTGAAACAAGATGTATAGCAGCTATTTGGAAACGTGGGTACAACAACTGGTGGCAGACGATAACTCTGGTATGCACTGTAAGAAGATATGTCGAACAATCTTCTCAGGGGGGTATCTGTATTGCTGCCAGGCGATGTTGGTACTGTAAGGCAGAGAAATGAGTGTACAAAAGTGGTGACCGTAGCGCAATACGTTCGAGATAATGAAAAGTTATATGGGTAGAAGTGGATCCTTAGATGGAGGAGGAGAAACGCTACTTATAATGCCTGTTGTCTCGTAAATTATCCTATGTTCAAATATGTTGCCAGATTCTTGATGACTACAGTCGGATTGTGGATTCAGGATAAGCTCCTAGGAAGTGCTTCCTTCATCCTAGGAGTAGTCGAGATATTAACCCAAGTACTAGCCATCCATTCTAAGAGCTCGTAATGAAACCTTGGGAATGCCTCGCAGAGATGTAGGGGATGCTGGTGGTTGGGCTGTGTCATACGCTAGCTGGCCGAAAAAGCGCAATGTTTGGTCAGCGATCAGACATCGGAACTGACAATATGCTCGAGCCCTGACAGGAGGAGTTCCTCGATATTAAAAAAACCAAGACCAGTATTCAGGGACTTGCATTGCCTATCCTGGGAGTTGCTCCACCTTCCCTGGGCTCGGATCTCTGCTGCAAGCTAAAGTTAGAGGTCTGAAATATCTTTTGGTAGGAAGGGGGGATTGAGAACTGTCGAATAACTAAACCTCTTCTGTATACTATTACACTCAGTAGTTCCCCTCTGTTTCCTTCATCATTTTCGCCATGTCGCTTTAGCCCAATTCCTAAAAGCCAAGTGATGAAGGAGAGGGGTCCCCTTCCACCACCCTTCGTAGTAGGTACGAATCTCAAGCAGCCCTAAAAGCTCATACATCGTTTTATGAGGCCATTGGCATGCATTTAGCTTTGATTTTGCTAAAGAAGAACTATGTGAGATCATATAAATGGACCGCTCCTCTCGCTAAAGCAATCAGCAGAGCGTCTCGATCTTGGTTAGGCAACTAAGGCAAATCCTTTGCTGCTGCTGTTTTCCCCCTCTAGAGAAGCTTGTGGCTTCCTATTTATTGACACCTTCTTTCCCTAGGATGTCGGATACGCTTAACCGGAGGAAGAACTGGCCGGCCCACCGGCACCACGTTGGTATAATCCAGCTATATTTCAATTCTTTTAATTTGAACTGATAGCCGCACAACTAGTCTGGGAGTTACTATTTCAGGACATATGATACTTATTGTCAAGGCTATCCAGATATCGTTCCCTGCGTTACTCCAAGTCGTAAACCAGACTACGTATTCCATTTTATCTCAGAGCCTGCCACCAATACAAGGATTTGAAGGCAACCTTCATCCTCCCCATGAATTTCGCACGGTGAATGGCCCTCTTTAGTTGTTATCTACATTGGTTCAAAAGCTTAGCCCTACGGTATCAACATATCAATTATCGATGAAATAAGAATCAAATACGATTGATGTGTCTCAAGAATGCACAAGAACTAACTTGCGTTTGTCCAATTTCTTATTTTTCCAACTGCAAGCCTTTTTGAACTGGGGACGGAGGCGCGAAGACGATGTCAAGTTACTTCGCAATTTAAAGTGTGGCCATCAATCGACCCACAGGCGGTGTTGGGTGCTCTAAGAACCTCTGAGCCACCACTGAGCCAGACCTGAGCCAACCCTGAGCCAACCCTGAGCCTACCCTGAGCCAACCCTGAGCCTACCCTGAGCCAACCCTGAGCCTACCCTGAGCCAACCCTGAGCCTACCCTGAGCCTACCCTGAGCCAACCCTGAGCCAACCCTGAGCCAACCCTGAGCCAACCCTGAGCCAACCCTGAGCCAACCCTGAGCCAACCCTGAGCCAACCCTGAGCCAACCCTGAGCCAACCCTGAGCCAACCCTGAGCCAACCCTGAGCCTACCCTGAGCCTACCCTGAGCCTACCCTGAGCCTACCTTGAGCTTACCCTGAGCCAACCCTGAGCCAACCCTGAGCCAACCCTGAGCCAACCCTGAGCCGCTGAGCTTATATAATCCCACATGAGGGGAAAAATACCGTGAGTTCCCCGCATTGTATTGTCGTACATGATCATTCAGCACCATCCCAACGCCGACGTGTAATGTATGGTAAAATTGAACATACCGGAAGAACTGTGTCGTAACTCTCAGTACGCAGCCCGGCGTTCCATGTCATTAATGGGCCATTCTCAATATTGGCTAGTCCGGGCACCCAGCGTCTGGGTACCCTAGTTCGAGAGATTGGGCGCGTCGAGAGTTTTTTCAACCTGAGAGCCTGTGCGCCTCCGTACTCGGCTTTGGTTTGACCAACGCCATCATCCGTTGAGATTGTACCATATTAACAGGAAGTATACTGGATTCAATATCTTACAAAATCTCAAAATAAATATCGTGATGCCCGATCAATTCCAGAGCACCGGTCCCCACAATACCACCTCCTGTGCGTAGCGGCGACGGATCATTTCAGCATGTCTTCGACTATGCATTTACGGTATTCATCGTCCCCACACATAATGTTTTAGATATTCTAGACGGTTATATCGGTAATGTCTCAGCGTTGATTATGTCAAGCAATAAGAACAATGGGGAAAGATGGCCGTCTTTTCTTCAAAGTTGTGCTGTAGTACACTTTGATTGACCCCTTGCTCCGCCCGGGGAATTCTCGTGAAAATTGCTTGACCACCTCTGACCAAGCGAGGTTTTGCTCGTCCCTTAACTTCATTAGAAGGTGATCTTCATCCACAGACCACTTTAGTCCCTTTCTTGAAGAGGCGTGCTGCGCATCAGTCACTTCAGTGTTCAAGCTCGTATGACCACGGTCGTCGGTTCTACCGTCACATTGGTTTGATGGAGAAGCAACAGCGGCGCTCAAGGGCGCAGAAGCGCAATGAGTTAACGCACCCTCAAAAAGCCAGGACAGGAATTGTAGTCGGTCTTCGACTGAAAGGGCTGAGAATTGGGCACGGACTGTGGTGAAAGAAATGCTCTGACGATGACCCGAACTTTTCTTGGACCGAGTAGAGCCAATTCTTGTATGCCTTTCTCTCGTACGCGAACCTTTTTTTATTTTTGAGGCCTGGCATTCACTGTCCACCATCCCCTTTGAATTCCGTCTGCGTTGGAGAGATGAGACTTTGTTCTGAGAGCGAATAGACTCCGCGGGGCATTCTTCCGGGTGCGTTGCGATGCCGGCGATACTCATAGTTGTTTGAGCCCGTCCGGCAACCGGAGATGCATGGTCATTAAGGATTGCAGGATCGACAGTTTCAAAATTTAGAAGCTCTCCATTCTGAGTAGGGATTCTAAGATCAACACTTTGAGGATGCTGACGGGCAAAATCGACAGGATCCGAGTCATCCAACCCCAAGTCGAGGAACTGATGCTCTGTTTCCCAATGGATATCATCGGCAAAACTTGTAAAAGCGACGTCATCGGCACCAACTATGCTTTGTGGTTGCAAGATGTTCTCGAAGTTGAGAGGCTCCGGGTCACTAACAGCTGAAAGTGTCTGACACAAGCCCTCTGATTCTCGTCGAGTGGGTGGAGCCTCGGAATCCAACCCATCTAAGCAGACCTCCGTCGGCGGGCGGGCAGGAAGGGGGTGTCGCTCAGGTTTGTGGGAATGAACTTTTTGGCTCTTTGAGCCATAGTCGCTAGAATTGGAGCTTGGCGGGGTGGTAGTGATCGAGACCGGACTTGGGTAGCGACAAGTACCGGGGGGATCGCGCAATGGCTGAGCTTTGTCTTGGAAAGGGTTCCATGGACGAAACGATTCCAGGCGAAAATTGGTGCTTGACATGTTGAGAAAGGTGGACAGCCAGAAGAATCCTGCAGATGTAGTTTTGAACCTGAATAAGAATGGGGCGGTGAGATATGGGGGTTTGGGATACAGAGCAGGGGCGAGGGGGAAGGGAGAGGGGGTATTGAAAGGTTTCTGTCTGATTGAGCTTTCGAGGAGGATTGCCAACTCCTTTATAGACGAGGGTTGCCTTTGGCGGCGCAGAGGATTCGGTCCACCTCCTTCAATCCGAGTTGTTTCATCCAAGGCGTGGAGCCACACAGATTGCACAATAAGGGGCCAAAGGCCATCGGCAAAAGCTTCTGCGCACCTCGGTGGCGTCCCATTGTAACCTGGTTCCACAGTGGTCGTCAGCCTGGCCTCCAATCGATGGTCAGGGGCCGTCTGTAGAATGGACCATCGTCGGCCTCGTGACGCAGTACTTGGCATCGATTGAGACCAGGCAAGGATGCGGCAATTTCGCCATTGGTCCGTATAACGGCATTGTTGTCCGGAGTCTCGTCGACCTGGTAACAACGGCTAAGAGAAACCGACTATGACGACAGTCTTACCCCGAGGCACTCTCGAACGAGCGGACCAGGGTGCACCTTCAGCACTGGGGGCTGTACAATGTAACCTCGCACGGACTGTGGCAAATCAAAGCGTGCGTGTCGAGGATTTCCAAGACACTGTTTTCCGGCCGAGCAAAAATGCCAGCAGAATGAGCGAGGCGCTCAGCGAGAAAGGCTCGCAAACAACATGTGTTCTCGAGAGCTTCACAGTACAATCAAAGTAGGCGAAAATACTAGTATCATATCACACAGGATGGCAAGGGCTTCGTGATCTCGAAGCATCAACTTGCAAGGGACCGGTCCGCGTTGCAGGCAACGCTGGCTAGAACCGGCTGAGCGGTGGATCGAGCGACATCTCCGGTGAAATGAAAGGGGCGATGCATCAGGTGGCGAGCCAGTGCGTAGAAGTTGGTGGGGACCGAGCGAAAGGGGGTCAGACAGGAAAAAGAAGAGAATGTGCGTCGACAGAGCTGCGAAGTGAACGAGCGGTGTTTTATAGATGGAGGACAGGTTGAGGGGCGGTAAAAGCGGCCAGAGGCGGCACTAAACCCGAACGGGAGTGCGGGTGAGGGCGCCAAACGCAAAGGGGCAAGGGGATGGCGGAGACGGGCAGGCGGTCGAGGGCGGCAGGACGGCGGTGCAATGGGAGCCGTTTCTGGCCCCCCGCTCACCGTGTCAAATATTACTTATATATACCTTTAGAACTTTAGTGACTCTTACTTAATTATAACTTAATAATACCTACGAGTAGACTAATACCCCGGTATAGATCTCCTCGGCGCTCTATCTAGTATCGTTCCTCGATACCTTAAAAGGACCTATCCTATAGTAAGGCCTATTAGGTAATAGTACGGTTGAGAGAATAGATTATTAACTTTAGAAACCTAAGAAGTCTAAGGTAAGTATAACCGAATCCTTCTAACTTAACTATAACTAGTTAGTAGTGCGTAATATATTAAAGACTATCTCGAATTAAGCTTTAAGTCACTATACGATAATATATCTCACGTTAGTTCGGGTAAGAAGCCTATTAGGGAGTAGGCTACTCTACCTTAAGATAAACCTAACTCCGATATCGAGCGAGATAACACTATCGCTAAGTAGAAGAAGAAGATTAGCGAACTAGAGTATAATATTAAGAAGATAATAAGTTAACTATCCGACTTAGGCGAACGAAGCGGCACTAAGTTTAGCGAGGTAGACGAGTACCTTAAGTAAATTAAGTCTTAAATTATCGCCTTTATACCTACTAGCGCTATCTAAGCACCACGACTACCTAAGGTTAAGTGCTTTAAAGGAAACCGAACTAAGCTTTAAGGATTCCTCACTTAGATAGATATACACCTCGATATAAATCAAACTAAGCTACCTACCGAAGCTAGTAAGGTAATCTTTATATTAACCTACTTATATAGCTAAGTATAGAGCTAGTTTAAACTATATATTTAAGATTACTATAAAAAGGAAACTAGCGAGTAGTTAACCACCACTACCGAAGTCTTCGGAGGATACTATAACTTCTATAAGTATCTTAAGCGAATATTCGGAGATATCGACGTAGTAAGAACGGCTAAGCGTAAGTTATAGAAAATCAGATAATAAACTAGCGTATCGATATACGCCTCCGAGTTCTAGTAAATCATTTTATATCTAGATCTACCCGATCGAGCGTATATCCTATACTTTAAGGTAGGACTTAAACTAGATATTAAGGAAGAACTAGCTAGGATCGATAGGCTAGATACCCTAGACAAACTTATTAAGATCGCGGTTAAGATCGACAACTATATTAACGAACGAAAGTACGAACGACGAGAAATAGATTAGTGGAAGCGCGGTAAGACGCACGGCTTTAACCGATTTAGTTATAGGCGCCATGATAGGGCACCACTATAAGATAGCGACCTATATAGCTTAAAGCTAATAGAGTTAGACGCCACTTAGGATAAGTAAAACGAGCGTCGTAAAAAGAATCTCTACTTCACGTGCGGGAAACTAGGACACCGTATAAGAGAATATAAATAGAAGAAACCGTATAAGAAACGGTAATATATATAAGCGACACGCGAGGAACTACGTACGACTCGAGAATCTAGAAAGGACTACCTAAGAAAGGAAACCTTAGAAGATCTCTTAGTAAAATTAGAAGATATAAGCCCGGAAGAGATAATAGCGGGTAACCTATATATTAAAGGGTTAGCCGACGAGTAATATATCGATTATCTAGAGATCGACTAGGATACTATAGAGAGTTAAGGGTGGACCTAGTATATCCCTTAGGAACTAAACTATTCCCTAGGATAGTCTAATAACTCTTAAGAATAATAAGTGATCCTAGAGATACCACTAGAAAGTCCTAGGAACTATCGTTAACTAAGTAACGATAAAGAAGCCGATAAGCTTATTAGTTATCTCTAGGATAAGATTTAGACTAGTAGATTAGACTAGCACCTTATTATAGCGATTAAGGAAGGCGATAACCTAATAGGATACCCTTATAAAGATTCCACTTATACGTATAAAGGATATACACGACACCTAGGATATAGTAGAATAGCTAGTATTATATACTATAATGAGACGTATATAACCTATAGGTTAGTAAAGTTAGATTACGGTATCGAACCGAGACCACTATAGTGGATAAAGAAGCTATAATAGAAATAAGAGTACTAAGGGATTTAGTATAATAGAAGATAACTATACGATTACGAGAATCGTCTAACGGCGTAGTTAGCTATAACCTTATCGGGAACTTATATTAAACTATTTATAATCCTACCTATAGGAAAGGCGTAGACCCTTATCGACTTAGGTGCCACTAATAACTTTATAAACCTAAGGTTCTAGGAAAACTAATAAGTATTAACTAAAAAGTTGTTATAAGTGATACTAGTTTTAGGACTCGATAGAGAAGTCCTCTTTAGAGGAGTTAGCGAAGAAACTATCACCCTACCTATATCTATCTACGGACACCTAGAATTGATTAAGTTTAATATCTTAGAAATGGGAGACTATAATATCGTTTTAGGCATTCTATAGCTTAGGAAGTATAACCCGAGTATCGATTAGTAAATAGGACGTATCTCGTTCGGTAGATACGAGTGTACGAAATAATACGACGATTATAAAACGCGTCGGAAGAAGTCCGCCTAATAAAATAATAGTAATAATAACTAGCCTTATAAGAAAAGGGTTAGGGTATTAGTTATAGGCGTTACCCTAGATATAATAGAATAGTCACTAGATATATCCGACTATAAGTTAGCGGAATATATGATTATTAAACATAAAAAGCTATATATAACTAGCGATAAACCTAGGATTCTAGACGAATACTAGGAGTTTAGAGATATCTTTATAGCACTAGCCGATAGAGTGCTACTAGAACACGGAATCTTTAATTATAAGATTAATATAATAGAGGGTATAAAACCTACTTTTAGACCTATCTATTAATTGTCTTAGAAAGAATCCGGAGCACTTAAGGATTATATCGACGAGAACCTATAGAAAGCTTATATCCGCGCCTCTAAGTCACTAGCGGGATACCCGATTATCTTCGTACTAAAGAAGGATAGGAGTCTTCGACTTTATATAGACTATCGATATTTAAATTCGATTACTATTAAAGATCGATACCTACTACCTTTAATTCACGAGATTTAGGATCGGATCTAGGGAGTAAAGTACTTCTCGAAGTATAATATTACTAATACGTACTATCGTATTCGGATTAAGCTAGGCTATAAATAGAAAACGGTATTTAGAACTAAGTACGGACACTACGAGTATATAGTTATACTATTCGGCCTTACTAATACATTAGCCACCTTCTAACGCTTTATCTTTAGCGTATTAGAAGAGTATCTTAATATCTTCGTTATCGCGTATCTAGACGATATCTTAGTATTCTCTAAAACGCTTAAAGAATATATTAAATATAATAAGCTAGTACTATATAAGTTAAGAGCTACGAAGGTCACTCTTAAACTTAAGAAATACGAGTTTTATATCTAGGAAATAGGATTCCTCGGATATCGTATTAGCCTAGACGGACTAGGTATAGAAGAAGATAAGATTAAAAGTATTATAGAATAGCCTATACCTAGAAATGTTAAAGAAGTGTAATAATTTCTTAGACTTACAAACTACTATCGGAAAATTATTAATAGGTATACTAGTATAGTAACCGGACTTTACCGATTTATTAAGAAAGGATAGACATTTATATAAGACGACGTAGTAGAGATATTATTTTAGGAACTAAAGAAACTATTTAGTAAGCGAACGATTGTGGCTACCTTTAACTACGATCTACTAATCGTGTTAGAAACGGACGCCTTAGACTACGCTCTCGGAGCTAGACTAACTTAGGAAGAAAACGGGATCTCCCGACTAGTCGTATTCTAGTCTAGAAAAATGATCCCTATAGAACTTAATTATAATATACACGATAAGGAACTATTAGCTATAGTGTTAGTATTCTAAGTCTAAAGGGTATATCTTAAGGGAGTAAAATATACCGTGACGGTACGAACCGACTATAAGAACCTCACGTTCTTTATAACGACGAAGGTTCTTATATAATAATAAGCGCGATAGGCTAAAACCCTTATAGAATACGATTTTAGAATCATATATTATAAAGGAACGGAAAATAGCTAAGTAGACGCTTTAAGTAAACGACTAGATTACGAGCTTAGTACTAAGGTAGCGGAACCCGCTATATTAAGATAAAACTAGGACGGAACTATCTTATATAATAAATAAGTACTAGCCGTAATAATCGAGATTAAGGACGACGACCTACTATAATAGATTAAAGATGAATTAAAGGGAGACGTAATCTAATACCTTACTAGAACGAGTGAAAAACTCACCCTAGACGATAATAGACTATTCCTTATACACGGATTAATATATATCCTAATAAAACTTAAAAACGAAGTGATTAAAAGATATCACGACGATATTATATATAGATATATAGGGGTAGAAAAGACTATCGAATAGATTTCGCGAAACTATTATTTTCCGAATATATACCGAAAGGTCCGATTCTATATTAGAGGATATAACACGTGCTAAAGAAATAAGCTAGCACGACACGCACCTTATAGGGAATTATAGCTATCTAAAACACTATCCCACCCTTAGGAATAGATCACTATAGACTTTATTATAAAGCTACTAGTCTTAGAAGGACACGATATGATTATAGTTATAGTCGATAGGCTTACGAAGTACGCCTATATGATTCCGACTATAGAAACCATTAACGCCGACTAGATAGTAAACATCGTGCTACGGTATATAGTTATAAACCACGGAATACTAAGTAAGATTATATTAGATAGAGATAAGTTGTTTATATCGAAGATATAGCAATCATTTACGGATCAAATAGGTATTAAGCTTAGACTCTCTACCGCATACTATCTATAGACCAACGGATAAATAGAAAGAGTGAACCAGACGTTGAAATAGTACCTACGACACTACGTGAACTACCAGTAAGACGACTAGGTAGGACTGTTACTAATAGCACAACTAGTATACAACAATATAGTACACTCTACGATACGAGAATCACTATTCTTCGTAAACTATGTTACGAGCCAGTTCTTTAAGCAAAAAGAGTGCATTCAACGAAAATACTAAGTACAGAGAGAGAAAGAGAAAGAAAAAGAGGATTGGTTGGCCTAAGGTCTTTTGTGGGCCTTAGTGCAAACCTTGCAAACACCATCCTCTAAGTGTCCCAAGCTGGTAGGCGGTTAGCAACGGGTAGAACTATAGTTGTCATCTCTAGATCGTGATATAACCCCCGGCTAAGAACGCATTTAGTCCCTAAATGCCGGTTTATCGTTATTAATGTGATCGTCTAGGAAGTTGTCGTGCTATACCGCTTCAATCTATTCCTATAGACATAAGGGAGGGCCCGGTTTCATTAGGTATTGATTATAGAATTCCTACAACTTCTACGGTGTATACTTGAAATTGCTAGTAGGGTACTATTATAAGTCCACGTTATAACCTAGCCACTATACTCGGTATTGTAGCTTCTAGTAGTGAGTCCTCGAATTAAGTATTTTCTCGACTTCCCACTTATCTTCTTCGTTAATTTCTATTGGTAGGGGAGGATTAGGATATTATCCCTTTAATAGTTTAGTTATCGTAGCCTTCCGTAGTTTGCTTAGATTAAAGATAGGGTACACTCGAATTAAATTAGGTAAGTTAAGCTTGTACGAGTTCCTAACCTTCTCGATAATCTTATACGGGCCACTAGCTAAATAAGCTAGCTTCCGGCTCGGCTAAGTAAAGTGCTAGTCTTTCGTCGTAACGAAGATATAATCGTCTACACCGAAATCTTCTTCCTATCGATACTTATTCGCCTACTAAATCTGTAATTACTAGGATTTAACAATTTACTCCTTAGTTTCTTTCTAGATATCCTATAATCGAGAAAGTATACTCACTACGTCCTACTTATTCTATATTAAAGTGTTTTAATCCCTCTAGTCAAATGATATAGTCGGTTCGTATCCCCACTTAATAAAAAATGGGGATCGTTTTATTATATCTTAGGAGAGGATTAAAGCTACGAAGTTAACTATCGGTAGGATCTCTAACTAGTTATTCTAGTTATATTCGATAAATGGACGTAGTCTTTAAGCTATATATTAGTTTACGATCTCACTTTAACCGTTAGTCGGGGGATAATAGGCTATTAATAGTTTCCTTCTAATCCCGAGGATACGATAGAACTTAGTCTAGAATTCCGAAATGAATTGACCTCCTCTATCTAATATAATTGTTTCTAGAATGCCTATAACCCGAATGATATTGTTAATAAAAAGTCGAGCTATCTTCTTTACGTCTTGTTGTGGTGGCCTCAGGCCGCCAGTGATGCCTCAGGCATCAACCCCTCGTTGCTAGATAGATAGTCGGGCTGTTTGCTCCCAGTAGGAATCAACTCTCTCCTCTCCTTCCCTTTGGCCCCTACATAGCGTAGCGCCCAAGAGGTTATGAGCCCTCTGCTTTTCAAAGCTTTCATCCTGTAAAAAGGAGGCATTTTCATCTTTACTTTTTCATCTGTACTGTGCAGAGAGAGTCGCAGTGCAGAATTTTCACCTGATTGGTGGAGCAACCCCACTGTGGGACCACGATCAACCAACCACTTTTCGACGAAAAATCGTCCAATCAACATCGATCTACATAGATCAGATCATTCAACAACATCAAAACGACCTTTGACCACCGGAGTCAGCAAAAATGGCATCCAGCAATGGTGGTGAAGGACCCTCAGGGACCAATACAGGCCCCGCGACACCGATCGCAACCAACAACACAACCACTGCCCCTCTGTACGGAACTGGAGCACCAGAAGACAGAGACTGGGACACAGTGGAAGATGTGACAGATACAATCGGAGATCAAGGTGAAGGACTGCCAGCGATTGGCAGCTTCGTACTTTACAAGCTTGAACCGCTTCTCAAAGAGAAGGAAGATTTCGACAACTGGTTCAATGCTGTCTCACGAATCCTCGAAGGTCACGGCCTTCAGCGTCTAATTGACAAAAACATACTACGACCAACCCGAAACTCACCGAATGCGGAAACATGGATGAAGCTTAGCATGCAAGTCAGTTCCTGGCTTCGTATCTGCATTGACCCCGACGTCGCGAAATACATTACTTCGAGCGGAAAGCGAACCAAGTGGGCGGATGACTTTATGCATGAATGCAAGCTTCACATGCGTGGTGAGGGACATGGCGCACTGAGTGCAGCAATGGTCAAATTCATGGGAACGAAGAAAGCTGAGTTCTCAACAACCACAGAGTTTATTGAAGCTCTACAACAAAGATTCAAAACGGCCAATGATCTCAAAGCCGGCCTACCCCCGTACGCGGCTATTGTGATCATGGTTACGCAGCTACAGGAGATCACTAAGCTACGTAGCGCCATCGAGATCAAGAACAACGAGCTGAAATCGATCAAAGATCCGTCTGCAGAGTTGACAATTCAGGATTTCTTCCTATACTGCTCTGAGATGAAGGATAAGATCAAAGAATTCGGCATTGACGGCGGCTTCGGTGCCAATGCGACAGCCACAAAGACACCGAAGCAGGGACAACAGCAATCCCAGTCTTCAACCGAGAAGAAGGACAAGCTTACCAATGCTCCCCCACCCGGTAAATCAGCATGGAAGCATGTTAACGAATGGAAGAAACACAAAACCCAGCGTACAGCTACTGGCAATTGCTCCTATTGTGGAGGACAAGGCCATGATGCTAAGGACTGCTACTATCTAGTGGCTGACGATCGTCCTTCGAACTGGAAACCGAAGCCTGGCTTATGGTACTGGAAGACAAAAGAGCACTTTCATGAAGATAAAAGCCAGCAACTGACGGGCAAGCCTACTGAGCGAACCAAGCAGGCTAACTTCGACGCCGTCGCTTCATCTGCAACATCAAAGGATGACAAAGTGTACGACTTCGCCGGCATGGCGGTTGCACTTGACGATCCAATTGACGATCCAATTGTCAATGCAGTTGATACTGCAAACAAGATTCAGACCGAAGATGTCTACGCACCAGACAATATTGAAACGGTCTACATTCCAGACAACATCCAGACTATCCTGGAAGATGACACCGAGTCATCTGGCTTCGCCGGCTCGGCAACAACTTCATCTACTCGCCAGCTTCGTGCCGGCATTGACTGGATCCTGGATTCAGGATCATCGTGGCATATCTGTACAAACAGAGAGCTCTTCATTACATACGACGAATACAAACCTGGCACAGCGCCAGGATGGGATTCAAGCACGGGACATGGAGCCGAAGCAATTGGTCATGGAGATATCATTCTTCCGATTCGAAAGCCAGATGGTTCTCGCCATGAACTAAAGCTCCATTGTCAATACAGACCAGGCAACAAATTCAGCCTTCTTGGATACCTTGCCGCTCACATAACACACGGCATGATCTGGAACCCAGAAGACATGCTAATCAAAACCAAAGAGGGGACTATTGGCTACACATTCGTGGCGAAGAACGTCCCATTCATTGAGCTTGCCAACGAGCCATTCCCAGTCCAATATCACGACGATGACAAAGAAACCGGTGTTGCATACACAACGATCTCTGCTGAACTAGCCCATCGTCGACTGGGCCATGCCGGAAGCTACAAAGGAAGAATCAACAAGGACAAGCTTGGTTGTGACGTCGGTAGCGAGCACTATGACTGTGAAGCATGCGGCAAAGGGAAGTCGAAGAAGATCATCTCCCGGGACCGCCAAGCTAGATCAACTAAGGTTGGACAACTTCTTCATATTGATCTTCATCCTGTCAAGCCAAAAGGACTTGATAAGATCACCGGCAAATACGACAGAGAGCATACCATGATCATCACAGATGACTACTCTCGATTCCGAGTGGCACTTCATCTCGCCAAAAAGAGTGATGCTTCGCGAGTCCTACAAGAATGGACAGAGCAATTCAAAGAGCATACTGGTTACTACCCCACTGAATGGAGATTTGACAACGGCACAGAGTTTCACCAATTCACCAAGTGGGCAAAGAGCAAGTTGATGCTTGTCAGTCCTTCTGCGGCGTACGCTCATGAACAAAACGGCGTATCTGAATTCAGCGGTCACTATATCATGCAAGTGGCAAGGACAATACACCTTGACGCAGAGATAGCACCGAAGGAGCTGTGGACAGAGGCAGTTAGCGCCAGCACCTACATCATCAATCGACTGTCTCGCTCGGGGGGTGAAGCACCAATTCTAGCTTGGAGAAAAGCTATGAACCTTCGTGGAGACGAAAGCACAGTCAACCTGTCATTCTTACGAGTATGGTACTCGAAAGCTTACGTCCATAAGCCAAAAGAAACCCGCATTCAAAGTATGAAGATGGATCCTCGAGCATGGATCGGTTATCTGGTGGGATATGAAGGTGACAACGGTCATTGCTACCGCATTTACAATCCTACCACAAAGAAGGTTTCTATTCATAGAGACGTTGTCTTCTTTGAACCAAGAGCACCACAGTCATATGACGGTGCTAATGATCTCAAGATCGGAGAAGAAGAAACCGTCATTGATGGCCCTCCACCTGGCAAGACACAGTTCTCAATCAGCGAGCCAGTTTTCAAAACGACTCGCCAAGCGATGAAAGATCTTTCTGTTGCACCAATTACACCAGGAAAGATCATTGGAGAGATCACTGATCAAGGACATGTTAGCTCAGGGGAAGAGCACCAGGATCACCTAGATGCTTCATTGTTTTCGGAAGGAAGCTCTGTCAATACAGAGGAAGCTGAATTGTTCTACAATACACAGGAGGATACCCTAGAAAATAGGGTACAAGCATTACGACTGAAAGAGCCAGAGACGCCAATTCGTCAAGTTCAACAACAAGCTTCTCCTCCAAGAACAGGGCAAGTTCACCAGCAACAAGCTTACCGTCAAGAGAGAATTGACTACCCTAGACTGCCAGAGATCTATAAAGAACCGGCTACGCCTTCTCCTACGCCGTCACCATTGACAGGCACCCAACAAAACCAGATCAACCTCGCGAGACAGGTGGTTGAAAACGAGATCCGACCATCACCGAACCCGGCCCGTCTCGATCCACCGGAAAGATTCCAACCTACGAATGCGACCCCCACTACCACCGCCGTACGACGATCTCCACGATCAACGAAGGGCCAGAGCCCAGAACGATACCAAGACTTGAAGTGGAAGAAATACGGCGAACCGGACCGAAGTGGAGGATCACAATGCGCCGTGGTAGGATCGGTGGCAAGTGGTGGAGATAGAGATGGAGACATGGGATTGATGCCAAACGACTACTAGATGAATTCGCCATTTGGCGTTGGTTTTGCCATGTCATCGACCGAGACAGGACCTGATCAAGGCTCTATCCCAACTAGTCAAGATGCTACCTCAACCGGACATTTGAAATCATGGCAAGTGAAGATTCCACGTACCTACGCGGAAGCGATGGCATCTCCACATAAGAAAGAATGGCTTGGTGCGATGCAGGTGCAGATCAAGAAGCTTCATACCGCAAATGCATTCGAATACATTGATCGTCCACCATCTGGAGCTACCATTCTACCCGGCAAATGGGTGTTCGATCTCAAGATCGATAAGAACAACACTGTTCTGGAATTCAGAGCCCGATGGGTCATCTGTGGAAACCGTCAACGCCCCGGATTCGACTTCGACGAGAACTACGCGCCAGTTGCAAGAGCAGAGACGATGAGACTCTTCTTAAGCGTCGTATCTATCAAGAATATGATCCTCGAACAAGTGGATTATACGGCAGCCTATCTCAATGCAGCAATTGACAACCGAGCGATCTTCATGAAACAACCGACAGGCTTCGAAGAAGGAGACAAAGTCTGTATTCTTTTACAAGCCCTTTATGGCCTTCGACAAGCTGGTCATCTGTGGTACAAAACCATTGCCACAGCATTGAAAGAGATGGGATTCCAACCGCTTGAAGATGAGCCCTGCATTATGATCCACAAGGAGAGAAACGTCTGGATCTTGCTCTATGTTGACGACACATTGATCGCTGCATCTGACGAAGAAGGAATTGCTTGGTTCAAAAGCAAGATCCCATTCAAATACCGAGATCTCGGCAAGCCAGATCGCTTTCTGGGTAGTAGCCTCTCTCGTGGTAGACATGGCATATTCCTCAGCCAAAGTGCATATGCAGAAGAAATCATCGTCAAAGCTGGCTTGCAAACTGCAGCTGCCGTCTATCTCCCAATGAAGACGACATACAAATCACCAGCAATAACCAATTCGAAAAACGACAAGGATGTACGGAGAGATGACAACGATCTCCAGGAAGATCAACCTTCAATCTCAACTACAGAAGCAAAAGCATACGTTGAAGACATCGGCAAGCTAGGATGGTTGACAGACAAGTCTCGCCCAGATATCGCCCTCGCAGTCAACAAGCTTCAACGACGAGCATCAGCACCAAGACAGGAGGATGTCGAGGCATTAAAACAACTGAATCGTTATATGAAAGGAACGATGCACCTCGGTATCTTACTAGGTGGAAAACCAGAGGAAGGCTTGTATGGCTATGTCGATGCTTCATATCAAGATTGTGAAGACGGTAAGAGCACGGAGGCGTTTATCTTCTATTACGCCGGTGGCCCAATCAGCTGGTCATCTCGGAAAGAAGAGATCGTCGCGAGAAGCAGCACTGCCGCCGAGTACGTCGCTTTTGATGCCGCGATCAGGGAGTGCATGTGGTTGTTAAAGATCCTACACCAAATGGGGATCGAACAGACACTTCCAATCACACTATACACCGACAGTGATAACGCGGTGTCGATCATGAAGAAAGATAACTACGCAAAGGGGACGAAATGGATTGACGCAAGATACCACTTTGTACGACATGCAGTCAGAGAAGGCATCGTTCGACTGGAACTAATCGCAAGCGCCAACAACATTGCGGATACCCTCACCAAACCACTCGCGAAGGAGCTCTTCGAACCAATGAGAGCAAGGATGATGGCGAAATCAGCCAATGACAACGACGTTGAACGATGAAATTGATGAAGGATGAATTCCAACGTACATACAAATGAAAATGACAAAAACAAAGGGAATGAATTGAGAAGAAACCAGTGGAAAATGAGCTGGAAAACCTACAAAAACATGTGATTTTTACTATGTAAACCGGAATGGTTGCATATGTTAGAGAGAGATTTCCTCGGGATTTGTGCCTGGGGGGGTGTGTTGTGGTGGCCTCAGGCCGCCAGTGATGCCTCAGGCATCAACCCCTCGTTGCTAGATAGATAGTCGGGCTGTTTGCTCCCAGTAGGAATCAACTCTCTCCCTCCTTCCCTTTGGCCCCTACATAGCGTAGCGCCCAAGACGTCTATATCCTTATAATAAGGGATAGATACCGGTCTTTTACTTAGACGGTTAACCACTATAAAAACTACGTTATACCTATAACGATCTTTCGGGAATAAACGAAAATCTATTAATATATACTACCACGGGCGATCTAGAACTAGGAGAGGATGGAGTAACCTAGGGGTCTTATCTCTCTATATTTTCGTTCGTTTATAGAGTAGATAGTTGTCAATATAACGTTTTATATTAGTAACCTAACCTAGCTAATGGTATCGGGTAGAGATCAACTTTTTCAACTTCTTAATTCTAGGGTGGGCTATTAATAGTTAACGATATATATCGTCTAGTAGTCTTACACGTAAATCCTAATGATCTAGAACTTCTAGTCGACCTTTATATAAGAGCAATCCTTCTTATAGAGTCTATCTCTTACTACTAGCTTTAGCAATCTATCGGAACTTATTAAGTTCGACACTTTGACGGTTTGCTTCTTTCACTCGCTTAGTGATTTCTTACGCCTACGGATCTTCTAGATCGATAGGAACTAGGTGTTACGCACTGCTAGCTGGTCACAGTTAGGTTAGAAGGTTTCCAGGTTATACTTGCCTTATGCTTCTCAAGTTTCTAACGTCAACGATCTGTACTCTCAACCGTACTGTTGCCTAATAGGCCTTACTATAGGATGGGTCCTATTAAGGTATCGAGGAACGATACTAGGTAGAGCGCCGAGTAGATCTATACCGGAGTATTGGTCTACTCGTGAGTGTTATCAAGTTATAATCAAGTTTAAAGAGTCACTAAAGTTCTAAAGGTATATATAAGTAACAATGTAGGATTAAAGACGAAGAACTAAACTAGATATATAAATGAGTGTCCTTATATATCCCTAAGTTCTTCCTATATAGAATAGTAGATTGTAGATAAGTAGAATTGCCTTAGTAGATTCTACTAGTCTACCGTTAACTATTCTACTACTTATATGATTATATAACGGCTTCTATTAGTGGCAGAGGTTTGCTAGTCTATATAGGTATATATATACCGGATATCCTCTAGAAGTGGGTCCTACTTAGGGCTAATCGTACTTTTGCTCACTAAGTATAATCACGGTTTCTCTTTTCCCTAAATACCTAGGTATCCTAGAGTATAGGATAGTGCACGTGATCTAATAATAGATCGTTCGGTTAGCTCTCGGTGGCCTATTAGTAGTTACGGTCCCTATAACTAATTAGTGACTAGTATATCCGTAATATCACCTCCCCTCTTCCTAGGAGTTTCGTCCCTAAGACTTATAAATCTACGGTTCCCCCTTAGGTAGGTGATAGATTTTTCTTTTCTTAAAATAATACGTCCTCGTTATACCTAAACGTAAGGCTAACTCCGTTTCTAAGCTTACTCCTAGACTTCCTTCTAATTCCTCCGACGCTCACTAATATTAAGTAACCTATATCGAGGATAATAATTTCACTACCGCTATTTCTTACGATCATTATAAAACGGCTAGTATGGCTTACTTAATAGATCGGTCTTATCGTTATTCGAAATATACGTCTTACACTCGTATAGGCCGCACGTATAAGCGTGACTTCCACACTAGTTAGGAGTGGGATTTATTATATTATACCGAAGATAAACTTTCTTCCGACCTTAAAATGAATGAAAATGAACTCGATTTGTTAGAACCCGAGTTAGGTGAATTATAGGCTTGTCTCGTAGAGCTATATTAGTAAGTGTTAAATAAATAAAAATAATACTAGGAAACTATATCGCGATAACGTCGGCTATAAAAGTAGATAGCTTTCCTAAAATAAAAGGGTTTTAAAATATTAGAATATAACGCGGAACTCCTTTAAATTCTCGATAAAAAATAAACGTCCCTAGAGTAGTCTTCCTCCTCTACCCTTAAGCTCGAGTAGCTCGCTACTACTACTAAGTATCCGAACTTTAATTAGATACTAGCGGAGATTACTAATCTTCTAGTGTCTTTCTAGGACGGCCCGACTTTCTCCGCTACTAGTGTTAGTGGAACTATTAAACTAGCTAGGGGTAGCCCCTTAGATTTTTAATAGGTTCCTATATATTCTTAGAGGTATCGTACCCCTTCTATCTCACTAGATAGTGAGGTTTTCCGCTTATACGTTTTATTTCTAGGATTTCCTTAACCTTATATTCGTTTTTAGTTTCTTCCTCTATTTCTATATTTATTATAAGTTTAGCGTTATTTAGTGTGGGTTCGAGTAACGAGATATAGAACACTAGATAGAGTTTTTATATACTTTCCGGTAGTCTTAAGCGATAATTAACTAGTCCTAATTTTTCTTTAATTTCGAATGGTCCTAATCGTAGATAGTCTAATTTATTACTAGGTCGCTTAGTTTTAATATTACGGTGTAAAAGATAAACCTTTTCCCCCCTCTTTAGGTTAGGTCCCTCCTAGTGTTATTAGTTATAGTACTTCTTTATATATAGATTGATAAAGTTAATATCTCTAGATAGTTATAGATATAACTATTTTAGCCCGCTAGCTTTTAGTCTTACTAATTCCGCCACGGCTATTTTACTAATTAGTTCTCTAAATATTATAGGGTTGTACCTATAGTTTGTGAAGAATGGTGATTCTTATATTATAGAGTGTACTATATTATTATATACTAGTTATACTATCGGTAATAGTCCTATCTAGTCGTCTTACTAGTAGTTTATATAGTGCTATAGGTACTATTTTAACGTCTAGTTCACTCTTTCTATTTGCCCGTTAGTTTATAGATAGTATACGGTAGAGAGTCTAAGCTTAATACCTATTTAATCTATAAATAATTGCTATATCTTTAATATAAATAACTTATCTCTATCTAATATAATCTTACTCGGCATTCTATGGTTTATAACTATATATTGTAGCATAATATTCGCTATTTAATCGGCGTTAATAGTTTCTATAGTCGGAATCATATAGGCGTACTTTATAAGCCTATCGATTATAACTATAATTATATCGTGTCCCTCTAAGACTAGTAGCTTTATAATAAAGTCTATAGTGATCTATTCCTAAGGGTGGGATAGCGTCTTAGATAGCTATAGTTCCCTATAAGATACGTGTCGTGCTAGCTTATTCCTTTAGCACGTATCGTATCCTCTAATATAGAATCGGACCTTTCGATATATATTCGGAAAATAATAGTTTCGCGAAATCTATTCGATAGTTTTTTCTACCCCTATATATCCGTGTGTGATATTAGTATAATATCTTTTAATCACTTCGTTTTTTAGTTTTAATAGGATATATATTAATCCGTATATAAGGAATAATCTATTATTATCTAGGGTGAGTTTATCGCCCGTTCTAGTAAGATATTAGATTACGTCTCCCTTTAATTTATCCTTAATCCGTTATAGTAGGTTATCGTCCTTAACCTCGATTGTTACGGCTAGTACTTATTTGTTATATAAGATAGTTCTATCTTAGTTTTACTTTAGTATAGCGGGTTCCGCTACCTTAGTGTTAAGCTTATAATCTAGTCGTCTACTTAAAGCGTCTACTTAGCTATTCTCTATTCCCTTATAGTGTATGATTCTAAAATCGTATTATATAAGTGTTTTAGCCTATCGCGCTTATTATCGTATAAGAATCTTTATTATTATAAAGAACGTGAGATTCTTATAATCGGTCCGTACCGTTATAATGTGTTTTACTCCTTCTAGATATACTCTCTAGACTTAGAATGCTAACACTATAGCTAATAGTTCCTTATCGTGTATATCGTAATTAAGCTCTATAGGGATTATCTTCCTAGACTAGAATACGACCGGTTAGGAAGTCCCGTTTTCTTCTTAAGTTAGTCTAGCTTTAAGAGCGTAGTCCGAGGCGTCCGTTTCTAATATAATTAGTAGATTATAGTTAAATATAGCTATAATCGTTCGTTTATTAAATAGTTTCTTTAGTTCCTAAAACGATATCTCTACTACGTCGTCTTATATAAATATTTATCCTTTCTTAGTGAATCGGTAGAGTCCGGTTGCTATACTAGTATACCCGTCGATAATCTTCCGATAGTAGTTTATAAGTCTAAGAAATTATTACACTTCTTTAACGTTTCTAGGTATAGGCCATTCTATAATACTTTTAACCTTATCCTCTTCTATACCTAACCCGTCTAGGCTAATACGATATCCGAGAAATCCTATTTCCTAGACGTGAAACTTATATTTCTTAAGTTTAAAAGTGACCTTCGTAGCTCTCAACTTATATAGTACTAGCTTATTATACTTAATATATTCTTCGAGCGTTTTAGAGAATACTAAGATATCGTCTAGATACGTGATAACGAAGATATTAAGGTACTCTTCTAATACGCTAAAGATAAAGCGCTAAAAAGTGGCTAGTACGTTAGTAAGGCCGAATAGTATAACTATATACTCGTAGTGTCTATACTTAGTTCTAAATGCCGTTTTCTATTCGTGGCCTAGCTTAATCCGAATGCGATAATACGTATTAGTAATATTATACTTCGAAAAGTACTTTACTCCTTAAATCCGATCCTAAATCTTATGAATTAAAGGTAGTAGGTGTCGGTCTTTAATAGTAATCGAATTTAGATATCAATAGTCTATATAAAGTCGAAGGCTCCTATCTTTCTTTAGTATAAAGATAATCGGGTATCCCGCTAGTGACTTAGAGGCGCGGATATAACCTTTCTATAGGTTTTTATCGATATTATCATATTTAAAAGTTAATACTTCTACTATTATAATCCTATTAATATAACATGTAAGTGATTTAAACTATACAATGCATTTTAAACTAAAATGCAACATTACAAATAATGATTTAATAATATAACCATACAATGTAAAATATAATATGAACATACAATGCATTATGCAACATTACAATATAACCATACAATGCATTTATTAAAATGCAACATTACAAAATAATGATTTCATAATATAACAATACAATGCATTTTAAATCTATCATTATGACGATAACACATTTAATTAGATCTATCTAGATCTATTTTCAAAAGAGATAAATAAGACTATAACCACCGAGATAATAATTTTTTTATAACATGGTTTTTAATCTTCTTTATATTGAATATACTTCAATTAACTAAATACAACCTTTTTATCTCTTTACTTTCTTACCTTTCATCTTTAGTTTTTCTTTCCTACCATCTAACCCCTATAACCTCCTAGAGAGACCAATCATAATGATGGTCTGTACGGTCGTGCTACTTTGTTTGGGAATGAAAGTGGTACTTAGTATTATATTACGAGCCAGTTCTTTAAGCAAAAAGAGTGCATTCAACGAAAATACTAAGTACAGAGAGAGAAAGAGAAAGAAAAAGAGGATTGGTTGGCCCAAGGTCTTTTGTGGGCCTTGGTGCAAACCTTGCAAACACCATCCTCCAAGTGTCCCAAGCTGGCAGGCGGTCAGCAACGGGCAGAACTATAGTTGTCATCTCTAGATCGTGACAAACTATAGGTATAATCCCATGATGTTTGGAGAACTAATTAGTAAGACCGCCATGGCGGAATCAGTAAGGCTAAAGGCTAGCGGGCTAAAACAGTTATATCTACAACTATCTAGAGACATTAACTTCGTCAATCTACGTATAAAGAAGTACTACGACCAATAACACTAGGAGGGACCTAACCTAAAAAAGGGGGAGAAGGTTTATCTTTTACGCCGTAATATTAAAACTAAGCGACCTAGTAATAAATTAGACCACCTACGATTAGGACCATTCGAAATCGAAGAAAAATTGGGACTAGTCAATTATCGCTTAAGGCTACCGGAAAGTATATAAAAACTCTATCTAGTGTTTTATATCTCGTTACTCGAACCCGTACTAAATAACGCTAAACTCGTGATAAATGTGGAAATCGAAGAAGAAACTAAAAACGAATATAAGGTTAAGGAAATTCTAGAAATAAAATAAATAAGCGGAAAGCCTTACTACTTAGTGAGATAGAAGGGGTATGATACCTCTAAGAATATATAGGAACCTATCGAGAACCTAAGGGGCTGCCCCTAGCTAGTTTAATAGTTCTACTAGAAGAATTGTAGGCTAGGAAGGATAAGTCTATCCCCTTTAAGATAGAAGGGGATAGGGGACTAAATATCTAGGTTAGAGTAGGATTCTCTAACGTAGCGGTAAGAATCTAAGTATCGTGCTCTTCGGTAAGACGATCTAGCTTAGCGAGGTCCTTAGAAGACGGAGGATCTTCGGTATCTAACTACTCTATAACTATAGAGTTATAATTTAATATCTAACTACTACGATCTTTAAGAAACTATTATTATTTCTAAAGGCGTAGAATCGCCATTTGTGCCGGACCGGCCGGATTCGGCCGCCTCCCGCTTCGGGTTTGGTGTCACTCCCCACTATCACCCGTTTGGGCTTAGCTCATCCGGATCCGGTTTGGCATATGCGCTATCCCAGATCAGGGAATGGCGAGATAGATTCCTTTTCGGTTTAGTGCTTCCCAACGGGGTTTGGCCTGGCGCGCCTTTCCTGAACAGGTTCTGCCGTCCTCGACCGCCTGCCCGTACTGTCGTCCCGACTATATAACCCTCGGTGCGTGCCTGGACGACCACCATCCACCTTTCCATTCTTCATTCAAACCCAGCTCTTGGGCTGCGTATATAACCTGCGTACTGTTACGGTATTTCCGCATCAGACGGCACTGCGCCCCTTTGCCAGCTGAACCTCTGTCGTCGCCATCTGCAAGCCACTTCTCCACTGTCCTTGTCGCAGGTTACTCCATCTGCTCAGCCCGCGCGGAAGATCCTCCTTCTCACATGTGGGATTGATGGCCTTATCCGAGGTTGGTGGATTTGTTGGAAGCTTCTGTACCGCCCCGGCATCGTTGTTGTCTCCGTGGGCAACATCCATGACTAGGTCTTCGACCGAGGGCGACTATTCCAAGTTCCTGTCAATGGGCTACGACTTTGTCAAGAAACACTAGACTGCGTTACTATCCGCCATGGTCCTTGGAAACTCTTGGCTACCGCATGTGCCAGCTGAATCAAGGATTTGGTTCATCCTACCGCTGAGCACACGACTCGTCATGCTGAGTGAACCGCGAAGAATAACCCAATGTCCTGTGATCCCAATTATCCACTAATACTTTACTTCCTTCATTTAAGATAGCGCTTCTGCGTGCAGGCTTATGGCCCAGGATAATCCTCCACGTATGTCTTTTCTCGGCGTGGCACAGGAACCTGAATCGATATATCGGTTCCAAATGTGCTCATCATGAGCTGGAGCATTCATTGTCCAATCCGAAAAATGGCGCACTTAAACCCCCCTCATCTCGTGCCCCTGTGGCGTGTTACATCCATTGATCATATGGCAACAGATCAGCCGTGGAACAAGAGCAAGCCAATGCTAGGGCTTGTAATCACAGAATATGCAAATTTGTTTTGCCGCCTTTTTCTAGCATGTGAGCGGATGAAATGCGCCAAGAAAGCGAGGAGTCGCATTTCTCCCAATATTCCGTCAAAACCCGAATAGTAATGCCCTGGAGCTGACGTGGCTCCACGATCACCAATTCAGTGTACACAGGGGATCAGAATCAGCTTTTCCAAGCCGGCTGAATATAAATACGACCCTCAACTTGTTTCCTTTTCCACCCAGCCCATATTTTATCTCTATTGTTTCCATCATGATCGTCGTTAATTTGGACGAGATAATCCAATACAAACCGCCCCATCCAAGTCCTCAATCCAGCATACCCCATAAATTCGAGTCTGCCGTATCTGGCTCTATACAACCCACTTCAAACATAGATGCGTTCGCTCCTCAGACTCCTTCATGTCCTTCATATCCTTCATCTTCCCCGTTCTCTGTTCCCTGGCCACAGAAAGTCTATCACCAGATTTCCCTTCCATCATTGCTCGGTGACAATGAATCTGAGCCGTCCCCCACCATCGACCATCCCAAGCATGTGGCCGTTGGGTACCAGAACGAGTTCGATCATGAGCTGCCAATTGTTGATTTGACGGAAGGCGACAGTGAGGCTGGTTTAGATTTGTATCTTCCAGAGTCCGCCTTGCAAGATGATCGTGCCAGCTGTATTCCAACCCCGCAACCCGGTGACTGGCGTGCTGAAGGTGGGTGATATCTCATTCGCTGGCCTTCCCCTGAAGTAAAACCTTGCTTTTCTTTAATGCTAACACTTATTTTTGGAGCAGAGCACAAGGATAGCGACTGTTGTGAAAGTAGTCCAACGGCGATTTTCACAGATCCACTCGGGTATCAAGACGCCCTTGCTTCTTCGCTAGCTCTAGAGTCCGGATCATCAACGATGTGTACTCAGCCGATCATTCCAGCGACAGCTCAAGCAGCTATTGCACATGAGGGTTAGTGTTTCTTTTGAGAGCCAATGAAATTATACAGTCTCTTATACTCAATACCCAGCCCGGATCATGACCGGTGATGAAGCAGCGCAGTGCCGAGCTGTCAACTATGGTATAGCGGAAACTAGCACAACGATCAATGAAAGAACTGCCGCAAGCGTGAATTGTATGGACGATCAATCAAGGTCACCTTTTCATGACCTTGACACTCCGGTCGATGTTGTTGACCTTGAAAAGAATACAACATCTACTAAGCCCCCAGCTAGCGACCTATCAGAGGCTACAGAAACCGAGCAACCTATCATCTACGATGGGTTAATAGTTGAAGGGATTTCTGAACATTCCAGGAACAATACAGCCCCTTCATATCGTCCTAGTGAAGTGCAACAAAATGACGAAAAAGGCTGCCTGGCACCTCCTGAACACGGCGAGAATGACACAACAGCGAGTATTGCTCCACTTTTACTACAACACGAAAAACAGACAATGCCTCCACCCAGGGTGGAGCACTCTCCGAGGATCAATTCGAGGCCTTGCTCCGTTTCAGTAGTTGTGCCCCCTCCATGCTTCCAAAAACCAGGAAGGAACCAACCAACTCCAAAGTCTCAAGCTAAGCGCACAAAGAAAAGAAAGAGGAGGATCCAGGCTTGTGGCCATGATGGCAGCGATGACAGCGATGACAGTGATTATGTGGAACAAAGTGATATGGAACCTATCGAGCTTCCGCAACAGACCCACAAGCGGGTCAAGGTGGCGAAACTTTCTCCTGCGCGTCCTGGACACAGAACTATTCGTTGCTCTGCACCCAAAGTGGCCCAGCTCGAGATTTCCGAAAATCAAGCCATCCACGCAAATATGCACGACTCTGAAACCATTGCCGTTCGAGGCTTTCTTACGCGGGAGATATTTCTGTCCAAAGTAGTATACTCAGTTACTATTGAAGAGCAAAGAGAAAATAATTGTCCGCATGGCCCATGGAAATCGCTGGAAGATCTTGATGATGCACCCGGCCCCAGCAATCGACCGTCGAGGCCGGCCAGCCACAACAAGGTGCAAACGAAGCATACTTCAGAAGGCTCTCGTTTCTTACCAGAAGAAGATATGTTACTGGTTGAGCTAAAAGAGCGAAGCTGTCTACCCTGGCGCCAGATTGCAAATCGTTTCCCAAAAAGGTCGCAAAATGCTCTCCAGGTGCATTATCATACAAGACTTAAGAATCGAAACCACATGGGCCTAAACAAAGCTGGAAAGCAAAGCGTTCAGCCTGCAGCGACGAGGAAATCATCCAGCACAGCGACGTTTGGTACAACATCGAAGGAGCGCTACGGGTCCCCGAGAGCCAGGCGCCCTGTTATCCGCTATTCGCCGGCTTGATGTTATCCAATTTCTGTGATCGTATACATCCCCCATATAGTAATCATATAGTAAAACCAAAAGAAAAGCACCAACACAAGCGCTGCTGTGGTTCTATATTTTTTGAAGTCAAAGAAGCATCCAGGTATTCAGTTTGTATCTACCATTCCAAGTATGTATTCTATAGTTGGCAGGGATATTTCTCTGACCGCTGGCATGAAGGAATATCTCGCCCTAGCTTTGTAGCAATAGCAGATCAGGAGTATACCTGGAGCAAACCTGGAGCAAACCTGGAGCAAACCTGGAGCAAACCTGGAGCAAACCTGGAGCAAACCTGGAGCAAACCTGGAGCGAACCTGGAGCAAACCTGGAGCAAACCTGGAGCGAACCTGGAGCAAACCTGGAGCAAACCTAGAGCAAAGCTGGAGCATCTATCAGCAATTAGCCTTGGCGAAAAGAGTTCGTATCAGGGCATCCTCTACTTGGCACTAAGGAGGTTCGGCCCGTTCAATACTGATCCCCACACTCTTCGAGGCAAGAAATGATATTGTGAAATTCAAAATGAAATTTACCTGTTCCATTTTCCGTTGAACTGTTTCCCAAAGCATGGACCATCTCCAGATTCGAGTCCAATCCTACGATTTCGCCAACTTTGTTCAAGTCGGACCGTGCCTTGAACTGACCGTGTTGAACTGCCACATGTGAACTATCTACTTATCTCAACTATCCATGAACTAGGAATTAATCTGTCGTTCTTTTATATATCTCAGTTCGGAAACACGTACAACAGAGTTCAACAAAGCTTGGTGTTCGTTTATGGCCCGCTTGCATACAAATTACGCCAACCGATCTCAGCAACTTCAACGAGATGAATTCGGATCTAGTACACTTACTTTTTGTTCAGCGGCGACTGACCGCTGTGTTTTGGCCTGCAGCAGGAAATATATCAATTCGGGCGCTTTGACGGAGAGTTACGTCGAGGAGCATCACATGTTTAGGCTAGCGTTGTATCAATGACTCGGCGTCTAACAGCAAGGTTATCGTTGCAGAAGCCCCATATCCCTGGAATCAACAGCCAGGCCTGGGGATAATGTAGACATCCCGCAGGCTTTATTGGGCTATGAGCTACGTGGATTCTTTCATGACTATCAGTGACCTATAAAGCCCTCCATCCTCCCCACGGTAAGTAATATCTCACTAACATATTTTCAAGTCTCGGACTTTTTCTGTCCTCACCCACCCATGGCAAGATAGCGAATTCACTTGCCTTAGACCATAATCACTCACCGAAATTCCTTACTAATCAACAATATAGACGTCGAGCTAGCTGGAAATACCATAAAGTACGATATTACCCTATTGCCTTCACTCCAGCAAATGCTTACACAATGAGCAGTGTGATAGCTATCCATGGCCTTGACTTCATTGATGCAGATGGGAAATGCTCAGACCCTTCGTGGCAGCAAACATAAAACACTCAGTCCAATGAAGTATGGCTTAAATTGCTCTTCCAAGGCTTGTCTCTCTGAGACAGCGGCTGGGAATCGAGGCTATTTTTATACGAGTATGACTCTATTTGCACTTTTGGCAGCAGTATACAAGGCGTTCAAGAAGAATCGAATGTCTTGCTGCAGCAATTTTGCAAGTCTAGGTGTTCTTTGAAGGTGGGTTTCCTGAACCTTGTAGAAGTAACCTTCCATTCAGAGCCTGAGAAAAGCAGGATACAAAAGATAATATGTTTGTGCCAAGGCTTAGGAGGTGTCTTGGTCAAACAGGTGAGTCAGGTTGAAAATGTATGGGTACTGCTACTTACAAGATGGATAGGCTTTGATCAACACGCCAGAGAAACAAGCGTATTTCGAGATAAAAGACCCGACGTAGGTTTCATTGTTGATCCCTGAAAGAGATGACGTTCGATGCTAATATTAAAAGGTCGGGGCTTGTTTTCTTTGGTACCCCTCATTCGGTGATCAATCAAGCGCGTACTGCTTATTCGAAAGAATACTCTCAATCTTTTTACGTGGAAATGCAAAAGAGAAGTTGCCCTAATCTGCAACTCCTCTCCGAGCTTGGTGGAGCATTCCGTCACCAAGTTGAGGACTACAATTTCGTGTCGTTTTATAGTGACACAGATCAGGTGAGAGATCTCAGAAGTATCGCAGCAGGTTTCCTGAATATCAAAGCCAGGTTACTAACGATGCGTGTATTAGATAGTGTCCGACGCTAAGCCCTTGGCAACGGGTCCAAAATATGGTTATCAAGTGTGTTGTCCGGTCATTGGAAGTTAACCAGGCTACCTACAGCAGGGCCCCCCTGCTCGTTCGGCGGTTACACTTGACCAGAGTGCCTCGAGCAGCAGGGATCCCCTGTCCGTTCGGTTGTTGGACTTGACCAGGATAATTACCGCAGCAGGGGCCCGCCCCCTGCCCGTTCGTGGGTCGGACTTTTACCAGATTACCCGCAACTGTGTCAAGATGGATCTAGGTCTTGAGTCCATTCCGTGGCCTGGTTCAGGATGGTGGCAGCTGAAATTTTGTCGAACCTATAGGAGTCAGTTAAATGTGCCCCGTTGGCGCTGTTGGTGTAATGTGACCAACATATTCGTTGGATATGCACCAGCTAATTAGCCTAAATCAAGTCGAAGCCTGCGAACGGAATCATATCGAGCAGGGTCCTCCTATTTGTCCAGCGGTTGAGCCTTGATTCCATGACCCAACATGCAGCAACAGAGGTACAAAAGATTCGAACCAAGAGTTACATCAACCACGGTTCATTGTTCGTCCAGCGATCGAGCCCAACCTCTGGTTGAACCTGTAGTAGCAGAAATTTCAACTGGAAAGGGTTTAAATAGCGTAACCGGAGGAGTGTAGGGCTCGGTAGGGTTCAACAGGCACTCTTGTGCCCTTCAGCCAATACCGGTTGTCAACGCCCAACACTACAACGCACCTCGTCCCCGATCACCCACTGGCTCGATGGCGCGTCGGTGAGTAGCGCCACCTCGCTTCTGGCGGCCCAATAAGATAGATGAGCAATTACGAGCTAAGCCTGGACGGGTGCGCAAGGATGCCGACAACAGTTTGCGTGGTTGTAACATCTCATCACCTCCATGTCGACACTAGCAAAGACGCAACCCAGCTCAGGCACAGAAATTACGACGACAATCTCGCAGTCCAGAGCAGGCACCCAAATCCTCGCGGCGGTCTCGCAGCCCAGCTCAGGCACCACAGGAAATTGCAGCAGGGGAGGAATTCGCTGAAGGAGCAATGGACGTGGATAGTACCGAAGAAGATACCGACTCCGATTCCGAAGAACCCCCACTTCAGGACAGGTTTCCAACCAGTGATCATGCGATCCGTATCACCCAAGAAGCAGTGGCGGCTTCGCCCAATGTTATTGCCAACTTTATCAGTCAAAAGAAACACCGAGATCTAGAAAAATTCTGCGATCGTCTCAACGCTCAAATTCGCAAAGCGAACAAACAACGTGGCTTAAATATTGATAAAGGCACGATTCCATACGGCAGCTATCGAGGACTGCTCCAAGGTTATGGAGAAGCATTCGTACACTATACCAACAACACAGACCATGAAAAGGCATGGGACCAGTTCAACAAGACTTACAAGCTTATTGCTGCTCTAAATATAAGGCATTGGATTCCACCCGATTGGAACCTTCATGAGTCTTGGGCAGAAGAACAAATCAGCCTGCCTAATCCAGACCCGATCAAATACCATTTGCCTCCACTCTTGGAAGAGGAGGAATTAGACCGGCGGAGTATAGAGAAGGAAGAGGCAAATGAGCTATTATCAAGTATAGAGACTGATGAGGAGACTACTTCTGTCGAAGATCTTGGCGCTCTTGAATCTAGGACGTGGGAGGAACAGCGACAAATGTCTTCCGGGACGGTCCTCTACTGGTGGCCCAAGGCACAGGGTCACAGACCTTCGTTATATATGGGCGCCCATCTGCACCTATCTATCGAATCCGGGCTGGTTCTCATGAGAGTTACAACCAGAGCAAAGTGGAGCGGGTGTTGATTTCTAAAACCCGTGGGACTGCTAGAGAGGTAGACGAAGATGATGACGGAGTTCTTGACGAGCACAGGAAGTATAGTAGGAGTGATGTTGCTGGCATTCTTGGGATTGGATGGAAGATGGATGGTGACGATGAAGACGGAATCAACCCATTGTTACTACTCCAGCCAACCAAAGGTGGGTTATATCCACAAACCCGAGCTTTGGTCAAATGGAGAGATGGGACTCGCACTGTCGAAGGAAGATCATTTATCAGGCGAATCACCATGGGATCAAGTCTGGATGGTGATAAAACGATTTACCAGAAAGCCGTGGAAATGGAGAAAGCCTACCGAAAGGATCAAGGTCTGGATGACTATGAAGATGATTTCACAAGTTAGGAGCCTAAGGCTTCCGAGAAGCTACATCGGTACAATGCTGGAGAGCTCCGCAGCCGCGTTCGATTTCGGGACGTTAGTCCTAGAGAAAGTTCTGATGAAAGCGATTCGGCCCGGAAACCCCACTCCCATCGACGCTCGACCCGGGAAAGCTCCGAGCAGAAGATGATCCGCTCACTTCAACGTCAATTGGATCAGCTCAAACTTGGGAATAGGGGATACTAAACCTCACAATTTTTTTTCCGTTCTTTCTTTTTTGCAATGAGCAGGCCTCATACTTTCATTTGACTGTAGTTTTGTTTACAGCATGTTCAGCTTAGCTTACAAATTGCCAGATTCAACTTAGCTTCTCAATGATCGCACTTCCCTTTACTCTATCCTATATACTTAAGCATCAATAACTGTGGGCAATCCTAGGATCAATGAAAGGTAATATCTACATTGTAATAATTTCATCAAGGACTATAGAATCTTCTTGCGATCAAATCTTTGCCACTAGATTCATTACACGATATTGACAATTAGTGCGAATTTTGTAGGGTGCCCTACTCTGACCCAGGCGTTGTGCGGACTTGGCGGAGACTGTTCACTGCCTACAATAAGAATTTCCTTCTATAGGAAGCCAATTGTCACCTCAGAAAAAAAAAGGGCTTGCCGAATACCACGACATAGAACATGCTAGGATTGGAAAGTGCCTCATGTGTGATGGATCTGGAAGTTGGTACGAATATAGGAATCTAGGGATGCATACATGATATACCGACGATATCACCATGTCATGAGCTTCCAGTAAGCAAGAAATGCCTGACACTACTGTACGAAGAGATGCCACTTGCAATTCAACATACACTTCCCACCCCCGACAGGGTAGCACAGCGGTAGGTAATTGGTTTAACCAACCGATATGACGAGTGGTCTCGACAGGCCGATTCGAACCTCGTGGATGGCATAATGTCCACACATGTATGGTACGCATTCTAAGTTATACAGTAGATTTCGAAAACGGCTTCCCCTTAGAACACTCACGGCTTGTTTCTCGGCCCGTACCCGGAACCACACTAGCCTAAATTAGGACTAGTGGTAAGCTAACATGCATTGTGAGCCAAGGATGATCAATACCAAATCCAAATTCGAACTAGTGTGGTTTCGGGTACGGGCCGAGAAACAAGCCGTGAGTGTTCTAAGGGGAAGCCGTTTTCGAAATCTACTGTACCGTTTTAGGGTTATCTGACCTTTCGACAGTGAGACATAGACTTCGCATAGGAAGAAGGCCGTACAGAAAGTCCCATTAGGGGCCTCTAGTGTGCGGAAATTGAATTACAGTCGCTATGTATAAGTTCACACATAGCTTCCGTTTAGTATAATGCGTCGTGCTTACCATTATCGAAATGTCACATAGCCCTAAAATGGTATAGCTCAGAATGCGTACCATACATGCGTGGACATTATGCCATCTACGGGACCCGAATCGGCCTGTCGAGGCCGCTCGTCATATCGGTTGATTTGGCCAGTGACCTCCTACCATGCTATTTATTACCTATATCCTGATCCTGCTTGGGTCCTCGGAACATAATGATCGGCATGCTCTTGCCTTTATTATTATATGAATAGTGATGTTAGGTGACAATACTCCCGCGAGATTCCGTCGAGAATTTTCCGGCTTTCCCGTGTTCCAAATTAGGCCAAACAATTTCAGCGCTTTGATTGTACCATCAACTAATTCTCATATTCATACCACCCCGTACCTCTTGAGACACAACTACAATAATTAGCTTTTCTTTGCTCAAACCCGAAGTAGAATTCTCATACTTATAGATAAAACTCTGGTAACTACAGGCAAGTTGGCTGTACCAACCATATACATATTTGTAATCGGTTGAACTGCGAAGCTATCTCCAGATCGAGCTGAACAGACTCAGCGGACACTTCTACCTAAGGCGGGACTTATGTCACTAGCCAATCAGAGCTCACTGTAATTTTATCCAACCAGAATCGACACATAACTTGCTGGCCCATATAGGATTACGTAAGCGGGTACATAACCCGAAATATATGTCTCGCGAAGAGCTCTAATCAACAATAAAACTTCCCTTAACGCTATTGAAATCCCCGTGCAATGAATTTTAGCCACTCAGGTCCATGATCCAGTCCCGTCTTCTATACGACAACATCGGCCCCAAGAAGTGTTCAGGGAGGTACACTGGAGAGTTGCGATTCTTGCCGGGACCCCTTCCATCCCGTACCCCGTACCGGCAAACCTCCAGAATGGCTACCCTTTTGCCCCGCGGATATCGTTCCGCCACCGAACACTGTTTCGACGAAGAACAAACCGAAGCCATTGTTCGAACCACCGCCTACCACCGCAGAGACTACAGTCTATCCGTCATCTGGTTCTCGCCCCGTGAACACGTCGATATTCGCCCGTCAATAGCAACACCCTTTCAGCGGACATCAATTGTTGGAGTCGGCTTCCTCGACCGGCTACCCCTCGAGCTCTTATTTGACACATTGTACCGTCTGGACATGCATTCTCTGTTCAAATTTCGACAAATAAATCTCCGATCAAGACAAATGGTAGATTCTCTCAACCAGTATCAGAGAGTAGTCTCTTATGGACTGAACCTCTTCTGTGCTTTGTTACGAACACGACTTGCCATTGACATTTCTCTACTCGACTTTTACAACGCATTATGTACCAAGACATGCAATCTTTGCGGCGAATTCGGCGGGTTTATATCCCTCCTGATTTGGAAGAGGTGCTGTTTTAATTGCCTCCAGTGGTCTTCGGAAACCCAAGTGCGGACTCTCGCCTCAGTCCGAAAGCAATTTCACATGACTAAAGCCGAATTAGACCAACTGAGGTCATTTAAGGCCTTGCCTGGAATATACTCGATGAATGAATCTGCACAAAATTCCCGCATTACGATCGTTTCTCTCCATCAGGTCACTTTGGCTTGCAGACGGCAACCGCCTAGACTTCCGCAAGCCCAATCAGCGGGCTTAGACCGAAATCAAAAAATCAACTTCATGGGGTCGTGTGCACTTCCTTATTACGATAAACAGACTTGCAGAGTGGAACGCGGAATTTCGTGTGCTGGGTGTCAACTTGGTATTGAAAAAGGTATTATCGGCACCAGGGGCACGGAATGGGGATACGAGGCTCGAGACAAAGTGTATGCGCAAGACAGCTTTTTGGAGCATTTTCAGTGGTGTGAACAGGCACAGCTCCTATGGAGATCAAGTGGCGAGGGTAAAATCCGGCCACCCGAGCTACCTATGTCTGCTCGGACAGGGGGCTACTTTCGAAGAAGAGAATGACAATCATATAGAGTCCATTTACTAATGTGTTGCAGCCACACTACCTAGAATTGACAAAGGAGAACCCAGAAAGCGGACATATTCCAGCCATCTCAACGTACAATACTGTACTTTATTCCTCCACGATTTGTCCCATTTGATCCATGAATTTCACCTCTGCGTCTGGCTTGACCAGGTGCCTTGAACAGTAATTGTTCGAGTTCTTGCCCCATACCTTTTTGATTGGATGGCATTTGACGTTTGTTCCCTGGCGCTCCTTACACTGCACGAACTCCCACTCCTTCCTGCAGCCACACGTATATTGGATATACTTTGAATCGCACATTTTGACCTGTCAGGTATCCGAAGTCAATTGGGGCTTAGATATGGGAAACAGTCTTCTCCTTACGATTTTCTGCTGTCAAACGACTTGTACGTTCGCTGATAATCGGTAGAACCGACTAGTGCATAGAATGGAGCTTCACTTGCGCTATCGAGAAACTTGTATGGTGGTGGAGGGCTGTTCTAAACGTTTGCTTCTTGCGAATGCAATAAAAGAAGAGCTTGACTGAAATCTGATGCTGCTACTATTTGAATGATGCTCCAAGCGGACCTTTTATATCTGCCAGGCCGAATATTGCCTCGGTTCCATTTGGGGCTGGCGGCTCTAGCATACTGAGATAAAGACGAGGAAAGTACCACAGGTGTTGCGTACGACGATCACGGTCGTCACTTGTTGTCAATTAAACTCCATTTCCTCCAAATTTAGAGAGAGAAAAAAAAACCTGGACCAATAAAGGATCCACCAATAGTGGGTTTTGTAGAGTTTGGTGTTTCAGGTAACCGCGGAGCTAAAATCACTACTGCAAAAGACTCTGTAAAGATGATCACCTGCTTAGTTCTCGACTCGATTTACATGTACAAGTTGTGTTCCATTCTGGACTCTAACGTTTGGTGCCAAACGTTAGAGTCCAGAATGGAACACCGTGGCTGAATTAATTGAGCAAATTGCGTTGAGTCCTTGCCGCTGAGCTGAGATGGTGGCCGTGTCTAGACTTCCTTGGCCTGCCTAACCCCGCTCGACATTCCTAACAATCCCATGAATTCCAAGGATATCGATCCTTTAGACAATAGAGTACATTATTATCTTTTCCGAAAATAGAAAAATAGCACGCACAGCGGCGGTTAAGGTAATTCCAAGGATATATTATAAACCCAGCTTTCGATCATAGTGAGGGGGATTGACGAATATGGCTTCCTATCAACATCAAGAGAAGCCAATGCATCCGGCTGTCCTCTCCATGGAAGTGGATGATGAAGATTCTTTTGAAAGTGAATATCGACTGCAAATCGGAAATCAAGTCAAATATATCATCATATCTCCCAAAACCTTCGACAGAGATACGCTTTCATTCCCTATTCAGTCCCTGCCAAGTCTTCCTTGGTACGATGAATGGACAGTAGCCCACATTTCGCGAGACGAAACTAGCGGCGACTTGAGAACTTCCATCTCGAACCGACCACTAGCCGGCGTCAAGTGTCAATGGCACCACACCCTATTTGATTGCCTAGAGTTAGTGAGAACCAAGGTGCTCACGGCATCGGCATTCGAAGCAGTCTCGCATCCGATTCTCCCAATCATCTTCCAAACGCCATCGACCGTTATCGCTAAAATAGCTCGTTTCGAATGGGAGATTCCTCGTATCGAACGGGAAACAAGAGCATATCAGCTGCTGGAGTATTCCGGGCTGACGCCGCGCTTCCTCGGCCATATTCATGAAAATGGACGCATCATGGGGTTTCTATTGGAGAAAATAGAAGGACGCCCTGCTTCCATTCAGGATCTGGATATATGTGAAGCAGCTCTGGGGAAACTCCACGAATTGGGATTTTTACATGGGGATGCGAACCGATACAACTTTCTCGTAGCCGAAGGGGGGTAAAACTTCTCGACTTTGAATGCCTTCAGGAAAATGCTAGTCGGGAGTCAATGCACAAGGAGTTAGAGAGCCTACGTCTCGAACTGACTGAGGAGTCCGGGCGTGGCGGAGGTTTCAGAGTCCAGGGCGATAGCAATTGAAAATGTCTTAGTATGATCATGAACCGCTGCCAAGGAAGCGATTCATTGGTTTGTTTTCCTCGACCTTGCTGCAACTTGGCTAGAATCAGAGGAATCTCACATTCTAGAGTTCTTTCTAAATTTAATAGCCAATCAGAAAGTTGATTTTGACTCCGGTCCAGAGAATTGCTCGCTGTTGGACCTTGCTGCTCTAAGGATCACACTACAGATTGCTTCACTCTCAAGCTATTAGCCTGCCATCGATCCACTTTGATTGGTAACTTTGTTAACCTTCATAATCAAGTGAAACGGTAAGTTGGTCGCTTCAGGAGATAACGTGAGACACAAATAAATGAACAGACTAACTTAAAGCATTGAACAGGAATAAACAGAAGACAAAAGGACGCCGTTTAATACAAATTACTGACAAGTTCCTGCAGGGTTGCCCTTGGTGTATGCCAATATTCTGATGATTGGCACTTGGCATACCAATGAGACTTTCCGTCCCGCAAAAGTTCAGTCATAACATATTGGCTTGTGAGGTAGACCCAATCTATTACAAATCTAGAAATACCTTCAGCCTTGACAGGGTGTCCTAGTTGCAAGACAAGCCTGGTCAAAATTCCTCCTCTGTACCAAGGTCCACCCTTCTTGCGCACAATCACTAGCTTATCTCTAGCAGTCGGCCGACCGAACCTGAAACTTGACACCGAATGAAAAGCAAGGAACTATCAAGGGTTTCCAGTAGATCAATATGCTTATGCAATGAATGAGTCCGATACTGATGTCATAAATTGCCAGTGCTCGTAGGGAAGCTGCGTCGCGGGGGGATCCTTTAAGGTCGGGTTTGGTAGCTCTGGAGACTGCGGGATAGGATATCTGAACTGCCAGTGGTCGTAAGGAACCTGCGTCGCGGGGGGATCGCTCAAGGTCGGGTTTGGTAGCTCTGGAGACTGCGGGATAGGATATCTGAACTGCCAGTGGTCGTAAGGAACCTGCGTCGTAGGGGGATCGCTCAAGGTCGGGTTTGGTAGCTCTGGAGACTGCGGGATAGGATATCTGAACTGCCAGTGGTCGTAAGGAACCTGCGTCGCGGGGGGATCGCTCAAGGTCGGGTTTGGTAGCTCTGGAGACTGCGGGATAGGATATCTGAACTGCCAGTGGTCGTAAGGAACCTGCGTCGTAGGGGGATCGCTCAAGGTCGGGTTTGGTAGCTCTGGAGACTGCGGGATAGGATATCTGAACTGCCAGTGGTCGTAAGGAACCTGCGTCGTAGGGGGATCGCTCAAGGTCGGGTTTGGTAGCTCTGGAGACTGCGGGATAGGATATCTGAACTGCCAGTGGTCGTAAGGAACCTGCGTCGCGGGGGGATCGCTCAAGGTCGGGTTTGGTAGCTCTGGAGACTGCGGGATAGGATATCTGAACTGCCAGTGGTCGTAAGGAACCTGCGTCGTAGGGGGATCGCTCAAGGTCGGGTTTGGTAGCTCTGGAGACTGCGGGATAGGATATCTGAACTGCCAGTGGTCGTAAGGAACCTGCGTCGTAGGGGGATCGCTCAAGGTCGGGTTTGGTAGCTCTGGAGACTGCGGGATAGGATATCTGAACTGCCAGTGGTCGTAAGGAACCTGCGTCGTAGGGGGATCGCTCAAGGTCGGGTTTGGTAGCTCTGGAGACTGCGGGATAGGATATCTGAACTGCCGGTGGTCATAAGGAACCTGGATTGAATTCACCTCATCTGACAGCGGACCCCGAGGCTCAATATGGCCGTTCTGTATTTCTGGAGATGCAGAGCTATCCGCATTCGAACCAGGAATGCTATCCATTGTACTTCTTCCCAAGCCTTGTGGGTTCAAGGATGCCGTAGAGAAATCTGGAGAGGATTGATAGAGCAGCGTCGATCGAGTTGAATTCGAACCCCACCTGAGCCCTTGAGCTGGACTCGGCATGCTTGCAAGGTTCTGACGCCTTAGAAGATTTGGTTCATATATGGACGACTCGGGACCACGAAGTCGTACATTAGTTTCCCTGCTATTTCCATCATTCGGTGCTAATATATGCCATGACGGCTGATCTGTGTGGTATTTAGGTGCCTATCTTCCAAAAATTTCCAAGGAACATACCTGTCACTAACGGAGAACCCTGGACAATTTCCAGCGTGATAGACTCAACACATCCCCACAGGTTCTCAAATATCACATGGGCAAGGTCGCTTAATTCTCGTCGAAAGCAGACTTTTGAAATACCTCTATCTCGTAGGCCTTGAATCCATTGTGACCTTTGGGGCCCACCCTCATGGAGTAGCCTTAAACTGCAATATTTTCAACGCGAGAAAATCATTGTCGGGTTTCTGCACTTACTATTCTTTTCCAACATCCTCTGGCAAGCAGAATAAAATCCAAAGATACCGGTACCCATCATCAGAACTATCATCAATATCACGGCACAGGTTATCGATCTTGCTTCCTTCTTTCGACCATTGGATAATGTTCTCCTTAATATCATCTCGATCATGACCCACTAATGGAGATTTTAAGATGATTTTGGCAAGAAGATCTGAACTGTGTGAATGAAGCCTTTGTAGACCGAATTTATGTTTCAGCTTGAAAAAGAGAACCTTCAGGAACCGCGATCGAATCAAGTCATTGTCTCTGCGATGCTCAAAGTGCAACAGACTTCGATAAAAGAAGCCCAGAGCAGGCGCTTCAAAGTTGACAATTGTCTCATCGGCATCAAGGAAGAAATCAGATGGATTTTTCGTCCAACGAGAAATATTACTCGAGATGGAACTGGAAAGGCAAATTTGAGCTTTTGTGGCACTTTTTCTTTCGCGAGGCGGGCGGGGTTGTGATGATTTCAAACGCTTCGCGGGCTTTCTTGCTGTGTTGCCGTTGGTGATGCGAGTATTGGTGATGCGAGTATCCTGAGTCGGGGGGTTCCCGACGATGATTCTTCGAGCATCTTCGGGAAGGTGTGTCCACGAGGACTTGAGGAGTTGAATCGTCTAAGGCCCCTTAGCCAATTGCCCGGATGATAACATAGCTGACAGGTGTACTCGCCTCTGTATCCTGCAAGATCACGTCTATCCGAGTTGAGCCTTGCGTTTCTGCCTCGTAGCAGATATTTTGCAGCTTTTGAAGGAGAACCTTACTTTCTACAAGACCCATCTTCTAGGACTTTTCTGGCGGTTAAGGTGAGCCTTGCACGGTAAGTGAAAGGATCGAGGGATAAACGGGCGGCTGGTCAAGGAAAAGAGAATAACCATGTGACCTCATGTAACGATCCCTGTCGTTGCATTAGCGTCTACAGCCATTGGTGGTTTGCAGTTAAACAGTAGAACCAGCATCTTGGCTTTATCAATATATCTGGTGCATGTTGAATCTCCAAAAACACATACATATATACAAACTGCGTCTCAACGCGTATGATCGAGACGAGAGGCCGAGAGGTCGGCCAAGTCTGATTGTGCTATCAGTTCAAGACACGGAATGTAGCTAGCGCAGAAGTTCAACCACAATCCCTAGCCAATCGTTTGCAGTGCTTCGGGAGTCCGCCATCAAGTGACCAATTAGCAAAGTTCTGGCGTGACTGGGTGCAGATTCGAAGATACGAATGCTTCGGTTTGTGCGGTTAGCGCGCTGGCGGGAAGCATGAAAGGAATAGATTGAGAGGAACTCGGAACTCTTGTGTTGCCTGGCTCTAAGCCACTTGACTTTCGTAGTCCTGATGTTATTCAGAACTCGTAGGGTCTGGTCTGCAGGGGTAGAGAGGCCTCACATCTAGAGCTAGCATTCGAAAATCACCCCGTCAGCGCAGTCGAAAGTCATTCGAGGCTGTGTGCAGATGCCAAGACGATGACTGTTTTATATGGGGGCTCATGGCCCAATGATGTTCTACTCTAGCTCAGCTTGGAGGGTCAGTGCAGCGGTCGGGCCAGGCCCTGATTGGGTTGAGCACGCAGATGTGAAATATGCGGTGGAAGGGTTCAACAAGATCCCCTCTCTTGTATTGCTTGTGGACTATTCCAGAGCGCAGTTCCAGCTGGGAACTACGGCACTGGTTAGGCTTTAGTCCTGACCATTTCGAGCGTCCATTCCTATATGGCTCGGAAACTTATCCGCATGCTAAATGTTTTTCACGGTAGGGAGTTCAACAATTCAGTTGTATTTTGTTGAGGGAGTTATGCGACTCTATATAATGACAGTTTCTTGTGGGTGGTGAAGCCAGGCTCAAATTCAAGAGAAGCGAGGCCACAAAAGGATAGTGGGCACAAAAGTGCCATGTTGGCATTCTGTGATCCTGCCCAATTCTCTAGACCAAGCACTCTTCGCGGGCCGCCTCACGCTCGATCTAACCAATCCGAAGATGATCCCATCGTCGTATGATCGGTAAGACGTTTGGTGACAACTGCTTGATCCTCGCGATTCTGCTTCTCACAGTAGCCTTTGTCCGGTACCTCATCCCATATTCCCTGGTCCCTTTTTCTTCACCAATTGTTCGCTTTCATGGAGACCCTTCCACTTGTCTTTCCCCCCTCAATGTGGTAGATACTAGCAATACTAGGTTTCGGTTGGAAGCCTTTCGGCCGTAGAAGATCCAGAGCAAACAGTTATTAGGGTACGCGATCGCGGGATCGATTGTTTCGGTAGTTCTTGGGTTGGGCCGGGTGGAAAGCTCGAGGGTGCTGATCGGCAGTTATTGCTGGCTAGATCGGCAGGATAAAAATCGAGCCTGAGACGATCATCGATGACGTATTTTTGTCATTGGATGGTGCGACTAGGCGCAGCACCTGCAGTCTAGGCCACACAGACACAACAAAATAGAGGGATCACGGAAATGTATACTCCGTACCGAAAGAAGCTGGTCACACGTACGGCTCACACGGACGGGTACAATCAAGTGAATCGTGCGATCCCATCGAGGGAAACGGGACAGACACCAAAAAAAATTCAGGCTTATAGGACAAGTGAACTACACAACTTGAGCGAGAATTTTGGGATGCTCGAATGACGCTTTTCATCCGGAAGAGAATATCTCCAAGGCGCCACTTGCGCAGTCAGGCCAAATCATTCCGATCCAAGGAGTTAAATGTAAAGGTGGAGGCGACAAGGGCTCAGCCGCAGTTTGCGACCGAAAACAAGTAGGGGTAAGGGGGGGAGTGGGGCGGACGGGGAGTCCGGTTCGAAATTGCAGAGGCGCAGCGATGAGTGCAAGATAGAATAATGGAAAAGTGAGAGAAAGGGAGGAACAGCAGCGAAGACGTGTCTTTTATGTCGGAGGGCATCGGCGGGTGGGTACGTGACGGCGTATTGGGGCGCTAAACCGAAAAAGGCAAAACTAACCCGATACAGTAATTCACAGGTCCGCTGCTTACAATGCGAGTGTCGACGCCTCTTTGCGCTTGACCGAGGTGAACAGCAACTTAGGTTTGCTGACATTTACGCGGGTCTATGGATTCTCAGTGGATGTCAGAACTCCATATTCAAAGAAATGGGTGCCATCATGAGGAGCTGGCTTCAAAATGAAGAGTTTCAGTTCTTATATCATTCCGGCGCTATGAATATGACAGTAGAGGCCGAACCCAATACAGGCTCGTCAGTGATAAAAGTACAAAAACCTTCATTCAAAGGCCCACCAGGTGTGATCTTCGCGTTGTCGGACAAGGGTACAAGCCACATGCGCGAGAATTTGTTGATGATAGGCCTCGGTTGTGAGAAATATGCCAGGCTCCAAGTCAATCCCTAATAATCAGTAAGTAGATGCAGCATAGCAGGACTCGAAAATCTTCTTCCCACAGACCTCTCCTAGTCCCATCCCCTTCACTAGCCGTGGCACCTTCTCTTCAAGCAATGGTCCCCCATATGCCCTGTTTCCACTTTGATCCTCTTCATAGAATGTCCCCCTAGTATCCTGGGGCGTCTTTTGTTTCAGCACTGCCTGGGCGATCTCGCCCTTTATTTGTTGACGGACGCTCTCGGTCGCAGAAGAGAGTGGTTGGCTCATCTCGCAGAGCAAAGCAATCGCACCTCCGGAAACTCGTCGGTCTCTTTGACAGGACTTGATACGGTGCTGACTCGTTAGATGTGGTAGCAGAAAAACCTGGTGCGGGATTCTCGGGGCTACTACTTACAGTGTTTGTTGTTATGGGAATAAGACTGCTTAATGGAGGGGCTTGGAGGGGTATAGTGGCAATTGGAGGGAAGTTGGGCATGTAAGTCATGTGACTGGAGCTAAGTTGGGCATAAGTCACGTGGCGTTCCAGATGCTCTTGTTTGGGCTTTACCTTGGCTCAGCTTCATAGTTTGACTAGATATGTGTCCGGGAGACTGATTACATTGGAGTTCAAGAGGATTGGGCTTGTATGTATCATGGTGGAGATCCGTTCGGGGGACAGATGATCCAGGAAATGCGACCGCAGGATCTTAGGAACAGGGATAATTAGAGGAAACCCGTTTTAAGTCTGTACCTCAAAGTCATGCGCGAGAATTTCTACACTCGATTCTTGTTCCTGGAAATAGATCCTATTATCTTCTATGGACCATAAGACGGGAAGGGAAGGAAGACTTGATGCCAAGGCATGGAGAGACTCCGAGCGAATTTTGTTAGAAATCGGGGCTCGATCGTAAACAACTCTGCTCCCGTATTGCAAGCCCAAACTCCCATGGCAACCTTCTGGCTCTTTCACACTTAAACCTACGGCTAACGATGCAGGACACAATTGCCCGAATTGCGAAGTCAACTGGTCGACATATACCCAAGAAAAGGTACTTCAACGTAGTCCACATCCGTAGAAGAGCAAGGCTAATTAATTCCTAGCAAATACAGGAAAATTTCTCTGAAGTTTGTATAGTTATTCAATCCAAAAGACTATGCCTATACCAATCGAAAGTGAATCCAATTTGCTCCGGCTCGCCAAAAGAAAGCACGTGAAGAAGTCCACGTTTCTTTAGGTCCAGACAAAATTCCTTTTTCGAAGTGAATTCCTCTCCCAAGCGGCTGTGATTCACGTCATTACAATTGCCACCATTAGATCGCTCGTCCTTTGTTACCTCGCCGTTGAAACGCTGTAATAACGACCTCCACCACGCTCCGAGGCCATAACATATCCCATGAATTATGCGACCCATGATACCATACCATCGTTCGATAAACTGTGTTTCCACGAGGGTCGCCACTTCGGTGCCTTCCTTCCTCCTAGTTCTGTTGCTTTCCGTCGGATCAATTCTTTCGTTCAAAAGCATGTTCGTGTGCGCGGCTAATTCCGAGACAGTGACGTATTTGTTATGCCAACATTTGTCGATGATGTCGTCAATCAGAGGATTGCCATCCAGATTGGGAAATTCCATACTCTGTAGTAACTCCACGACTTTAGGACCATGCTCGTAAGGCTCTTTGGCGAGACATCGATCTCCATAGACTTCAAAACCGTAGTTTATCAAATAATAGATGGAACCAAGAGCGAACTTTTCGGAGGGGAAGAGGTTCTAACTTTTCCACTGCAGTAACCACTATGGTTTGCTGGTCCCGAGTATGATTTTTTTGTATCCTAGAAGAAAGCGACTCCGACTTCAGGAAAAGGGGTGTATTTATTAGATAAAAAGCCAACGCCCTTCGGGCCTCCTGGTGAATCACTGCGCTATTGAGACCGTATTCGATGCCCCGTGGTCGGGCCCAAAGTATCAGGAACGACTGTTGCTGAAAAACGCGCCATGGAAAGAGATTAATAGCAGAATTGCTAACACACTGGCCGCCCTTCCGTCGGAAGGCACAGTGTAGTAGAAAACTGATCGACTTATATCGGCGGTCTCGGGAGCGGTGCATGCTTTAACACTAAGAGCGAAACCATCACCACACGCGAAGCGATGGTGCACAGCTGACCTGACTGGACTTCGGTATATATATATATACTGGCGAAACCACGACTGGTCGGAGCGAAGGGCGGGGCGAAAAGTACCATAGCTAGAAAGGATGGCCTAAAGTGCGGCGAAACAATATCACTATGCCATCCGGTAATAGAAGAAGAAGCACTGGAATGAGTTCCTTGCGGACAACGATAACATATGGAAAGCCGCTAAATACCTGAAGTCGGGAGAGGATGCGGCGTTCGGAAACGTCCCACAGCTCCTTAGAGCAGATGGAACCACCACCGCCGATCATAAAGAGTAAGTAGAAGAATTACTGACCCAGTTCTTTCCGTGACAATATTGATGACGAAGGGACTCGGCCACAAAGAGCACTAGTGGAAATGCCAGCGACCACCCTGGAGGAGATAGAACGGTAGCTATTAGCGACGAAATCTTGGAAGGAGCCTGGCCACGACGGCCTACCGGCGATAGTTTGGAAGATGACGTGGCCCACAGTCAAGCACCAGGTCCTGGAACTATTCTAGGCGTCGCTGGAAGAAGGCACGTTGCCAAGACAGTGGAGGTATGCGAAGATTATACCACTCAAAAAGCCGAATGAAGAAAACTACACCATTGCTAAAGCATGGAGACCAATCTCACTCCTAGCGACGCTGGGCAAGATTCTGGAATCCGTGGTCGTAGAGAGGATTTCACACGCTGTGGAGTGTTGGGTCCTTCAGGTGGAGTTGCGCCATTCCGTTTTGGGTTCCAACGTTTGGTCCCAAACGTTGGAACCCAAAACGGAATAGTCACCTGCGACGTGGCGCATTTAGGGCTTAATAGTCAGTTGTACTTTGTTTACTAACTGGATTTCGAAGACCAGTGAAAACAATAATTCTTGTATTATCCGTTGCTCTCCCTCTGCTGGATTGCGATAGTTTCAAGGCATGGGCTTTTTTTTCCATCCCACATTCTTTTTTGTGATTGTGCATTCCAATTTGGAGAGTGCTTGTGAGCTGAGGTCTAGCGCGATATCAAAAGTCTCGTTCGAGGATATGTATAATCAAATAGGAAAACTGTCGATGCTGTTTAACATTGCACAAAAAGTTATAATGACACAAGTGACCCAAACACTAGCATTTCTGATCGAGCTAGCCCAAAAAAAACCAGTCTCAAATTGATTTCCAACGGTTCCAAAATGTAAGGTCTCTACCCTTTGAACATAGAATGCTTAAATGCTAATGGAACAAGAATTATCCTGTGTTCACTACCATGAGAATGATACTCAAGCCTTCCTTCTTTAGTGCGAGTCAATCTTAATCAATTAGTAATTCTCAGACAATCTCAGGTCCACATGTAACAAGAACAGTGAATGAGAATATAAGAGCCTCCTTCCCAGCTGAAATTAATCGCTTCACATCTCTCATAATTGCACTTGCATCAAGCAATGGATTTCAGAAATCTACTCGATCAACGGAGATTTTCACCGACCTCAGGTCCTACACAGCCGCGCCCCACATCTACTCAAGGACACCCGGAGCAACCAGCAGGCCCTGAATCTCTAATTAGACCTCAAAGCAGGCTCATCCGCAGAGGCAATTAAGCGGAAAAAGAGCAACGACTTAGCACGGCGATCCCGCACGAAAAGGCAGAAGGAAAAACAGCTTACGAACGCGCTGCAAAATGAGATCAAGTTCCTTCAAACACTGTGTGGCTTTTACAGATCTGAACGGGACTACTTTCGCAACGAGCTCGGCCCCTACATACCCATGACGCGATTGCTACCGAGACCACCGACTCCACGGCTTATCGCATCTACTCCATCTTCACCACGAGTCCACCAGCGCAGTTTGTGAACTTGAATTGGGAGTAGCTTGTATGCATCTGGCTTGGTCCCCGGCCTCCATGCTTTTTGCGGAAATCTCTTCCACATCCAAGATGGGATCAATCTGGTATTTCATTCCCCATTTTGCCTACGTGGCTATTCCAGGCATATTTTGACACTACGCAGGTCACAACAATTGCTTTTTGAAAATTTTCGTGTCATCGATCTATAATGATATCTGTTATCTGTATCAGCATCATCGTCTGTCTAGACAGCTGCTATATAAACTTAATAAAGTGTAGTCGGGTCAAACATTTTCTCCTTAACTCTAATCCTCTAATACAATGCATAATATATTCATGACTCGCGGGTTGGCGTGTGATCTTCAAGACCGAGGGGTGTGGGTATTCTATGCGGAGTTGTGATAACCGCGGAAAGGGGTGGTAAGCTCAAAGAACAAGCGACTCACTTTGAATATGGTCAAAAGCGCCACTAAAGTGTAACTGCATGACATATTATAAACCCACTAGATCTATTGAAGTGATGTTATTCTAGCGAGGCTTTGCCCGAAGTAGCTAGTCGGCTTTGAAAAGACATTATCGGTAATCGGGACTCGTATCATCATCCTCCGAAGCTCAGATCAATTATATATGAGACCCGCTTTTTAGACTTTCATTCACAAACGCGGATCATCTACCACACGCTGACATTTCAGGCTTGACAGGAATTACTTCAGGCAAATCGGCAAGACTTTTGCCAGAATATCTTCGTATATAGAGAGATAAATCCTTATATCTTGTCAAATCACTCTTCGCTATCCATTCGACAGTCACCTAAAATGCAGATGTCAGTTATGATTCGTCCTAAAGAAACCATTGCTAGGTAGGTAGGTTCTATGCCGTTACTGGAGACAAGCTAAGCTGAGCTTTATAGACGTAGCGCATATGATACAACAGGCGTCAAGAAGCCGGGCGTCCCGCCTCCACCGCCAAAGTAATTTTGAGAATTCAAGCTTGATTGAGGTCCGATTGGTGAGCATAGGCTCTGCTTCTGGAATGAGAAACTTCGCTTGTATTATATATATCCCGTGCCCTACATCCGGATTGAAGGACGATCATTTTTCATTGATTACTTTACCGTTGCACTATTGTTTGTTTGTCCTTATATTCTATGCACTTCTGCCTCTCATTTCTCTATAATTGGAGTTAGGTATAAGAGCCTGCGAGATATGTGTTTGGATCTATGCTGACTTGCTTCGTCTGTAAATAGTTCGAGCCTCACATCTCCATTGAAAGCAATCAACGCACCCTTGTATAGGCCTTTATTATTTAAGGTTCGCGATACTATCAATCCAAAGTGTATAGAGCGAGGCTAATATAGATTATAAGTGAAACCGTCACCTATCATGTGCTCTCAGTACACCTACAGATATGCATGTGGATGCGTGAAAACGCAACCGCTATGGAAATGTGTCGGTAAGGTCACCAAAAACGACTGCACAACGGGAAAAGTCCTACCAAGACAACAGACTTTCACGTATCGAGGTGGCAAGTGTCCTGTGACTGAGAGTTGAGGTTTGAAGCTAGGGTTTATTTTCGCTTATCTTGAGAGCACGGTGAAGGTTAGAAGGGATTTGATAGTGTGAATTGGAATAATGAAGCATTATATCAGCTGGTGACATCAATACAAAAGCTCTCTAGAGTTATAGAGCATATGTAATAGAATGATCCTAGGTGAAGGTGGCGATTATTGCCTTCAAATTTTGTATTGAGATAGATATGGTATCAAGACTACTATATTTATCTTTGAAGGCGATGGAAGCATCATTAGTGTTTTCTGCGTCGAATTAGTACCCCTCAGTTGCTTATGTTTATCAAATTAGGTGAACCTACAGAAAGGTATAAATTGTCTCATTCCCAGATAAATATTCTCGCAGCATTCAACTTCCTCTTTTCCCTTGCAAAACAGACTTGCCGGAATGTCCTTGTCTCCACTGTCCATCATTGGGATCATCAATGTTAGCGAAGACGTTAGCGAAGACCTATCGGAGCCAATGGCCGACATAACTCGTGCTTTCTTCATCTGTTGCCAAGAATATTCTGCAACAGGCACACCACTGTGAGTCTCACTCCTAGCAGCACAACCACTTTATCTGACAAAAGAATCAGAGGCGGAGAGACTACCACTGGAGTGCGGTTTCGAAAGGCGGAGAAATCACCACTGGGGTTGTCACTCACTCCCCTAAACGATAATATTTCCATCCATGCTATATTCAAGGATCCGGTGATTATCCAAAATATCCTGGATGATCCGCGTATTGGAGGGCTGAAGCTTGTCGTATATGTGTGAGTCATATATTCTTGTGTCATAGGCTTAACGACTGAAGTGATTTATCAAGTGAAAACCAGGGTACACCAAGAACCCCTTCTTTTCTGTAAGTATAAAGGCTATATACCCACAATCCGAAATCATCTAACATCCCAGGGCGTTCTCGATCAGAATCGCAGTTTCGCAGTTTAGTGATTCGCCAATCTCCAGCCATGTATCCCTGCCGCAAAGCGTACGGGCTATCATCACATCAATTGTTGCGGATGCGTCGGTGCCCTAGGTACGGACCCTCGGTAGTTTGTTAGATAGTTAGATTGAGAGCTCTCCTTCTCCCAATACAACTTTTTTTGGTTCTGTCTTTGGTCCCTACACTCTGTATGGAATTTTTTATAACGCTATGAGTAGTGTGGCCTTTGGGCAGTGTTGATATCCCAACAATTGTCTCGGCCGGAGCCAACTATCTGGTTAGTTACAAGAACTACGAATCTATAATATAAGGTCGATGAGGAGGTTTGGCTGGCCGTGAATTGTAGCCCACAATTGGACAAGTGATAGAATTATTCCCCCATATAGCTACATACAGTGCTTACAGAAACACTGCTATAATTTTCGAGCATATAAATATTCTATTCATTCCCCGAGATAACTACAACAAACAAACCATGATGGATTGTTTCCCTGTTATCTCACTACGAGGCCTACTTCCGAATCTACTTCCGAAGTGGATTGATCCTTTCTTCTTCTTTAAAAACAATCCCTCGTCAATCTGGGGAGACCAAGAAAATCGTAAGTTACATGAACTCATATAAGGATAAACTATTTACTCACTACTCACTACTCACTACAAGACACAGAGGACGCCGAATCATCTCTAGGGTCAGACAGTATACTCGTGCTTCCAAACCTTCCAAACATCAACATCATCAACTGTTTGCAAATGCCAGAGTCTATTACTGCCCACAACAGCATAGAGGATGCCGACAGTATCCTTAGCAGAATCGAAAAATTACCAACAGAGCTTATAGATCACATTATCGAGGAAAGTGTTTTTTCCGAACCGCTCGGATCACATGACGCCTTACATACTCTACAAGCCTTTTGCCAGGAGGAGGAGGACTCTATCTTTAAAACCAGGATTCATGCTGTTCTTAGAAGCCACTCGTTTCGAAACAGAATCGAGAGAAGTTGGGAACTCTGCCCTGACTTTGACCATACGAAGACTTGTCGACATCCTTTCGATAAAACCGCTCCACATGATTTAGCTTCAAAAACGATTGTCACTTGTGCTCAGTGCTTTACATTTCTGCTTGATCATCAAGCAATTAGTCCCTCCTCTTTTTGTCGGGATGGGCAAAACTTCTATCTAATTGCGGTTACATCAGAGAACCGTAATTTGATAAAGCTGATAATGTCTGCGATAAAGCCCCAAGACCTCATCAAACCTATCTCAGTACATAGAGAAAACAGTGGACACAAGTCGATATTACAATTCACTACCCGGGATGCCCAGTTGTTCCAGGATTGCTGGGAACGGCTTCGACCAAAACCTGAAATCAGTTTATCTACCCTTGGGCCAAGGGAGATAATGAATCTGTGCAAATTTGCCGATGAAGATCTAGCAAATCAGCTGCTACATCGAGATGTGGATCTTGGAAGCCCCCACCCAAATAACGGACTTCCGAATTGGCATCAGCTTTTACGCCAACAAAACCCTGAACCAATGTTACGTTGGTTCTGGAGCCGTAACCAAGAGCTTCCAAGCGATCTCTTGACTTATGCGGCCAGACGCAACTGCGTGGCCGGGGCCAAGTGGATCTCGCACCACACCGAAAGCCACGACGACTGGCGCCAAGCTATATCTGAAGCTGCCGACAAAACGGAGCGGGAGAGCGCTGAAATCTTTAAATTACTTATACAACAACTGCCTCCGCAATATAGAAGGGACGACATGGGCCGCACGCTCTCTGAGCAACTTTTGAGCACGATCGTCGGCAGAGCGTGCGTTGATAGTCGTTCGAATGTTTTTTTACTTCGTTTGCGTTTGCAAAGCGACAAAGCATGTTTGGAGGAGGTTGCTGTTCAGAAGATCCAAACAATTCATGAGTTGAATACGACTGCTGAAGTGGCTGGCATGAAGGTTCAAGCGATGCAAGCCGGCCTACAATTGGTGACAGAAGCTCTAGAGGCTTTCGAGAATTAGTCGTTGTACTCGGCCAAGTCAGGGGCCAAAATAATCATTCAATCTCCGTGGATGACTGGTTTTGTCGGCAGACTAGGCGGTTGTTTGCCCAGGTGGCCTCTATAAAGGGTCTTTCCTTCGCTAGATTTTAATGCAGCAGTTTGTTCATCCTATTTAGATTATTCAGGGTTTAGTTGCTGTGATCTAAACAGATTCCCCGAGGTCATACTGTCTCACGCTTTACTAAGCAGCTATAGGCTCTCAAAGTTAGGGCTTACTTAGGTGGCGGCCGACTATGCCGGTTCCGTTATGGCTTAGACTACGCGTCTTAATGGGTGGAATCGCTCTCTGATTCTCTACTTTAAGCGCAGCATATTGCCTCTCAACAGCCAATTGGAAGGAGCCAGTCAGTGTGAGTGCTCCCCTACGGCTGACTCGGAGGGGGACCAAATAGGTATAGCATAGAATGCAACCCCATAGAGTTGATTTATCACAATTTAGAACTGCCTAGACACATTATGCCATCTACGGGGCCCAAATCGGCCTGTCGAGACCACTCGTCATATCGGTTGATTGAGCCAATGACCTACCGCTATGCTACCCTGTCGGGGGTGGGATTATATTACTAGAAAAGGGCTGCGCAATGGACCCATTTAATTGAAGTAATTTACCTAATAGGAATCCTGCGCATTTATACCTCATACCTCGTACCTTTTACCTCGCGCCTCTTTTTGGAATAAGAGGTGGACTATAAAGTTGTCGAATCTCACATTGGAATAGCTCACCTCTTTTTCAAGACAGACGAGAATCCCTCACTGTCGTTAGTCACAAACTCCGTGATTTCGACCTCGACTTTCTTCAGAGCCTACGGAATTGTAAGTATCTTCCTCAATCACTCCCGTTTATTTGCTTACCTTTATATAATATGAAGCCCATGACCCACATCGCAAAATGAGTGATAATCAGCTTGCCGCACCTAGTTCCTATACTCAAGATCAACCTGAAACCTTGACGAGTGATCTTGATGGAGCAATTCAGCTTGGCTATAACGACCATGAGCTTGACGCAGCGATTGATCAGTTTGCGGCTCAGGAGACTGGTCATGTTCATCCCGAATACGCAGCGCGCCTAGACAGCCTCTCGAAACTGCTGAGTGAGAGGGCCGGACAAATCAACGCAGCGATCTATTGTTGCTGGCTTGCGCTTCGGAGAATTGGTCATGATCATCCCGACAATACAGCGCACCTAGACAGGCTCTGGAAACTGCTGAGTGAGAGGGCCGAACAAACTGAAGATGACTATAAGGTCAACGCAGAGATTGATCGTTGTCGGTTTACGCTTCAGGGAACGGCCCATGATCATCCCGGCAATATAGCGCGCCTAGACAGCCTCTTCAAACTCCTGAGTGAGAGGGCCCAACAAACTGAAAATCTCGATGATATCAACGCAGCGATTTATTGTTGCTGGCTTACGCTTCAGGGAACGGCCCATGATCATCCCGGCAATATAGCGCGCCTAGACAGCCTCTTCAAACTCCTGAGTGAGAGGGCCCACAAAACTGAAAATCTCGATGAAATCAATGCAGCGATTTATTGTTGCTGGCTCACGCTTCGGGGAACGGCTCATAATCATTCCGACTATGCAGCGCGCCTAGACGACTTCGGGAAACTGCTGAGTTCTCGAGAACAAGAGACTCGGAATATCGAAGATATCAACTGGGCGATTCTTTTTTTGCAGTTTGCGGTTCGGAGGACTTCTCAGGATCATGCCGACCTTACAACGCGCCTGGAATACCTAACTGAAATGCTGAGGTATCAATCCGCAAAAAGTCAAAGCTTCAATGATATCAGCGCAGCGATTGATTATTGTTACGTTGTGGTTCAGAAGACTGCTGGTGATCATTCCGACTTTATAGTGCGCCTAGATATTCTGGCGGACCTATTCGACTTGCGATTCGGGGTTATAGGATTCTTACCTGATATTCGTCGTGCGATTGAACACACTCATTATGCAGCAATCATGACCAAAACTGACGACGATGAAGATGTGGAGCGCCTCTTCCAACTTGGGAGAAGGTTTGAGCTACTTTTTGGCGCTGAAAATAACAACATCTATCTTGAAACGGGGATTATGTGCTCTTTCCGGGCGCTCGAGGCCACCACTAAAACCTCCGTTTCTTTTCCAACGCGCTTGGCCGACCTCGCTCATAAGCTTGGAATACGATACGAGGTATCAGCAAGGATGGAAGATATCGAAATGGTGGTGTTGTTCTATGAACAGGTTCTTGAGGCTATTGGTGATCTAAATCAAGGTCACTTAATGAAAGAGTGCTTAGAGGGACTCGAAAATGCCGTGAAAGAGAGAGCTAGACGTCTCGGAGAGGTTTCTGACCTCTAGGAAGCGATTGCCCTAATTCACGACGCAGTCACTGCGATGATGGCCATCGATCCTAACCATCTTTTGCTTGGAGATTGTTTCCATGAGCCCGAGACCAGGCTCGGACATTGCGATAGATTACCTCAATACGGCTATTATATGGAAGTTTTTCGCAATTCTCATTCTGTGTTTTCAAGATTTCTACTGATATGTAGAGGTGGTAAGCACTGCAAGCGGGTAAATTATGATTTGTGATACTTGTCACTTGGCTTGCATAGATATACGGGTCTCCGCGCCAGACAAGGTGTTTATATCGTAGCTCTAGTTTCGATACTGTAAGCCACGTTCTCGATCATACTCTCCTTTGTCCCCATCGATCTTGCGCCTTTTGCAAGCGGGGCTCTGCATATTAGTTTTGATATCAACGAAGCTCTCCTCAGTATGAACTAGGAAAGAGCACTTTCATGCATTGCTTTTGTGCACCGGATTGGCCCGCACCACAAAAACCCGCTAGTGAATCCTACATCGGTATAATCATGGAGAAATCTTCATTATGAATTGAACTCTACGTGGAATCATTCTCTGATTCTCTACTTAAAGCGCAGCATATTGCCTCTCGAAAGCCAATAGAAGGAGCCAGCACACACATGATAGGTCAGCAGTATTACCCATAAAGTCCTAGTCTAACGACAGGGTTTCTCGGGCGCCTTGGACTCAAGCCTGGTATAAATGGAGCTTCCCCTTGCTCCCCTTCCAGATTTTACATTTTTGGCTACTTATGAGGCTAAATCATAATTTGACCCTTATTTGCACCCTCAACTACGATCGTAGGTATTTTCCACTCAAAACTTCTTCGCATGACGATTTAATAACTCGTCTTTTAATTAGAGCAATCGCTTTGAAATGGACGACACGACGGGGTTATTTCAATATAGCCCTGGGTTATTCAAATCTTACTTTTAAATAAGGAGAAAATATACATCTTCTTGGATGTCCTCTATTCTACTAGAGTGGTAACCCACACTCAGCCAGGTGCGTCGAACCCCAACATATTTCAATAGAGCTTATTAGATATGTAGTTAATGGGCATAGGACGGGGATTTGAAAACATTTGAGTAAGGCAATAAACCGATCCAACGACTGATCTCACTTCGAAGTTGTCAAGACAAAACTCTGCTTCCCACTGAACCAAACCACGAGGCTCATCATATATAGGGTTGAGACTGTTCAGAATTGCAGAATGAGTTGGGGCTTGTCCGTCCATAGGGTGAAGCTTATTTGTATGATATCGCACAAAAACCTCCTGTTTCAAAGCAATGACAAGCCAGGTAAAAAGGCCCTGCTCGGTCCTCGCAAACCAATAATCTGACATCCGATTCCACAGGGCGTAGTATAAACTGCGTCCTAGTGGGCGTGCATGTGTCCACAATGGGCTGATTTCCATCATGACCAGATACACCTGATCTGGCGGGAAGGTCATAACATGTGGTAGACCGTATTTCTTTTGGCATGCACTTATAATATGGTCTTGAAGGGGTGACATATATCCGAACGATATCTCATCGACCCTGACAACTTTTTTTCATGGTCAGCAGCTAGGGGTCGAGGTTGAGGTGCTGGGCTCACTTTGTTCAAGGCCGGCGAAGTGAGGACGAAGGTCCATTGATTCTTCTTACTTGGGTGTTATGAGTTTCTTTAGGAAAAGATATTCCAAGGGACTTAGGGATATATATATTGCATTCGCCCTATACTCTGCCGGTGAGGATCTGGCCTCCTCATTCCGTCCTTCGTAGCCGGGGAAAATATCCGAAGATAGGATTGACTCGTCGAGTGAGGGGCTTGGTATAGTCCCCCGTAAGCTGTACAGTAACCTTCTGCTTACTCTAAATTTTAAATCGGGCAAACAAAACCAGATAGGAATCAACAAGACCAGTCATAAAGCAATCATTTTATTTAATGTCACCACATAGGCCTCATGACGAGCATAGCCGAGTCGCAGGTGCCGTCCGTCCATTCCTCCCGGGATTTCAGGGTACATGATATTATGAATAAGACAACTCTCCCAAAATCTTCAAGTGATGATCTAGCTCCTCATTTCAACATTGGTAGCCAGGGAATATTCCGTAGATTGTATTAACCCAACGGGTGAGCCGCTGGGTACAGTTCCTCGACGATCTGTGTAATATCCTGCTGATTACTTTACATTCCAAGTCAACCAAACAGAATCAAATACGAGCATAACGAAGTTATTCATACACCAGTCAATATTACCATACGGACATTTATAACAAATAACATTTTCAAAAAGAACAAGAACTAAAAACCCCTTTAGGTTCATCACTCGAGGTAAATCCCATGATTGGACTGCATTGGCGTTATGGCTTGTCTATTACTGGATTTCTCGGAGTCATGATAAATGTCACCTGCACTTGAGACGGAGATTGTTTTAGGGCGAGAGAGTGAACTTCAATAAGAAACCGTAAGATACGCATAGTGGAAAGAAATCATTAGTCTGTTTAAACTGCAACATAAGTGAGAATGTCCCCACCAGACCAAAGAAGTGATGTTACGACCCAATATCCATGGTAGATCGGATACCTAACAAGGCAAGGGCCATAAGAGCTTAATGACTGCCCGCGAGACACGAAACTCAAAGAACGTAAATAGGACTAGTGACCTCATATTGCTCAGCCTCTCATCCATGAGACATGATGTGGGAAAAACACCTATTTCCACCCTCTTCATTTTCTCGATAGCTCCTATATTGTCTCATGGTTATGAGGCAGTAGCTAACTTTGCTGAGAGGTTGGAATTGAAGATGTTGGCTAAAAGTATCTCAAACGGTCTCTCAAGTGATCCGGGATGTCCATGCTCGTGAACTTTCCTTCACATGCCACATCTAGTGACACATAGCTCGCCCTCAATTCAGACCAGTATTTGACGTCAACAATTTGCAGGATTTCGAAACATCCCTGTTTCTCAATTGCACGGATCAATGCATGGCGAACATACCAAAATACCATTCCGATGTCCTCTTTAGATGACCCCTGGATGGCCGAATCAATATTCCGTAAGATGTTCGAGACTAGAGACACGCGTTCACCCTCGAGTCTGCACACTTTATCCAAGCATTCGCTTAGCGTAATGGCAAAAGAAATGGCGTTATTGCGCTCTTTCTTGAGATACACCTCCCGGGTCATCAGCTTTTCGAAGACCGTCAAATCATGCTTGACCGAGGTTTTCATTACCCTCTGGAGTGAAACCCCTTTCAGCAGTCCTGACTCCATGATTCTCACACTGAGCTCTATGAAATCTTTCTCCAAAGATTTCATCAGCCACTTCGTCGCCTTTGACTGGAATTCTTGTATCTCACACGCTGAAGCTGTCTCCATTGTGCTCGACAAGTGCTCATAGCTCCTGAGCACGAAGACTTCATCAGTTTCACTCCGTTCTAAAAGGCATGCGATATCCTCCAAGCCAATGATAGAAGATGTAGCATGTGCATCAACTAGAGATATTCCGGTCGCAGGGTTACCACTTGCAAAGAGATCTTGCGAATCCTCTTGGGTGATTTGAACGTTGGAAATTGAAGGACAACGGCGTTTTCGGTATCCAGAGCGGCCCGAGGAATCCTGAGAAGCCTTTCTCCGCAGAATGGGGGTAATGGAATTTTTGAATCTGCCCCCGGGGAGATCTATGAGCCACTGGTTACTAGGTGGCGAAGCGCAACTTCAAAAATAGTTTTACTAACCAAAATTTGGCTCATCTTTACTCTCAGAGCGATCTCCATCATTGGAGAGAATCTCAGCAGATATCTCAGTAGATATCTCAGAGATATGTGAAGCTATACTGCCAGTGCTGTTTGGTTCACCTTTGTCATCGCAATCAAGCAACACTGGATTCTCGCGGGTCCCGGTTGAAGCAAAGGAGCTTTCTGGCAAAATCTCACTCTCTGCTTAGAAAACACTCATCATGGTAAGCAAACAATGTTCCTGTCGATAAAGAAGAACGCACCCTGATCAAGGCTCATTTTGCCAGTTTCGCACTTATAATGCTCAAGGCAGAACAGGAGTATGTAGAGGAACCAAAGAGTGCCACGTAACTAAGTACGAAGATGAAATAGTCCAAGTTAGAAGTGAACGTCTAGGCACGTTTTATATGTATCAGTGCGGCGGAAGAACAAACATGTGGCGCTGTTTTGGTCCTCCAGGAAGGTTGATGATACCTTGGCATCGACTAATTATGACACCGCCGTGTTTATCTACCGGGCTGTTATACCCTTTCAGTAACCTTTTTCTAGGATCCAGAAGAAAACTTCCTAGAAGGGTATAGCTCTGGTACGCTCGTGGAGCCAGGTAACGTAAAGGGGAAACAGCCCCAATCTGTGACCTGGCCCAAAGTGAAGTGGGCTTGGTGTGTGCCCACTATTTACTCAGCTCGGAAGCGGCCCGTGCCCCGTTAATTCCGTGGTCTGGACCAGGAGGGTAGGCGGGGACTTTCTATGGCCGATTTCAGCTTAGCGCGATTGGAGTGGGCCACTGGGAAAGAAAGCGTGTGTGTCTGAGGGGTAATCTGTTCTCGATTTCTACCGCTGTTCACGTGATAAAGACCCGCGCGGGGCTATCGTCTTCGCGGCCACGAAGGCTGTCGGGAATAACAACCATTCCATGACCCATGAGACGCCCAAAACGTGTCACTTTCTATGTGGATTAGGTGCTGATTTGCTACCCGAAGTCTTTACTCAATAATATTCGTGTCTCCAGGTGAGCTTTTGGCGCGGAGCCCTCCTTACTCTGGAATTGTTCACATCAGTTCTGCCCACTTGCCGAGAGGTTTTGTTCTGATAAGACAGCTATCGTGTCGCACCAGTACGAAATTAATGATACCTACCTGCCTAGGAAAGGTCTTCTGAATCCGTTATCTTGCCTATGGCGACCGCAGTATTTTCTAAAAGCGGGCTAACACATTATCAGATCATCAATCCCTACACATGAACGCGCCCGACAGCGACGGAATTATTCAGAAGGACCTTGACTGTCATGAACAAACGGTTGTGGCAGATTTGGAAGAATGGCTGAAGGCGAATCCACAAGCGCAGTGGAACGAAGTTGCTGGCCTCAAACTCGTCGAACAATGCCCAGAAACAAATCTTCGACAGATTCAAAAGAGACTCGCCCAGGTGCGTTCTTCTTTCTTTTTTCCGTCAGGGGAATCTAGCTCTGATGATCGCAGAATTTCCGCGTTGCTACATTTAGGACACGTCACTCGGGTTGGGAGCTTGGGCTTGGGATTGGAGAGCTCATTCCCATTTCTCCTAGTGAAGGCTGTAACGTCAAAGTTGGAGAGCACACCTATCCCCTTATAGGCGGGAAGAAGGTATGCATCTTGAAGAAAGCTCACGTGGAGAAAGACATTTTAATGACAGAAGATCTATTATCATAGCTATGCAGTAACGGACGCCGAGATGACCAGTTGGTTTCTGGAACATGGAGCGAACCCGAATGCGCAATGCGAGGTAGACTGCACCCCATTGTCCTACGCTGTTCGAAATGCACGTCTCAGCGTGATCAAACTACTGCTGAACCATGGAGGGGATGTGCAGAAAGGACAGCTTCTTCAGTATGCCGTTTGTCGAGACGAGGAACTTGAGGATGTCATATCGTTGCTCATCGATAGAGGTGCCCCTTTGAACGCCACAATGTATCAGGATGGCCCGACTTTGATGCGATTCTTTCCTATGAGCCTAGGGACTGCATTGCACGTAGCAACAGAACAGGAAAAGACGAATGCGATCCGTCTTCTGATCCGTCTTGGAGCAGACACTGGCGTGAAGGACGCAAATGGCGACACCGCTTTAGAGTGGGCGCAGAAATGGAATAAATCGGAAATGGTGAAGCTGTTGGGAGACTTGGAAGACCGTTCGTAAATATGTTTCCTAAATTGAAGATAGGAATGAATTGAGACCAGTCGCGACGCTCTAGTCTTCTTCAAAGTATGTGCTCAAATTCTATCTGTACATCCGCGTCCACAATGAATCCCGTCGATGTGATCAGTCCATCTACGGATTGCAAAAACGAAACCGGTTTCGTCGAAATTGTAGATATCTCGTGGGCCTATTTTATTGCTTTGGATATACTGATTTAGTCGCTGATACCAAGCAGAAAGATAGAGTGGAATTCGAGAACAGATTACTCCGAGGACACACGACACACACGCTTTCTGTTCGCAGTAGGATCTAGGCAGGGCTGTTTTGTATCCTTGACCACAACGAAGATTGTTCATCCCATGCAGTTTCATCCATACGTCCAACCACATGATCAAAACTCAGTTGGTCGGACGGATGTTGATGCAAGGAAGGTGGAGTAGAAGCTGCTTGCCAAGGTGGTATAGATGGGCCCGATGTTGATGCAGAGACCTTTGCCCGCGACAAAGTCTTCCAGCTTGACGCCTGGCTTGTATTTCATGGCTCACTTGATGGACACTGTGTAAAGGGTCTTGACCTCACACAGCTGACGTAGCTCCGTATGGAATTGCATGAGCAAGAATTGCTGCGTCAGTTGCCTCATCTTCCGGACTGCTCTTCTCTAGTAAGGAGCCTCCAGTATGATAAATTCTTGCCGTTCAAGGCAATTTCTATGCGCATGTTCCAAATCTCCCAAATGGATTCCCTCTTGAGATTGGGACCAATTCAGTGAACTTCCAAAAAGCAAAGGTGTAATCAATACTTGAACTTCACCCACAGGGCTGCATAATAATACAACTACCATAAGCATGCTACAAGATGAGGGCTAATCACCTTTTAGTGATATACTTCTAATCTAGCAATGATACTGCCTATACTGATTAGTAGCACGATAAATGTTGTAAATGCACATGGTACAATCGGATTTAAATTGCTGATCCCTTCCAATATCGCTTAAAATACCCAATTCATCCATTACACTAGCAGGTAATTATTATTATCCAGACTACCAAGCGACAGGGATTGTAGAATCGAGGTCCGCGGAAAGGTTACTCATGCTGGGCAAAACTCGACATTCAAATCTGCGCGTACATCGCAGGCTTTGGTGGCATAGTCGTCGTGGGGGAGGTAATAGACCATGTCACACTTTTCAACCCCAGAAGGGCAATCGACAGTGGCACAACCCCGAAAGCTTGGCACAATGCGTATCCCGTATCTCGTATTTGACAGTCCATTAATCTTAGAAATATCGTAGAATATCATATTAGACGGATGACAGTTGATATGCCTATCATTTTGAAAACACGCACTGTATTCTACCTGGGTGATATCGGAGCTTCCGTAGTAGTTTGCAACCTTCACGGAGTTCCCAATGCCATTGATAGTCAGTCGAAATGGATGAGAAATGTTAGTCTCCGGTTGAAGTTCAGTCTTGAGGTACGAAACCCCTGCGACTCCTTCCACATATAGAGGAAACTGGCAATTATTATGCAAAGTGATATTTCCACGGTTGCCGTCCATCGAGAAGACAGAATTACCCAGAAGGGCTACAGTAACGAAAATCTTGGATAAGACTGGAGATAAAGGCATTATAATATGCTTACCCACCAGCTTTGGTAATACACAATTAAATAAATGGGGGCATCCAGCGCAGTTGGAAAGTAAATCCCAATTTTTCAACAGGTTCAAAGATTTGGGAACTGAAAATTCGTTTCATATAGACAATTGGAGCCGCTTCACGTTCATGGTTACTAAGATTTATGAAGTAACTGTACGAAAGTCAGGGTGCAGCTAAGAGACGCGTCACTTTTGGCAGGCGTACAAATGATTCTGATTCAGATTGCGTTAAGGGTAGTAAGAAATAGGCTTCTTGGACTGATTTACTTGGGCTGAACTTGCATTCTGCTGATGTGTTCATTTTCATGCGCTGTTTGGTATATTAGCCGGTAGGGAAAATGAGGGAGAGGGGAGCGGAATCCCGCGAATCTTCAACTTTGAAGATCTTACCTTAGTCTCTAAATTGTTCACGAAGTGAAAAGGCGCTATACATTATGATTAACAGTATGAGCCGACAGAGAGGAAGGCCGACATAATCCAATAAATCTTTACTCACCCGGTTTCACCTGGCTTTCAAACGGCGCTGAGTTGAACACCACAAGGCTGACGTTCAGTGTTCTTCAAATTTTCTCTCAGTATGTGGCACGGTCATGACCTGGATTAGGCCTAGGTGGATTAATGATGTAAGCGACTCTATGCTTTTGCACAATTAAGTTACTCGAAGGCTTACCTGCGGTACTCTATAATCTTTTTGAAAAGACTGACTTGACTAACACCATTGTCCTCAAATTGAGGGCCTCAATAATCATCAAACCTGTATCCCGACATCTCAGAAGCCTCCAAATGATGCGTCTGCCATTTTTAAAGATATGTATCTTCCTTTCTTCGCTCCATTTTCATTTCGAGCAAGATTTCTGCCCCAGTAAATAACAGCAAAGAACTCTAGAGACCATAACTTCCAAGCATCACTCAAATATAAGCTAAGTCTCCGCACCAAGGCTTGTGTATTGGCGCAGAAACCAATTGAGCCCTGGTACCTTAGACAAAGATAAGACGCAATCGATGTGACGGATTCCTCAGGCGCAAACTAGCAAGCTAGGCTTCATATGACTTTAAACTGGGATGGCATGCAAGGCGCAATATCATTCGCGAGGCTTTGCTTTCTACCATGGAATACTGAGAAGTATTAAGAACACTTTTCCGGAAGCCAGAAAGCCTCCTCTACCAACTGCGTACCCACGGATGATACTTGAGAACGAGGATGTAGACTTACTGAAGAACATTCTCGCTGCGGCTTTCTCCTGGATTCTTCTTGCGGGTTACCTGGTTTTTCCAAATACACTCACTTCATTACAAACCTCAGACTCGCTCCGATCATCAGCAGGCAAAAGTGGCATCGGGGAGATTACATATAAATTGGTTCTCAACATTCCACTACTAACTATTGCCGGAGTCGTCTGCTTGATTGGGTTATGTGGTCATATTTGGCTCTGGAAAACGAATCCCAATTTTTTGTGGCTTAAATCTAAAATATTCTTGTACGTCGAAGGGGGATGTGAACGGAAGCTGGGCTAAATACTCTATAGACCTGTTCTCATTAATTCTTTTACGGGCTTCGTCAACACTATAATCAACGTATATACGAATCGCGCAGGTTCATGGTCGGTGACGTCAACCACTACGGCATTTGTTACTGGGTCTTTCGTTTTCGCGGCAGGGATTGCCTTTTGTGTGTATTACTATCGAATCTACCTACTAAAGCAAGTCTTCATGGATGAAGTCAAAAGAAAAACAGACGAGAGAAAAGATCTGGAAAGCACTTTTGCGAACTATCTAGATCGTTTGCGCTAGGCTTGGATATCCATCCGGCAAATGGGAGGTTCATACAGAGTTACTTCATGTGTATTAGAATAATATATTGTACCCATAGACAGAGACAAAACCATTGTTGCTTTGTTTTTGTTTTTTTTTTTGCTACGGGTTGTGTTTGGGAGCCTAGGCTTCTTGTTCAGGAGAGGGAAGAGTAGGGTGAAGACTTTTTTGTTTTGGGGGGGGTGGTTGTTCAGGAAGCGAAAAGGCCTAGGGTGTAGAGTGTTGCGAGATAGCTGGCTACAAGTCGTCACATACGCACCATTCGCTAAACCTGAACGATAAGCAGAATACCACGACTAGAAAAATACATATGTACAGGCGAACTTCGCCACGGCCTGGTGAAACGGAGATATCGTAGTGTATATTGACAGCTGTGAGCTTCAGAATCTTGACTGTTTTGAGTGTAGACATATGATCTGCTCTCTGTTTGCTAAGTTTGCATCGAATCTTCCCGCCAGCGCTTCTACGACCGTTGGGTATTCAGTATCCGTGAACAAGATAATTAACAGCGTCTTGGTCTGTTGGCAGCTTTTGAATCTCCTGAATCAAAAATGATATCTTCTCCGGCGTTCCAGAGTGTAGCTTGGCAGTCATTCGGTAAAGGGCATCACGGAAGTTTAAAAGCTCGGCGGTATGAGCCTTGCGTCTCCGATCACTGGCTAGATCATACAAGCACTGGCGACCTTCGGTTACACATGTTGTGCATGGGGTGGTTCCAGAGCACTACACTAGGTCAGCTCCGTCGTCGAATGGAGGAAATATATTTCTGACCTTAGACTTTCTTTTCCCGACACTCGATACAGGCCAGAGAAATGTTGCGTCGCTTTTTTGCTGGCGAGTTAAAGTCCAAATACTCAACGCTGAATCCTTCACCCCTTGGCAGGAGCTCGGGCGAAAAATTATGCTTTGCCATTGCGGTATTAGATGAGTGACAGACGCTTTGTGGATAGAGAGGTTAGATTTCAGAGTGGTTCCGAGGACGAGAAATTTGGGAGTATCAGTAAGGTCCTGGGATTCAGGGGAACCAGTCAGGTTCTTTTTTGTTCATCTTTCATCCCTTGTTCGCAGTTTTCTTTGTTTGATAGAAAGAGAATCAATCATCCATAGCAAACAAAGAGCCTAGCCAGGAGACCCACCTTCGGGGAACACTCCGCAATCCGATTGGTAGATATCCCGTCAAATGGAAACATTCCATCTTGGCATAAGGTTCGAGAAACAATCGAGGAGTGTAGGTGGTGACACAAGTTCCGGAAAGTACATGTATTGTAATGCAAAACAAAACAATCTGCACATCTTTGATCACCGCTCTACTCAGTGAGCAGGTGAGTTTATTTTGGACAAAAGATTTGAGGGATGCTAGATACTAGGATACGCACGTGCCTCGGCGATCCCGTAGTTCCGAGGAGCTTGATACTGGCGGCTGCGAAAACTGGAGCTCCCAGGTTGAATAACGTGATACTGTCAAAATTGCCATCGCCATGATTGTATGTACAACCTGATTGGCATTCGCCTTGCATGTATACTACTTAGCTTGGGAACACGCAGGAAATTTGTAGCCTTGCCCCACGAACGTCTGATTCAGATAGATAGCCCATGACATATGTTTTATAATCGAAAAAAAAAACTTGGTAGATTTCGGATTTAGTTTACGGTATGGATGGAAAAACCTCAGAATCAGTTTGTTACTTTGATCCGAGATCTTCCAATAATATAGTAGATTTCGAAAACGGTTTCGCCTCAAAACCCCACATCTTATGCTCCTTCAGCCCGTAGCCGAAACCATGCTAAATTATTGCTTTGGATCCACCAGCCGTCACGCCAGCGCCAGGACTCGGGTGGAGAATGGGATCTCAATTGGAAGCTCATTGTTATGTTGTTTACTTTCTTAGATTGATTACAAGCTGATTGTCTCTCCTGCCAAATATATTACACTGCAGTTTGGATACTCTTTTTAAGCCTTGTTTATTCTCACCAACAACGAAAGAGAATCCCGAAATTCAAATCCCAAACAAGAATACATGTCAAATATCTTCTATTCCTCTTATGCCACATTAACTCTGGCATTTTCCATCGTCACTTGGCTTCAAATTCACCCGCTCAGTTTCAAGTAACAGCCTCAAAACGTCGCCTCATGCCCAAACTCTGCGGTACCTGTTCCACGAAATTATTCGCCCCGGTGTGATCCTATCCGCTGAGGCAAATCTTTCGCCACCATGCTTGCCACTGCCTGGATAGAGCTATGCTTTTTAGTTGCCCCAACTTAAGGTTGGTATTCCAACTCAATCATTTCTGCACGCCGACCAAGGTACATTCGCATGGTTCCTCGAAGTTCGTCCCTCAAATCATCGGTTACGGAGGCTACGCAATGAATTGGTAGTCAGCAGTTTTCTAAACTCATACACTCATGCAGTCTCACCAACCAACAGCATTCGGCCATTGCCCGCCCCCTTTGCAGCAGACTTTTCTCTGTCTCCTTCCAATACTTTATCAATAATTCTCATGTAGTCCGGAGCGCCTCGGTAAAGGGCTGCCCATCTATTTTTACCGAAATGCGTCTCCAAAACATCAACCTCTTCAACGTGAATGGAAATGTTAAGAACCTAAAAAAGGCTTGTCAGTCACAAGTAAAAGGTCACCACAAGGAAGCACTAACATAGCCATTCCCCGGCACATCATCTTCCAAAAGCTGATTTATTAACTGGCTACCCGATTTGACAAATTCTGTTGACTTTAGTCAACTTCACGCACGCTCTAAGAGACAACGGCACTTACCCAACGACCCTGCATTCCATATTAACTTCACATGGCGGACATTAGATGTGCGGGTATCGTAAGCGTGAATGATTTCTTTTGCATAGGGGACAATAGCCGCAATTCCTGCTCCGCTCGCTACCAGCAAAATATTCTCAAAACAACCCACTGGCTGGTTAATGCCATGAGGTCCAGTAAAGAACGCAGGCAAGGAGGTGTAACCTGTACCAGCCCTTTTATTAAGACGAACAAGATCTGCAGAAAGGGTTCCATTGGGTTGGATAATGAGGTCAAGGACCTGTTGCTTCTTCTGACGTGACCATGATGTCACCATGAATGGGTGCATTTGTGCCCATGACCATATATTGATTGTTGGTAACCATATCTTGATGTATTGCCCAGGCAAAATATCGAGTGGTCTGGGCAGAACGAGGCACATTTTGGTAAGCTTTTCGCTTTGTGCTTGTGATTCAGTTTCATCTTTGCGGAGCTCTGTTGCTTGATTATCTATTTCACTTGCTAGAACCGCACGAGGCGTCCCATTGCCAGAGAAAAGACCGTTGCGATAGAGAAAATAGATTGTTTGAATTAGTGATGTGCACGCAAGAATCCCGAGGGCAATGTATAAATAAGATCGAGAAAATAAGCTATCCTTTGGAATATGGCACCAAATCCCATAGAGGCTTGTAATAGTAAAAGCCTGATGAGACCGCAAAAATAATTTATACGAAAACCGTCTGAAGTAAGGCAGTGCAAGTATCGCAAGCACACCTAGCGAAGTCGCAGCCTATAATAATATGTTAGAAGAAGGCAAACATTTGGAGGGCATTCTCCGATTACGATCGTTCTTGCAACCAGTTGATCATTGCCGCCAACCACACTGGTGCGAGCTTTTGTGAGCGCGTCAGGCGTTATGAGCGCAACTGCAACATGGAATACCAATGAAGCAATGACCATCCAGCCTACGGCCCGGTGTACGCGTTGACAATTCCTAAAAGAAAGGCCTATAATATCAGCCATATAGCTTAGGTGCGTAGTGGGTATAAGCAATATGAAGTTAATCATAGCGATAACTCCTGCCCTTCGGCTGGAGTCAGGCAGCGATATGAAATGAAAAAACATAAGAAAAACATTGACCGTGGCATAGCTCGTGTGTAATGCAACGCTAGCTCGAGTCAACGGACCAAAATGTTTATGACGGTTAACAATATAAGGATAAGTCAGATGCCGGGAAAGTAACACGGTTATCGCGTAAAAATGCGGCCTTAGGGAGTGAATGGCTACTAAGCTAGCAAACAATCCCACCATTATAAGAGCATAAATGGCGAGAGTGTCCATAATATCTTTTGCCAGTGCCCTAAGAGCTAGGAGTAATAACGCTATCCTCTTCAGTATGAAACACGGGCAAAGCACCCTACACGAAGCTTGCGCCAATCGAGATTTTATTCACTGAGAGTAGAGGTAAGCTTGAACAACCGGATGAGGCAAACAACTTCATCTTGGCGACTGTCATGGCTCTTTATGAGCTGATTGGAACTTGAAGCTCACATATTTACCCGTCAAAAATTTTACTTCTACTAATACCTACCATCGGAAGTTATTCCACGAAGTCTCGCCCACCTTAAAATGAAGATCTTCCCTTAGAAAAGAAGAGAAACAAAAAAAATCCTTTGTGAAAATCGGCATAGCACTAACTAAGGGTCGCATAAATGAGAATAGTCTGTAAAAAACGAAGTGATACACGATTATAAACTTGGATCATTCTCCATTAAGAGTATGCGCAGCAGAATAAATATTAGGCAGCCTTGGTACAACAAATGGCGGGCACTGTGTCTATACTACAGCGGTTGCGTCGATCCAACATGCCGACATCGAGAAACTCCCGACGGACGAGATTTGATGTTGGCGATAAGCCATGGAGCATGGACGAAAATTCTGAAGAACTAGGAAGCGACTTTACGCATCTCATGTTCTGCTTGATATGGCTGTTGTCTCGTTCGTTTTTTATTTTTTATTTCCGTATTCATCGAGCGTTACAGTCGGAGTCGAAAACAGATTACACACTGAGCTTGTTTCTCGGGCTCGTATCCGAAACCGCCCTAATCTAGGAACTTTCAGCAAATTACTACTAAAAAAGTCCTATCCTAGAAAGAGTATCGGAAAACCGGAGGGCAAAGCCTGACCGCCACCAAGGCAGGTACAGTGTAATTTCTCGTGGACCAGACGGTCCAAGCGTCCAGTGAAATCGAAGAGCCATAATGACTTTTGGTGATCTTCCCTACAATCGGAGCTTCTATGTTTGATATCGTAGGTGCCATGATTGCAGCCAGGTAAGTTTAGTCGCAAACACATGAATCGATCAGTCGTCAAAGTACCCCGCTAGCAGGTGACCTATCAAGCTACGCTAGCAAGGAACCACTCATTCAGATTTCAGGCTCCTCGTTACACTCGAAGTGGCAACTTATATCCTTTTCTATTGGCTTCTAAAATGTAGTGGTAATTGCGTAAGCCAATCCATGATTTATTTATCTGCCCTTCGTGAAGAAGACTACTATCAATTTTTGTGGTGATGGGCATGGAGTGTCAATCGTATTTATCATGTGATTTCACCTTACAATACAGTTTACCATCTCCAGATCCGCTAAACCAACCATAGACTAGCGTGTTTCAGAGTTGAGTTTAGAAAAGAATGCAAGAGAGTAAAATGGTGAAACTGATTTCGAGCGCGTCTGTATTCAAACCATTAGAGTTGAAATTCTTGCTCATACAGGTTCAAGCAGAAATTGGGCTTGATCGCTGGACAAACAATGAACCGTAATTGCCGATTCAGATCGTTCGTATAACTAGCGTGTATATGTCACTCAGCCACATAATTAAAACCTAATCACTAGATGAATAGGAGGACCCTGCTCGATGTGATTCCGTTCGCAGGCTTCTACTTGGCATCCACGCTCCTGTAGATGTTTGATGTGAATCTGTCCGCAGCCTTGGAAGATTAGTCACACCAATAGGGCCAACGAGGTATGTTCAACTGGCTCCTATGGGTTTAACGAAATGTGAGCTGCTCTTGGTCGCTTCTCTCATGCCCTGATATTTCCCGACCAACAAATGTCGAGACCGAGCTGGCATTGACTCTTCGGGCTGTACAAACCCCACAAAGTGTAGGTGACACTTACCATGACCCCGAGAAGTCCAGCAATAAAGAAGCCATAGCGCCAATGTAGGCCAGTCATGGGACCTAACTCGAGTGTTGAACCTAAGGGGGTTTTTAGCTGTTGTTCTTTTTAAAAATGATATATTGATTGGTTTGTGTCTGACTTTGTTATGCTCGTATTTGATTCTGTTTGGTTGACTTGGAATGCAAAGTAATTAGCAGATTATTAACAGATGAACGAGGCCTAAAAGGTACCTTCAATGGGGTCAACAATGTTAGCCTAGACGGCCGCCTCCGGGCAAGGGGATACCAACAGTGGCGCGAAGGCGGATCGCTGGTTTCGTGGGCGATCGCCACGCGAGCAGAGGATTCGACGACTTCCACACAGAGGTGACCCCACTATCCAATGCGGGATTAGCACAAGGCTCACCCCTGTGCCCCATCCTGTTCGCGTTCTTCGACCCCTCTGGTCACTAAACCGGTTTTCTTTCACGATGGTGCATCAGCCTTTATCGATGATTACTTCCGCTAGCAAGTAGGCCGTTCGGCCGAGGAGAACCAAGCCAAGATTCAGTCGGAAGACATCCCGCGTATTGAAACATGGGCCCGACGAACTGGATCCTGCTTTGCAGCGGACAGGACTGAACCCAGCTACCTCACCTGGAAAAGAGGCGAACAGTTCCCGCGAGGTGGTCATGAGCGGGAAGGTTATCTCCCCCCGCCCAAAGCTAAACTGCTAGGCGTGATCTTTGACCGGGGCTACGGTTAAGGAAACTCGTCCAGCAGGCTATCAAACGCGCAACCAAAGTGACCATCGCCCTGAGTGCGCTACAGCATCTGCGCCCAGCGTAGGTGCGACAGGTCTACCAAGCTTGCGTTATTTTTGGGGTTGAAAGCAAAGTTCAACATCAGCTGGCGCTTAGGGATACCAAGGTCTGAACCTTGAACATTGTCTACGTTCCCTTCCTGCTGATGTGAACAGGCTTGAACATAACTCCCACAAAGAAACAAACCCTAGTACTGGTCGTTGGCCGTTACTTCAATGGACTGGAAGCCAAGAGAACCCCCGCATGTTTATCGAGAACCCTGTGGGTGTGGGTCCGATAGATATACTAATAGGGCCCTTTGCTCCAATATCACTCTATCATAAATAGCTTGCAATCCCCAAATAAATCAGGCCAATCAAGCATTATTCATCATCAAATTATCTCCTATATTTTTGCTTTTCAAGAAATGCAAAGCCAACGGCAACAGCTGCACAATACCCACCATGTGCAAGGGTTCTATGGTGGAGACCACCAAAGGGGCCAATCACCCTCGCTAATGAGAATAGAAAGTGCAATCGATTACCTTGAGCGCAACAGACAAGCGATAACGGCATCTCGAAGATATCTCCTCTCTAACCGTCAGCAAGAAGATGACCAGTTTAATCGTGTAAGGAATGAACTCGAAACAGAGAGCAATGTAAGTCTGGCCCCTGAAATTACTCTAGTTTGAATCTTCTAATGGGATTATTATTTTTCAGGAGTTGCGAAGACAATGGTGGCAAATTCAGGGAGAGATGCGGTTGAAAATGCATCCAGGCCCTACCCCTATCCGACTTTCGCCTCTTCAACCCGCACCCCAAATTCAATGTGAAGTGCCTATGGCAAAAGGCAACATCGGCTTTGGAGTTTCAGAGAACCTTCATCAACCAAACTTCGCACATCCACAGAACAGACAATCGCCGCAACAACCTTCGCACACCCCGGTGTCTCAACCGTTGTCGAGCCAGAATCCTTCTCCTACCAACAGCGCGGAGAACTCTTCGAACTTGTCAAATTTGAAACCAAACGATACCAAGTGCGATCGAAGTCGTTCTGGTATTAATAAATACGGTTTGCCAGCGGGTACAGATGTTAGTGGACGCCCTTTTTGGATGCGCGATTCCGACCGAAAGCTAGTTCACCTTGTTTGCCCCGTTTCCGCGTGCGGAAAACAAGACTTTCAAACCTTGCACGGATTTGTCTGTCACCTCAAGTCAAAACACAAAAATAGGAAAACCCCAGACCGCTCCAAGGTTTTGAACACGTTTGGAGTTGTCTTTGATCAAACCACGGTGGATTCGGCAAGGGTAAGCCCCAATTACGAGTCCAGCCCTTCGGAATCAACTTTGGAGGCAGCTGGTCGAAAGCAAGATATGTCGACATTTGTCGGAGGTGAAGAGCACTATTTTGAGGGGGAATCCCGTCTGGCTGAATCGGACATTGGAACAGTAGTGGAAGCTGGGAGCCCAAGCAAGCAATCGCTGCCGGCTGCCTCTCTGTTGTCGATCGGATCCATCACTGACTAGTTAATGACGGAACTGCAGTCAAGACATTCATTGTCAATATGGCTCAAACTGTGTCAAATTTCTTGCGCTTTTCCTAAAGGAGGTTAAATATCTGTTCCTTAAATTTTCAATCGCTTTTTTTGTCTTCTTATGCAGTAATTTAGTAGATTTTTCTTGGTGGCTAATTACTCAAAAATTGGTTAATACAGACTTTTTATTACACCGACTCATCATAAAAAGCCAAGTCAGGCACGGAAAGAATCTCTGTGAATAACTGATTTCGATCCATCCTGTATCATCCCGTAGCTGTACCGGAGGATACGAGCGCCGGCACGCATGCCTGGAGCGGCTTAGTCAACGGCCAGTAACTGGTTCTTCTTCTTTTACTGCTCTTGGCCGAGTATCTATACATGCCAAACTGCATAAGCTATACCTGCTACTGTAAGGCTTTTTGGACAAGTTATAAGAGCGAAAGGATTGAGCTTGGCCGAGGACGATTCATGGAAATATTATAGATTTCGGGAGCAGGGAATGGCAGCAGACCACAAGGAAATAGTAAACAGACAGCAGCTCCATCATATAAATGAAGCATTTAGTTCCACCATTCGTAAGCTTCTGTCGGCCATGAATCTTCCTCATCCTCTAGCTCGCTCGACTTGTCCAGAGATTGTTCGATGTTGTTCGCCGGAGGAGATCTGGTCATGAACTGCGATGACACTGACATGATATTCGTTGGTTGTTCAGACAGAGGCTGCTCAGAAGCATGCCCCTGGTATTCATCCAAAGTCACTGTTTCAAGCTGATTTGGCCCTAGCGTCGGTATGGCTGCTTGCTGTGACTGTACCTTGTTGAGGGGAAAGTGGGGTCTATAATGCCCAGCTAAAAGGGATTCGCTTTGACCCAATAGAGAGTCTTCCCAGTCTGGATGAACGACACCTCGATTTTCACGGGCATCGCCAGGCTTCAATGGTAAAGACCGAGGCTTTGGCCAAGGCCGTGTTGAGCTGTGGTCTTGGTGCGAATCTTGCTCAATCGGCTGGCCATTGTTCAGTGAGGTTTGAACTTTAGGTAGACAGCTGTCCATGGAATTGCAGGGAGCCAATATAATCGAGTCAAAACCCAGTTCCCTTAACTGCTCGCTGAGATGCGAATCCACTTTGGTTGCTTCTTGTGCCAGTTCCATTCTCCTTAATAGACATTGAAAGCCTTGATAGTAGTTAGTGGCCAACTCATTGCACCTTGAATGCCCTGTGACGAGAGATTGCTAGAAATCACACGTCAGAAGCTGGAATACAGCCAAAGATAGCAGGAAATCATACTAGCCTCTCTTTTCCTCCAGCGAAGTCGGTCAAGCGATTCAAACGCCGTAATATTCCCCGGTAATCACTTGCTTGCAACATGCGTTTATCAACTGACATTCTGGTGGCTTTGTCGTTCAATGCTCAAATTCAAATGGTTGGGAGACTTTTTGCATGAAAGCCTCTCGCAAGGCCTGTTTCTTTAATAGTCTGGGGGCTCCACGGAGAGCGGGACAAGTATTGTTTATGAACGTTAATGTCTTACCTATTCTTGGCCCTCCCCTCACTTTCCTTACTACTACCATGCTCGGATATAACGCCCGAGCTAGCGCTCTAGTTCTCATATTTTAAGCTGGTACTTCGTCACATATAGCCGGGACATTCATTCCGTTTAAGTAACTATGGAATAATGTTTATCAGTTAGCGCGTGGTTTGACGATCCACAAAGTCTCTTATGAGCCTATAACATCCCATCTAGCCTCCACGCTCGCGAATGCCCTGACCCTTTGAATGATCAAAAAGGCTGCTTTCTGTGGACTCGAATTCGTTGTATGCAGGTTCCATACTTGCATATAATCACAGCTCTACCAAATAAACAGATCTTACATGCAGTAATTCCGATTGCCGGAAAATATACCCGGTGGACGCTAATCCCTTTTGGAGCACCGCTCTGTAATGATGGCAGAACTGTGACGGTATTGGCTTCGTTACATTTCGTGAGTCATCACATTAAGACACCAATGCCTGATGTCTCACAGCGGTACTGTAAGTTACAGATACTATTGTGGAAAGTGGTCTGAAAAGCCTATGTCGACATGTTATCCAATCAGGACTCGTAAGTGTCGGAATTAGTTTCCGGCAATTAAGTGTGGAGATATACTGTAACTGATTTCGAAAATTACTGCAGTATTAGAATTCATTTACCCTGACCTCTCGCTTTTAGTTGAACCCTAGATTGAGGTACAAGGGTGATGATTGATCTATATGAAAAGATCCAGCTATTTGTAGTTGCAGTAGCTCATCTCCCTACTGCCTAGCTAGTAGCTACACTCTTCGATTGTTTCTAACCCCTAATTGCCAAGTCAGACTAGTCTATATTGGGAGTTATTCTGGAGTATCTTTGTCAGTGGCCCGTATTGTTTCTTTCATGGAGTAATCTGGATATGTAGCGACGTGTAGTAACCTGCAATTTGATACAACTTGCACCTCCATACCCCTTTGACGCTTTCGTCCCTTGGTACGGGTAGATCCTAACAATCACTCACGAGTTGTCACACCAAGATGGCGCTCAATCTAGCCCCTTCAAAGCATGAGCTTATACCGAACTATCTATATCGCAGATGGTATCTCCACTCTTCGGTTAATTATCGAACCCTGGTGCTAAGTTACACTAGTGTGTTCTTGGAAACCGAAGAACCCCTGTCATGTCACTACACTACGTGTTGTATTGTTTGACTTCGGCATTACCAGATATTCATAGCTTAATGCCTCATGTGGGTCTTTATTAAGGGCCCGCATTAGGCATCCATCTGGTCAGCTTTCCCCGCAGTGAGGTTGAATTGGGGCCTTTCTATTGTCCTTCGAAATTAATTTCTGCGAACCAAGAAGTAAGAGCATGGAGGTATACATACGAAATGTACGATCGGTGCGCGGAATGTTGCGAGAGAATTTGTATATTCGACTTAATTTGTAGAATTACATATCTATCAGCTGGTCGATCGCACCAGAGTCTCCATACTCGGCCTCAATCACAATTTCTTCCAATATGCTAGTGAGCGACTTTTTCTGGATCACATAATTGCTCAAACGACGCGCAGGAAATGGGAATAACCTGTGAATCTTTGCTAGCGTCGACATGGAGGTGATGAGATGTTACCACCACGCAAACTGTTGTCGGCATCCGTGCGCACCCGTCCAGGCTTAGCTCGTAATTTCTCATCTATCTTATTGGGCCGCTAGAAGCGACGTGGCGCTACTCACGGACGCGCCATCGAGCCAGTGGGTGATCGGGGACGAGGTGCGTTGTAGTGTTGGGCGTTGACAACCGGTATTAGCTGAAGGGCACAAGGGTGCTTGCTGAACCTTACCGAGCCCCACTCTTCCCCGGTTACACTATTCAAACCGTTCAAGTTGAAATTTCTGCTGCTACAGGTTCAACCAGAGGTTGGGCTCGATCGCTGGACGAACAAGGAACCGTGGTTGATGTAACTCTTGCTTCGAATCTTTTGTACCTCTGTTGCTGCATGTTGGGTCATGGAATCAAGACTCAACCGCTGGACAAATAGGAGGACCCTGCTCGATATGATTCCGTTCGCAGGCTTCGACTCGATGTTGGCTAATTAGATGGTGCATATCCAACGAATATGTTGGTCACATCACACCAATAGCGTTAACGGGGCACATTTAAGTGGCTCCGATAGGTTCAACAAAATTTGAGCTGCTACCCTCCTGAACCAGGCCACGGATCGGACTCAAGACCTGGATCCATCTTGACATGTTACCACTAGATCCGTCAAACTGACCGGGGGTCCCTGCTGCTCAAGGCACCCTAGTCAAGTCCAATCACCGAACGGACAGGGGTTCCCTGCTGTTGCGGGTAAAAGTCCGGCCCACGAACGGGCAGGGGGGCCCTGCTGCAGTAAGTATCCTGGTCAAAACCAACAACCGAACGGGCAGGGGATTCCTGCTGCTCAAGGCACCCTAGTCAAGCCCAATCACCGAACGGGCAGGGGGGCCCTGCTGCAGTAAGTATCCTGGTCAAAACCAACAACTGAACGGGCAGGGGATCCCTGCTGCTCAAGGCACCCTGGTCAAGTGTAACCACGGAACGAGCAGGGGGGGCCCTGCTGCTGTAGGTACCCTGATTAACGTCCAACGACCGGACTGACAGGGGGGGGGGGAGGGCGCTGCAAAGAGCATTCCGTAAGGAGGTTGGTTTTGCTCTATGTTCAGAGAGCGAGAGTTTGGCGCATTGCGGCCTAACCCCGCTTCCTATATATAATCGAACATGAAGGACAAACTGGTTGCAGGCCAATTAGAAGAAGACTTTAAAGAAGTGCGTAGCAAAAGCATGCAAGCAATGAACGTGAGGGTATAACGAATAAGCACCAAGTATGAAGCACGGACACTAGGGTTAGGGAGCCAGCTTTTAGGGCTATAGAGGAAAGAGCCAGTAAGTAAGGATGAAAACCGCCAACACTAACCCTAAAGAGCGGAATGTTAAACAGCAATCAGAAGAGGGCGTGCGTAGAAGAAGTAGCCAATAAAGCGAAAGTGGGGAACTGAAGTAGCGAATTAGAAGGCAGAGTTTGGCTAACAGCAATATCAAAAATAAAGTTTCTCGACAACAGGGGTACTCCCTGGGCACGAAGGTAAACCCTTCCTCTCACTTCGTTCGTTTCAGGGCAGTACAGTCATAAATAACAGCTTAAAAATAGCTTCTGTATTATACTCGTATGGTTTCTGGGGGGTCCTACAACCTTGATCGATTGGACAAGCTAAATAGAGGGTGGGAGCCATCTCAAAGCTGCGGACCTAGAAAACGTGCCCGTTAGACCATGCGTTAGTTTTGCAATAAGCAACAGAACGCGATCTCGCATCTCCATTCGTACACTTGAAAAAGGGGATCGGGGATAGGTTAGGCTGGTCATCGCAATCGGGGTACTAAACGGAGGGCGCTAATCCTACCGAGGCCCACCTAGGATTCTGCCCTTTCTTTCCGTCTTCTTGGGCTTATTAAAAGGCCACATTTTTCCCCTCGGGACTAGACACTCTGTTCTTCTATCCTCGCATAAGTTTGAATTTGACATTGTGCACAGCACGATAAATCCAAAATGAAGAGACCTATTTCGATCGTAAGACATGAATACGATGAATCTGGCCAGTCGGCGGTTGATCAACTTTCGGAAATTTTGCACACTCACAATCCGGCAACGACTTTATCATTTGATTCCGAGCAGAAATGCCTTCACATCACTGGCTTACCTGATATGGACGACTCGGAATGCGTTAGAATACTTTCTCAATTTCAATCTGACACTTGGATTTTGGTATTCGAGGAAAAAACCGCTCAAGGTATCATAATTATCAAGCTCGTCCGTCGTCTAAGTGAGCGTGACCTTGATCGAATTCAGCGTGCGTTTGCTCGAAGTGAGCATGACTCTCGAAGTGAGCGTGATCGTCAAATTGAGCATGAGTCAGCTCGAAGTGGGCATAACTTTCGAAGTGCGCTTGACAACCGAAGAAGCTTAAATGCCCTCCGAGCTAAAATGCAGCAAATCCGTAACCGCCAATAATCTGCGCAAGAAAATCGAATCCAATCATCTAGCGGACCCTACCACAATTTACTTCGAACTAGGGCGACAGCTGTTGTCTTACGACGTTCGGTTGTGTCCGTCTAACCGTATCTACTCCAAAGTTGGTACCATCTTCCTTTTCGAAATGTTACCAGCGCTCACAGAGGTTCCTAGCAGAGAATTCTTCGCGATGCGCCAGATGCTTTGCATGTGCATGCCAAATCTCGCGCTTGCACAGGTGCTCTTTGTGAGACGTCTCCCGGGCATGCCTTGGCTCCCCGCGTTCGACTCGAGCGTGAGGAGGACGGAATGAGAATTGTGGCCTTTGCGATGGTGACGATGAACGAACGATACTGCATTGAGTGAGATGGAATATTTCCATTTTGATAAATCTTGCCATCCATATTTGGTGAAGCCGATGAGGCGCGCCGTATATGTCACGCTGAATGTCTTGGCGCGGATTGCCCAATGCTATCAGACATTCCGATCGAGGCTTTTTGAATTTCGCCGTCGTTTGCATACCCCGCCCCCGCCGTTCCCTCTCGGCCAAGTGAGAGGGTCGGCAGATGTGAAATCATACTTTCTTGTCTTGTAATTAGTATCTAAATATGGCATTTGCAGATCGAAGTTATTTTCCTGCTGGCGGACCAGTTCCGACCTGCTGTCAGAATAATTGGTCAAGGACGAATAGAATTGATGCACCATTTTTAGATGGACGTTGTACGTTGTCAAGAGAAAATCCAATGCAGTGAAAATCTGGCACAAGAACGGGAACTGGGAAGCTGTCATCCAACACGAAGTCAGTAATCTGGCAGGTCTCGCATTACAGGTTAGATCACGGATTAAGCTTTGATAGAGAGTGTGTTCGCAGCATGTTGATAGACACTTAGTCGGTGGTGATAATACAAATTGCTTACGAGAACACCCGACTGTATGGCTAGTTCATCTAAAGTACGCAGTAGGCTATCATGTGATATTCCTTACAATACATTTCGGTAATTTGAAACGCGCTAAAGCAAAGTGAGCCTAGTAAGTTTCAAAGAGGGTTCGAGAAATAATTTCTGCGAGTAAATGGTGAAACTGATTTCGATTCATCCTGTAATATAAAGTTGCTCTATTGTTATAAACTCAGAGCTCAAGTTCACCCCTTGTCAAATCAACATTACCCAGGTCAGCTACATTATGCCATAGTCGTTGTTGCAACTGACTTTCACTGGAGGTTTGAAGGCCTTCTTCTAGAGGGAGATTTTGAATCGAAGCACGCCACTTGTGATAACTCTCCTGCGAGAAATGGCCTTTTCTCAAAAATATCACCGCGGCCTCGCTGAACTCCTGCACGACTTGTCGCGAGGCTGGAAAAAGGTTGATGATAATATTTACCGCAACATGCAGCATCTTCATCGAACAGGTGCTCTTATTCCTGAATATCTTTATTAATATTATAAAATTAATGGCTCAGGGGCGGAAGACTGCACAATTGAGTGTCCATATCTTTTCCACAAGTGATAAGGATGCCTGCTCCTAGATAGTTCACCATTTGAGCCCATCGTTTCCCTCTGCTTCTCTCTGTATAGAAACGTTGCCGATAAGTGTCTTTTGAATTTTTATCCATTTTGTCCCAGTTGGTATGGTAGTGTCGTAGGAGGTAATCTACTGCCGAAGAGTCCGGGTTCGAAGACCCTCCATCGACCCGACCAGCAAACATCGTTCTGCATTTTTCAAACCATAAGAACAATCGGATTCTTGACAGCCGCTGAAGAATTCTTTGCGTTTCAGGATCTTTATCTAAACCAGCGTATATCATGTCCGAAGAGAGATCCTTTAAATTCCCTGGTTCGTCCCTCTCAAAGACTGGGTCTTTTGGCCAAAGTCCATTTTCTAGCCAAGACGAGAGGTGGAGATCAATAAACTGCCCCATATCACGTCGGAGCCATGATAACCCTGCTTTGATGGCACATGTGGCTCTGCTCGAATCGTGGTCCATATCATCAAAAAGCATGTTTTGGGATGCCATGTAATCGAGGGCTCCATAGTATAAGGGATCAATCTCTGCCTTGATGGATTGAAAGAAATCGCAAGCTGCGTTGTAGGCTGAGTAATCTAGATAAGCATCAAAAGATGGTACTGGAGTTGGGCTTGCGTTATAGGATGCCTGATGTCTCGATGGACCGGCTGGGGCGTTTGGCTCTATACAATAAGCCGACTGTACTTCAGAAGTTGCATCTTGCGGATGCAACGTTAAGGTCTGTAAGTGGGTTTCACAGCTTTGTGGTTCACAATAAATGTGGTTCTGAATAGTGAAAAGATGACATTTTCCTTCGACATAATTTGCTATTGCCTTCCTGGAATAAGGATCTAGCTGTTCTAGATAAAGTACAGTCTCAATTAAGCGATCACCTACCTTAGAAAATGGATTATAGTAAGCATTGTAACACATATCCGCAGAAATACTTGACTTACATCAGTATCTACGAGGTCAGATGGGGGGCTCGGTTCGCTCTGGCAAGGAATCTAACGAGCCACGCAGTTAGTCACATTCTATCAAGTTCGTTTCTAGCTACTTACCGGTATTTTACAAATTAAATTTGACATTGTTTAGTTAAAGAGGGTGCGACATCGAATTGAAGGTTAGCAAGAGTAGAATGCAGCAATGGTACTTAAGCGAATGACATTAGGCATTGAGAAGATCTCTGTGTCATTTTATGTATCATTAGCCATTCGGATGTATTCTTTTTCGCAAATCTAGTGCCAACGAAAAAATAACTATCAAAAACAATGTCTGGTCTTCTCAAACCGGGTGTCCCACGGCAGACAAAATTATACCCGACCTGCAAACTGTTCCCACAGGGTGGATTTTTAAAGTGCCTATAGCTTCAAATAGTGCCAGAAGGTCTAAGTGCGGGGGAGTTATTTCACTTTGCCTGAAACTTAACGATGACGCGAAAGATTATTTAGCTAAACAGCCCGGGTAAATATAGCCGGATACTAATAACAGACATCAATTAATCTGACTTAGAAGGCTGTAGGCCTTTCCAGCTGGGGTGGTACCGTGGTACATTCATTCTCATCAAAGTCTTCCACTGTCTTTATAAAAGTTATAAAACCCACACAGACATTCAAACTTACGCTTGACATCTTGGAGAAATCCTATCTATTCTCTGAAATCACCACTTCCCACAAATCAAATATCGCTCAAACCTCACTGGATAAACCCAATACCATTATCCACAGCCGTCCAGCATGTATCCTGGCCAAGGGAAACGGATTAGTGGCAAGTGGAAACACTTCTATAAAAAATGTAATTTCTTCCTTTGAACTACTTGGTTTCTGTTCTAAGGTATGCAGGGTGGCTAGCCAAGATATTTAAAAAAAAGCAGCCAAACATATCCTACCAGAAAACTCACTGGCCCAGAGATTCTTTAATAATTTATGCGAACAGATAACTACTTTACCAACCCGATATGATAGGCTGAATATTTCCCACATAATGTCCAAGTTGTATGGGACAGGCGTTGAATAGACAGTGAGACTATGTATACAGTACAGTACAGTAGTATTCGAAATCAGTTATACCTCTACACTCTTACGACTTCATTCCCGAAAAGTAAATCCGGGAAGCATTAACCAATTGTTTTTCACCGCTCTGTAATTCTTGCAGAATCCTCTTAATAATTGTACTTCTATGGATGAGTCTCGGTCGGTTACCGTACAGTAAAATTCGAAAACAGTTCACCCCTTCGGCAGACAGACTGTGTTTCTCAGCCCGTACCAGAAACAAATTTAATCTCTATTAGGATAGGCGGTAAGTTATTAGCCACTCATAGACAAGATACACTTACAGCCTATCTGAATAAGGCTTAAACTAGTATCGGTTACAGGCCGAAAGACAAAGCGTGTGCTGAAGGGGTAACCTGTTTTCGAATTTTACTGTAATGTACCACAGTATTAAATTCGTTTATGTTTGTTTACGAGTCGCTCCTAGGGTCGAGACCGCCCTGAGGTGATATCATACTCTACCTCATTCCCCAAGAAATACACTGGAGTATCGTAATCAGCACTTTCTTCTACATAACGACCCAACGACCCCAACCACTTCTACGAACATGTGTTCTTGGCCCTAGTAGCAAAATACACATGTGCTCGTCAGCCTCTATTGAAGAATTTCGCAAATTCCTTACTGTAGGAGAATCGAACCAGATCTGCCACCAATTCCACGATGATCAGTGGCAACAAGGATGCCAGGTCATGTGGAGTGGACTAGACCGTCAACTTGTACAAGGTTGGGCCGATGAAAACGAAATGCAGACATTAACTACGGCTATGGGGCCTTTGATGTTTCATGAGCAACCGCAATGCTTGTGGCCCCGAAAATCTAGCAAAAAATGGAGCAAATATATGAAAGGTGCCTCTGCTATGTTCGCCTATCACATTGCGCAAGATGGAGGTGTAGTCACCGTCCTATCACCGCCACCCCCACAAAGATACAACCCCTACGGAGGGTCAAATTACCAGACTCTTGAGGAGCCAATCCTAAAGGGGAAACTGGGGCCCAGAGTCGCAAAGATCGAAATAGTGCATCCGGCTATACTTGATGCCCAGGATTTCCGCTATCAACTATGGCCGAACGATGAGAAAAATATCTGGCATGATAGGTTTGGGCACCCTTCGGCTGACATACACTGGCGACATGTGGTAGCAAGCCGATCCTTGCTGTAAAAGGGCCATCTTGAATATTAAAGCCTTACTAAAGGGTGCGTTTTTCACTTGAGGAGTGAAAGAGCAACAGTTGCTGACCGATGAACTGTTCATCGAGTGGGGCGATCTTAGTATATCACCGTACTAGTGCAACAAGGTCAGGTTTCAAAAACGATTCATTTGTTGCCTGTCGAGGCGCTGAACAATGCTGGGTGACATCAAAAAGTGCTTATGCCCTATTTCTCAACATTCCTCAATTGAACGGTTATGCCGCGTCTGTGCTGCCAATTTGATTTGGTATCATTTCTGTTGGACAAATTTAGTATATACAAAACTTGCCCTAGGCCGAATTACCTGATCCGCACCATCTTGGGGATTCAATTCCGAGAAGTCTAATATATACTAACACCACCAACGAGATGAACATGCAAACCCTCATTCTGTTGCAAAGATTCGTTGAGGCGTTGACATTCGCGACAAGTCACCCAAAAATCCCATTCCTGCTTTGCCCAAGTAAGGCTCCTTTTAAAGATGATTTGATCCTTCTTCTTGTGGATGAACGCCCGCTGTTCCTTCGATGATCGGAGATTGGTTGCCTCTATGCAATTTGCACATAGTGTATTGATGTTGATGCGCCGCTTAGCAGGGAGTAAATATGACCAAACGCAAACAAGATAGGATCCAGGCTCATGTCCTATAAATCTGATCTTCATGCGATAGGAATCACTATCATGGCAAGATACGCAAAACCAGGAAACAGTTCCTTTCATTCTAGGCAGATTTAGTATGTATAATATTTCCTGGATAATACAAAGACTTACGTTCAAGCCTAACGGAACTTGGGATATGTGTTCTAGAACAAAACGGGTCTCGGATCAATGCTGGAATGCCTCGCCTTTATATGTCTGCATCCGGTTGACATCAGGCTGAAGGCTACGGGCAATTTATGTGGCAGCGCAATTACGTACTTCCACTAGGTACGGGCGCCGTGAGGCCGCCATTACAGAACCTACATTTTTTTGAGGCGTACGAGTTGATCAGAAGTCTATGACAACCCTAGCTTTTGGCTTTCAGAGGGCTAGGTCCGGCTGTGAACAGGGACCACGGACGGTCATTTGGACCCGCAATCTTAAAGCGATCAGATTCCCGGTCCGGGATTTGCAGAAAGTCACAAGGATGCCTCTTGTACAACACTGTTAGTGGCGTTATTCAAACTGTTGTGGCTGATACCCCTGCTGGTACAGGTTCAACCAGAGACCTAGGCTTGATCGTTGAATCAACAGTAAAGCGTGCCTGGTGTACAGTATTGCAAGGGCCTAGATGCCCTCGGGTATCTCCAATTATGAGCGATGGAATCAGAGGGGACATTGTTGGCTGGGAAAAGCGGATCTGGTAGTGAACACAGTTTGAAGATTGTCCATCTCAAAGCTTGGGCAAGTCTATTTGAAACACTCTTCCTATTGTGAACAAAAGCTAGGTACATTACGCTAATCTAGATATAAATCTGCGCAAGTATTCGTACTGTAGCTTACCAGGTAATACATTCAATAGAACTCGGAGCTAGGTCTCTAGACTACTTTGAGATTAGGTGCCAACTCAGCTCTTTCTTTGAACTGGCAACAATCCCCATAACCAAGGCGAAAAGAGTATTCTGGTTTTGAGAGTATTATGCCTCAGCCTCACCTATTCCGCCCCTCTCTCCTAATACCACGAATAATAAAAATACGTAAACAGAAAATGCACATAGTGAAAAAGGAGAGCATCAACAAAAAAGGATATAAGGGGGAAAAATAGAATCAATGTTCTTGGCCATTTAAGGAGGAAATTCCTTCCATTTTTCTCGCTACGCCTAATCCCCCCGGGGAAATAAACAAAAAGACTCGACCATCTGTGAACAAATAAAGAGATTGTTACGAAGGGCAGTGGGGCCTTCGAATAACCCCCTTTGGAAGACTGTCATCACAGAAGCGAGTTTCTACCTTGATATGACGGGGAGGCGGGGAATGTTCAAGCTTCTGTTGCCAAATGTCCGGCTTTTTGCTATAAGATAAAATGGCTTGGAGTGAGTTGGGGAGGCTCGTGTAGTCCGGACCAAAGAAAGGAAAAGTTGGTTCACTTTCAAACGACAAGAGTTCCAGAGAAACCAACGAGGGAGGAAATATAACATCACTATATAGATCAGACTCATGGGCCGCAAGGTTTTCCAGAACGCTGAAACCCCCAAGTGAGTAAATTTCGACAACTTTGCTATCAACAATGCACTTATCCGCAATTTTTAGAGTCAGCTCCCGAAGAGTCTGTCGAGATAGGCAAAGAGCTTCGACGATTGCCGGACTTTCGACTTGCGGCTTGAGGGTACAGAGTGCGATAAACCAACACCGTGGAGTTTGACAATAAGGGATTCAGCATCCAGCAATGTCTCTCTGGCCTGTACCGAGTGTTAAAAAAAATAGTCTAAGGTTTGAAATATCGTTTCTCCATTCGACGACGGTGCTACATGTAACCCAGTGCAGTTATCTGGTACAAATAAACTCTTGCGCGACATGTATGGCTCAAAGTCGCCAGTGCTTGTATAGTCACTAGCGAAATCAGCTTCCTCCCTAACACTTGCTTTTCTTTTCTCGGGACCTACTGCTAAGGTACTAGCGCCAAAATTTATTCAACAGGTATCAATAAAAAAATCCCTCCTGAATGTATCGAGTTGTAATTTACAGCGAAATTACCAATTCAAATGAAGTCAACATTTGAAGGCATGGTTTTTGGTTGGAATGTGCTCAATATTGCCTAATGCACGTGACCGATTATTTTCTCGCAAGGCGACTGGCTAGGAAAGATCCATCGATAGTTGCCGCCCTCAAGTCACTGCTTCCATGAATAATTATCAGTTGAACCACATCAAATTAATAAATGGCAGATTACGTTCACAGTAAAATCATTTTTTCCTTGCAACTAATTTGAAGATTTGCTTTGTTTCCGCTGTTACGTGGGGTCTTGACTTAGGCCAAAGACGCAGAGTTGTGACCGCCCTCATGATTCGAAGATTAGATGCTGATGTTTACCTGAATCGCGGAATAGTGAGTCATTGTCCCCGATAATATTATATGATATTCTGGTTTGATGGTGCGGATTATGGTATTTCCATACCGTCAGACAACACGTGACCTACTGAGAGAGGTCAAGGCGGGGTTGATTTGTTATTAGTGCCCCTTTCGGTGGAAGTGGGTCCACGAAACTTGGCCTTGAGGGGGTTTCGGTGCGGCGCGCCCCGTTGCCAATGCCGCAGAACAGACTTCCCCAAGAATGGGACATCATGGAAGGTCAAGATATCTCTACCAACAATCGTCAGCTGCCTCACATAATAAATTGGACAAGATAAGTGCATTCCAAGGCTGATCTTGGCATTTCTTTGCTTCGGTGGGTGGAGAAGACGGCTTCTGCCAATAGCGTCGTTTCTCTAACCGCCCGCTGCTGCACGTCCTGTTCATCATGAGGCTGAGCCTCTCCGGTTGGCAAATATTTTCCCTCTATCTTACAGGGCTTCTTTCCTTCTCCCAAGCCTCCTCCGCTCTCCTTTGCTCATAGTAACATATATTGTCCCCTTGAGTTAGGCCTCTATTGCACACTAGACATCAGGACTTTCGAAAGGTCACGCGGGTAACTGATTTTCAGGCTTTTTCTCTCGCGTTGAAGCCATGTCAGATCCTGCGGGGTACACTGTGGGCTGGATTTGCGCCGTACCCGTGGAGTACATTGCCGCACAAGAGTTTCTCGATGAAGAGCACGACAAACCGAGCTTTGTGTCGCCAAACGATGCCAACGACTATACGTTAGGTAGGATGGGCGAACACAACGTTGTCATCGCCGTCTTGCCCGATGGTGAATATGGAACAGCTTCCGCGGCTAGTGTAGCGACAAACATGCTCAACAGTTTTCACAACATCAGGATCGGCCTCATGGTCGGGATTGGCGGGGGTGTACCAAGCGAGAACCATGATATTCGTTTGGGCGATGTTGTGGTCAGTGCGCCTGGCGGTGGCGAGAGTGGTGTGTTTCAATACGATTTTGGCAAGTCGATCCAGGACCAAAGCTTTCAGCACACACGGTTCTTGAATCAGCCACCGGCTATTTTGCGCGCTGCAATGGCGGGTATCCGAACACAATATGAGAGAAACGGGCATCAGCTCGAGAAGGCTATCAACGGCATTCTTGGAAAGAACATCAGACTACGTCGGAATTACAAACGGCCAGAACCAATCACGGATAGGCTGTTTCTTGCCGAAGTTATCCATCGCCAAGCAGGTTGCGCTGTATGTGCGGTTGATCCTTCGACGTTGGTAACACGAAATGAGCGGGCCGAAGACGAAGATAACCCTGCCATTCACTATGGCCTGATTGCTTCTGGTAATCAGCTGATGAAGGATGCTTTGATTCGAGATCGGCTTGCCGCGGAGAAAGACGTTCTCTGTTTCGAAATGGAAGCTGCGGGGCTGATGAATACTTTTCCATGCCTAGTTATCCGGGGTATCTGTGACTACTCGGACTCGCACAAGAACAAAGCGTGGCAAGGGCATGCAGCTATGGTGGCAGCTGCATATACGAAGGATCTCCTACAGAGAATTCCTCTTAACAGAATTGAAGCCGAGGAGAGGATAGGTGCTGTTGTGTCTGGTTAGACTAGCGCAATCTTTTAATGGTTTTGTCAGCATATATTGACTTGGGCATTACTTAGAGGAGCTGAAAGGCATCCAACATCGCTTAGATCAAGCATACAGTCAAAACGAACGGCACTTTAGTGAACAGAAAGCAAGAGTCTTAACGGATCAACAGCGCCTTTGTTACCAAGTGTTCAAAGTCGTTAACTACGCGGAGCAAAAGAACATAAACCCTAAACGAGCTGAGGGAACCTGTCGATGGGCTTTCCAAAGCCCTGAATGCATCCGTTGGAGGGAGAGCAATTGCAACGACCTTCTCTGGGTGTCGGCTGACCCAGGCTGTGGCAAGTCGGTCTTAGCCAGATCAATAATCGATGATTACTCAGAGTCCTCTCATCCAACTGTGAGAATATGTTACTTTTTCTTCAAAGACAATGATGACCAGAACAATCTTGCTACGGCACTATGTTCGGTACTTCATCAGCTCTTCAGCCAGCAGTCTGATCTCTTGACACATGCCATTCCGACCTGGGAAAAGAATGGGGGTGCGCTCCGACAAGAAGTTGACGAGCTTTGGCGGATCTTGATGGCGGCAACATCAGCTGACATATCACGCAAGACGATTTGCATATTCGATGCACTTGATGAATGTCGTGAAACCGATCAGCGCCGGCTAATCGAAAAGCTTCAAGCGTTTCATCGCCAGCCATCTTCATCAACAGAGGAAACCTGTTTGAAATTCCTGGTGACCAGTCGTCCCTACGATCATATACAGGATCACTTTCGAGCAATCACCGATTCTTTCCCACATATACACATCAAGGGGGAAGAGCAGAATGACCAAATCCATGAAGAGATTGACCTGGTGGTGAGGACTCGGGTGAGAGAACTAGCTGAATCAGTGCCACTGTCACCAGAACTTCACCATCAAGTCGAAAAAAAGCTGCTTGAAATGGAACACCGTACATATCTTTGGCTGCACCTAGCCATTGATGACATCCGTACTACCTTGAAACACAGCCTTCGGCCTGGAGAGAACTCGATCACACTGGTACCGTCTTCTGTGAATGCAGCATATGAAAAGATCCTTTGCCGAGTCCCAGTCAATGAAATGGATGTAGTTAAAAAGGTCTTGGAAATCATTGTGGCAGCACGACGTCCTCTGAAAATACAAGAGATGGCCATTGCGCTGGGTATTGCCACTATCTCAGACTCGCAAACCATAAGACAAGCTGAGCTAGATCCAGTCCAATTAGAAGGAAAGCTCCGGCGACTTTGCGGCTTGTTTGTCTTCACAAACAATTCGAAGATCTATCTCATCCATCAAACAGCGAGAGAATTTCTCATTGAGAAGAAAAATTCTAGCTATCCCAATTCTGCATACTGGAACAGCCTGACTCATGCGGAAGATCAGATGGCTGAGATCTGTTTGAGATTCTTGTTGATGGAGGATTTGGAATACGATGAAGACGACTCGCGCTCACATACTCGAAGTTTCTTGGAATATTCAGCAGCACATTGGCCTGATCACGTACGAAAGATGGGTTTGACTTCAACCCAAAAAAATACCTGCCGAGTGCATCGATTATACGACATAATCGGGAAACCGTATTCAATGTGGTTTCCCATTTTTTGGAAGGCAGTCAGACCATACGAAAAAACTCCTATAATGAGTGCACTGCATCTGGCAGCCTTCAATGGCCATGAACAGGAGGTACGTTTTATACTTAGCGTGGATGAAAGTGATATCAATACACCTGATCAAAGAAGAACATACCCAGTCACGTGGGCTTCATTGAATGGACATGGTATGATCGTCAAACTTCTGCTAGAGCGAGGAGCCGATGTCAACGCCCAGAGTGGACTTGATGGAAATGCCCTTCAGGCTGCTTGTTATCAAGGACACGATAAGATCGTGCAGATGCTACTAGAAAGAGCAGCCGATGTCAACGCCCAGGGTGGACGTTACGGAAATGCCCTTCAGGCTGCTTGTTATCGAGGACACGATAAGATTGTGCAGATGCTACTAGAAAGAGCAGCCAATGTCAACGCCCAGGGTGGACACTTCGGAAATGCCTTCCAGGCTGCTTGTTCTGGAGGACACGACAAGATCGCACAGATGCTGCTAGGACGAGGAGCCGATGTCAATGCCCAGGGTGGAGACTACGGAAATGCCCTTCAGGCTGCTTGTTACGGAGGACAGGACAAAATCGTACAGATGATACTTGAGCGAGGAGCCGATGTCAACGCCCAGGGTGGATTATACGGAAATGCCTTCCAGGCTGCTTGTTCTGGAGGACACAACAAGATCGCACAAATGCTGCTAGAGCGAGGGGCCGATGTCAACGCCCAGGATGGATTATACGGAAATGGCTTCCAGGCTGCTTGTTCTGGAGGACACGACAAGATCGCACAGATGCTGCTAGAGCGAGGAGCCGATGTCAACGCCCAGGATGGACGTTACGGAAATGCCCTCCAGGCTGCTTGTTCTGGAGGACACAACAAGATCGCACAGATGCTGCTAGAGCGAGGAGCCGATGTCAACGCCCAGGGTGGAGACTATGGAAATGCCCTTCAGGCTGCTTGTTACGGAGGACAGGACAAAATCGTACAGATGATACTTGAGCGAGGAGCCGATGTCAATGCCCAGGGTGGATTATACGGAAATGCCTTCCAGGCTGCTTGTTCTGGAGGACACGATAAGATCGTGCAGATGCTACTAGAAAGAGCAGCCGGTGCCAATTCCCAGGGTGGAGAGTACGGAAATTCCCTCCAGGCTGCTTGTTACGGAGGACACGACAAGGTCGCACAGATGCTGTTGGAGCGAGGAGCCGATGTCAATGCCCAGGGTGGAGACTATGGAAATGCCCTTCAGGCTGCTTGTTACGGAGGACAGGACAAAATCGTACAGATGATACTTGAGCGAGGGGCCGATGTCAATGCCCAGGATGGAAGTCACGAAAATGCCCTCCAGGCTGCTTGTTCTGGAGGACACAACAAGATCACACAGATGCTGCTAGAGCGAGGGGCCGATGTCAACGCCCAGAGTGGACCTGATGGAAATGCGCTTCAGGCTGCTTGTTACGGAGGACACGAGAAGATCACGCAGACGCTGCTAGAGCGAGGAGCCGATGTCAACGCCCAGGGTGGACCTGATGGAAATGCGCTTCAGGCTGCTTGTTACGGAGGACACGAGAAGATCACGCAGACGCTGCTAGAGCGAGGAGCCGATGTCAACGCCCAGGGTGGATTATACGGAAATGCCTTCCAGGCTGCGTGTTCTAGAGGAAACGACAAGATCGCACAGATGCTGCTCGAGCGAGGAGCCGATGTCAACGCCCAGGGTGGACGTTACGGAAATGCCCTTCAGGCTGCTTGTTATCGAGGACACGACATGATCGTACAGATGCTGCTAGGACGAGGAGCCGATGTCAATGCCCAGGGTGGAGACTACGGAAATGCCCTTCAAGCTGCTTGTTATGGGGGACATGACAAGGTCGCACTGATGCTGATAGAGCAAGGGGCCGATGTCAATGCCCAGGGTGGAAGTCACGGAAATGCCCTCCAAGCAGCTCGTCGGGGAGGATACCACCATATAGTAAAACTTCTCCATGAACATCAATGTGCTAATCAGTCGACCTCCCAACCCCCCCCCCTTCCAAAAGGCTGAAGGTTTCATCATGATTCCTTTTATCATGTTCTTCTTAATACCTCCATATCTTCATTTTCGTTCTCTCCCTAGGTCGTTGTGCTATAGTCCTTGCTCTCAGTACTCAGTACCGAAAGAATCTGTCCATGATCCATAATACTTGATCCAGCCATTCAAAAATTAGTGAAATAAGAAGCACAGAACCCTAATGAACCTGCTTGGCTTTTTCAGTGTATCTAACCTTTGTTTAAACTACCAAACTAAAGACATTTTCTCTCATTACCTGGGCCGGCTGTTTGTTGCCCTATCCTACTCGCTTTTTGGGTCCGTATGACAGGCATCAGATCCGGCGATCTTACAGGATTCTCAGATAACTATGAAGCTTTCTGAATAGCTATACATACCCCTGAGTTCTGGCAATTTAAGCAATATGATAAGCAAACAAAACATACCAAACAAAATAAACATGATTCTCAGCCTCATTTCTCACATCATATCATGTGATAGGTAGCAGAGGCAATTTGTTGTATTGTATGCACGGTGTATCATCGGTTGCCGGTATTGTTATATTCAGCATCGCAATTTCTTTATAATCGATCGTTGAATAAAAACTGCGCACTAATCTCTTGGAAGTGGGGCCGCCAAATAGAAGAGCAATGCTTGGGGCGGAAGCTGATTTCGCTAATGACTGTATGATCTATTCCGTGATCGGAGACGTAAGGCTCATACCGCCGAGCTATTAAATTTTCGTGTCGCCCTCAGCCGAATGGCTGCCAAGCTGCGCTCTAGAACGCCGGAGGAGATGTTATGGTTGATTCAGGAGATTCGAAACCCACCAACAGACCAAGACGCCCTCCATTATCTTGTTCGCGGATACTGAATATCCAGCGATCTGGAAGTTTCTTGGCATTCTCACTTCTTGGAAATCAAGACCTGTCCATACTCGAGGTGAACAATAGCTTGAGTACATGTAGCTAGGTGATTTCTAGAGCTATATTATCAAGCAAGGAATAAACGTGCTGCAATTTGAAGTTACGTCATTGAATTTTGGTTTTAGTCGCAGATCCCTCGGATATCCAGACAGGGAAAGCGGTTCATCAGGCCCACCGCTTCTATCTCAAAGCAGATGCAATCCTTGCCAAGGTCAGCAACAATCCGATCGCGCGTAGCCGTATCTTTGACGATGTGTTGCCGGATGCAATGGTCTCGTTGTGGATATCGGAGGATCGCGTTGAACTTCATCAGCCGTGTCCCAGCCCTGACAGTCCGGGCCGGGGACGTGGTCGCATGAAGCATCGAAAAGGCGGTCGTTAACGAATCCTTAGGTGAGTATAGCCAGGATTTTGCTTGGATCTCTTAGCCATCTTTGGATTCTTCTCCAGCATCTGTTGAAGAAAGTAGGGAGCTAGTCTTTCCGCTCATGATCGGCCTTGATTCTGGAAGCCTTTTACGCTCACGCTTGTCACCAGACTTTGCTTTGATCAAGTCGTACTAGCAGACGCCGCCCGTGATCCCACAGGGCTGGGTCACAACAAGGTCACCTAGTCGGATATCGTGACCCTTGTCGGGTCGAGCGATGCCGCCGCCTATGCCCACCAAAAGACCAACATGGATAGACGGGAAGAGAGGTACGCAGGCTTGAGGCTGTAGTCGCAGCCGAGGTGGTCCCGTAGTTCCCGGTGGCTAGAGAGGCAATCACGATGTAGTGCTCTCCCACGTAGGGCTCCGAAAGGAATAAATGAATGCGAATATAGGGCATATTCATATTCGCACCCCGCGAATATGAATAAATGAATATCGTATTCGCGCGAATAAGCGCATTATTCATATTCGCATTCATATTATTCATATCATGCATTTTGCGCGCATTAATGAATCTTCCGTTTCCCCGGTTTTTGTATTACAGAAATACACGTTTCCACTCGTCAACTTGTATCTCAAGTGCCATCACGGCCTCGGTCAGGCATAAGTAGGAAATATCTTCCATACAAACCATGTTCTAAAGTGTATACCCTATATTGTAGGGATTGGTAAGCTCTATGTGTTCTGCGTGAATATTTTTCGCGATTTCTTATAGGTGTAAATGTCTAGTTTTGGTGACCAACGGTTGCTACAGAAAGTTGAGCGAAATTATATATATCTACAAGACGTCTTTCCACATCTTTGCTGCTCCAGTTAAATCGACTACCATAACTTCTCTTGTTCTCACTCGATCTACTCCAAAATTTAGATTTAATATAAGCATGACTATTGGCACGTAAAAACGCGTTTACCATGCCACTTTAACTCACTTCTCATCCAAGTTACAGATTGGTTACCATGAGAGTCGCGAGTGAGAAACCGCCGCGTGTAAAGAAAAGACCTATCAACTTTCCACCTTACTGGGATTGCATCAGGCGAAAGCATAGCTGAAGTTTCCACATCATTGTTTCATACTCACCTTTCATTTCCGACTCGCTAGGCTATCAAATATTGTCGAGTGATACTAAAGGTGTGCCATGCCTCGCTCCCAGGTACCACTTGGACTACTGACACTGGACAAATACAGAATGGCATCCTCACCTAACCCATTTGTGCGAAAGACGCGTCGTCTTCCGCGTCGCGACTACAATGCTCTGAACAATGGCACACCCTCCCTGCTCCCTGAGCCATGGGAAGGAAATATCCGTGAAATGGAGAGCCCCTGCTCGCCAGCACCATGCGAGTCTACGGGAGGCGAAGAGACGTCGCCATCCATGCGGTCCTTACCCATTCCCAGCTCTTCGCCCGCTCCGCTAGATCCCGCGCTATCAGGATTGACTAGCAGTCAGAGTAGCCCACCGCCTTACAAGAGACGAAAAGCCAAGTCATACTCTAGCTGGACCCTCGAGCATTTCTGGATCACAGAGCTAGACAACACCTGGCGTCGAAAGGGTGGGCCACCAAAGAAGGATCGGCTCTTAGTCTGTAGGCAGTGCAGTTGGTCGTCCAGGGATTCGGCACGCTATGGCTCCACATCGAATTTGTTAGCCCATCTCCAGGCCAAGCACCGCATCAGTTCTGGATCAGACATCACGTCATCTTCAACTATCGGAACGACCCTGGACAATTTTTTGACACCTGCAAAAGAAAGGGCGGGCCTTGAACAAATGCTGATACAATGGGTTGTTCAAACGAGACAGCCCTTTACGGTAGTGGAGCATCCGGCATTTAGGGCGCTTTTTGAAGCGACTGGGGCTATATTACCCATCAAGACGGCCGACACTCTCTTCAACAAGATCAGGGAGGAATTTTGCAAGAACCGGACTTGCGTCAAAGAAGAATTAGCCACTAGTAGTCGCACGCTTGCGCTGTCTCTTGATGTTTGGACATCAGAGAATCAGATAGCGATCATGGGCATCATTGGTCATTGGATCTCACCCGAGTTTGAGAAGCGAGAAGAGCTTCTGGAGTTCACTGACATATGTGGACCGCACTCTGGGGAGAATCTTGCGGAAATTGTGATGAAAATGCTCGAGGAACTAGACGTCGCGCCAAAGCTCCTCACAATTACGGGGGATAATGCTGCCAACAATGGAACTCTCTGCGACAGTCTTCATGCCGAGCTTCTCAAGAATTATGATGATAAAGACGACCAATTTCGCATCAGACCTCTTATGCGGTTTCGTGGACGGCAGAGCTTCATTCCTTGCCTTGCCCACGTCATCAATCTCATTTGCAGAGACGTACTGGCTTCCCTGAGGGCCGGCTCAGCTCGAGAGGCGAAGGCTATACTGGACGACATGGCCACGCAAAGTAGCCCAACATTCACCTCTGCCCACAGCACAAAAGGAGCAATCATGAAGATCCGGCTGCTGACCCTATGGATTGCCCGCAGTCCACAGCGCCGCCAGAATTGGAAAGATGTGTCACCATCCAAGCAAGTCGGCTACGATGTTGACACTCGATGGAACTCAACCTATATCATGATAGCGGACGCCCTTCGGCTACAGAAAGAACTTGGACAGTTTGTCCGGATGCATCCAGAAGTTCACGCCCTTCAAATAAACGAGAACGAATGGTCGATTCTTCAACAAGTAGCGAAGGTTCTTAAGCCATTCTGGGATCACACCAACTCGGTATCAAAATCTTGTCCGACGATTGTTGAGAGTTTGCCCATCTATTGGAGTCTAGACGACCTCCTTGACGAGGTTCAAAAAGCCGAAGGTGATTTTGAAGATGTGGATACCGAGATCCGGGATGCGGTGGAACGAGGAATCCAAAAGATGAACAAATTTGCAAGGAAGATGGACACCAATCTTCTTTACTACGTGGCCTCCGTCCTGGACCCGCGTATTAAATCGTCTTTGATCGGATCGCAGATGAGCGAGCAAGATGCGGGACTGATCATCTCTCAAGTGCGGGAGTTCTTAAAGAGGGAGTATCCGCACGAGTTGTCCATGTCGTGTATAGTGGATCGCCCGCCGGGAATGTCCGAGACTATGTGGAGGACGCTGCGAAAAGTACAGCCATCGCAGCGGACGCTTCTTTCAGACATTGATAGATATCTAGACGCGCCACCCGTGAGTTGGTCCCACCATATGATTGACGATGCAGACGAGGAATGGGTTCTCAAATGGTGGAAGGCGAATGTATTTAGCTTTCCACTCATGGCAAAGGCAGCTCGAGATTACCTGCCAATTCCATCAGCGGAGGTAGGGATTGAACGCGAGTTCAGCAATGCCAGAGATGTATTGGGACTCAGAAGACACTGTCTAAATGCGGAGACTATGCGATGGCTTATGCTACTTAAGGGACAGTACCAAAAATAGCGTTCCAAAAAGTGATTGTGATAATATCAAGATTTATGGGAATATAACGTCTTAAAGATGGTGAACGCATTTGCGACAAGAGTCTTAGGCACATGTAATGGGGTTGCTGTATTGAGACGTAACAGCATGAACGGTAATGTATGCTCTCTCAGTATATGAATAAATATGATCATTCATGAATATTCATGAATAATGCAATATGAATATGCCTCTTATTCATATTCATATTATGCAATTCATATTATTCATATTCGCAAATATTCATGAATATTCATGAATGATCATATTCCTTTCGGAGCCCTACTCCCACGCGACCCCAGGTATGAACGTTCGCGTCAGGCTGAAGTTGAGTCACATGAGGAGAGGCGGAGGGACGTGTCAGAGGGATATCAAGTTATCACGGCCAGTCAAATGAGGCAGCCTTGTCAGTTGCCATGCGTGACTACAGAAGCGCCCGACATCGGTTTCCATGCCGCGAACATAGAGATTCTCTTTCAAACCCTAATCACATGATCCTTACTCCCCAAATATGGTTAGCTCCCATCGAGGATACTTAGATAGATGCAAGGCCGCGGAACGATATCCTAATACGAACTAGTTCGCTTATGGTGGGCCTTGGCCCTTGGGAAATAAAGGGAGAGATATTGGAGTTCAAACTGGTTTCGAATATCACTGTACTCAACTAGGCCCACGAAATCGGATTTCTCAGCCTGTACGAGGCGTGGGCTACGAACCTGGAGTCTCTGTTACTCCAGAGCCAATGAGAGACGCAATGACGACCAGAGGAAACGAGTCCGCGATGTTGCGGCCTGCCTCCACCGCAATTCTAGCGACCTCGAGGCCCCTTTGGCACACAGGAACGATTTAAAAACCATCCGACGATAACGGTTACAGCCTCTCATGCCGTCACCCCAAGGGGAGTTCACAGAGCCTCTCAGAGGCGCGGATCGAAGTCGAGCAGGACACCTGTGGGGTAGAATTGGATTTGTGGGATTAGGGCTAAGGTGTATCGCCATCGGCTGCTGGCTCCCTTACCTCGAATCGGAGGATACTCTGGTTAGTGGATGGAAAGATTATACGCTGCAGGCTTGGGTGTATAAAGGGACCATCTGCAAGACATGGTCGGCCTAGAGAACGAGAGGATACTAGGTATCAGGAAGCAAGAAATCACGCCAACTTGTGGACTGAGGTATACTATGGCAACGATGGCTAGGAAGAAGGTTGGCGCGTCGCCATCGGCTGCTGACTAGAGATCCTTACAACACTGTCAGTATAGCCCGAGAGGACGGATGCGCATGTCGGTTCACAAGAAGCAGGAAGGTTGTTATGCCGTGACCCTAAGGGGACTTAGCAGAGCTGCAACTTGGCCTGGAGGGTGGGCTTAAGGAGCAAACGGGTATATGAGTGTGGGGGAAGGTTTTTGGCTCTGCTGGAACCCCAAAGGCTAAGATCTTGAAGGCAAGAGGATCTGCGGACATCTAGGAATGAGAGTACTAGTGAGCTGGATAAGGAGCTGGGAAAGCA